CATCTATGCAAAGTAAAGCAATTAAATGTAGGGCTTGAAGACTTACCTCAAAGCCACCCGGACTGAGTTTTCGTCCTGTCCCATCGACATGATTCCACAGTCCAATGACTATCGATTGATAGAAGAACAAAAACGAACGGGATCAATCTGTTTTCTTTCCATCCGACAGGCTGGCTGGCGAGAGGCGGAGAGTGGAGTGCACCACCTCACAGCAAGTTGTCTGAGCAACAGCGCAACTCACCTCGACTTCACTTCAGCCATATTTCAGATTATTATGAGCATAGAGATTTTAAATAAAATACTGCGACTGGTCGGTGCTCCCTTGCATTTCCAGCTAGAATATATTCCTTAACGGCATTCTGTTTGGAGCACCAATGATGTTGCGTGGTCCAGTCGCTTTTGCTCCTTGCTCTTTGGTTGGGAGAGGGACACACGCCTCCCGCACAATGCACACACCGATCCTGCTCGAGCTCGAGCCGCAATGCGTCACCAAACCACGCCTTCTTCTCCGTGCACTGCCTGTGAAGGTTGAGGGTTGACATCACAATGCGCATGGAGGTCAATTCCGATTTAGACATTTAGAAGAAATGTAGTGAGTGAGTGACTTCATGCCACGTGTACTCTTGGAATATCATCCTGACAAAATAATAGTCTGCTTTCAATGAGGACCATGATACTGGTTGTTGTCAGTCAGATCATCAAAATCTATCCGAAAGATCATTTTTATTTCACCTTTATTTAACCAGATCTGGTGCAACCAATTTCCTTCAGAAGTCACATAATTAGTTAAATAAAGTCCACCTGTGTGCAATCTAAGTGTCACATGATCTCAGTATATATACACCTGTTCTGAAAGGCCACAGAGTCTGCAACACCACTAAGCAAGGGGCACCACCAAGCAAGCTGCACCATGAAGACCAAGGAGCTCTCCAAACAGGTCAAGGACAAAGTTGTGGAGAAGTACAGATCAGGGTTGGGTTATAAAAAAAGATCCGAAATGTTGAACATCCCACGGAGCACCATTAAATCCATTATAGAAAAATGGAAAGAATAAGGCACCACAACAAACCTGCCAAGAGAGGGCCACACACCAAAACTCACGGACCAGGCAAGGAGGGCATTAATCAGAGAGGCAACAAAGAGACCAAAGATAACCCTGAAGGAGCTGCAAAGCTCCACAGCGGAGATTGGAGTATCTGTCCATAGGACCACTTTAAGCCGTACACTCCACAGAGCTGGGCTTTACGGAAGAGTGGCCAGAAAAAAGCCATTGCTTAAAGAAGAAAATAAGCAAACACGTTTGGTGTTCGCCAAAAGGCATGTGGGAGACTCCCCAAACATATGGAAGAAGGTACTCTGGTCAGATTAGACAAAAATTGAGCTTTCTGGCCATCAAGGAAAACGATATGTCTGGCGCAAACCCAACACCTCTCATCACCCCGAGAACACCACCCCCACAGTGAAGCATGGTGGTGGAAGCGTCATGCTGTGGGAAACTGGTCAGAATTGAAGGAACGATGGATGGCGCTAAATACAGGGAAATTCTTGAGGGAAACCTGTTTCAGTCTTCCAGAATTTGAGACTGGGACAAGGGTTCACCTTCCAGCAGGACAATGACCCTAAGCATACTGCTAAAGCAACACTCGAGTGGTTTAAGGGGAAACATTTAAATGTCTTGGAATGGCCTAGTCAAAGCCCAGACCTCAATCCAATTGAGAATCTGTGGTATGACTTAAAGATTGCTGTACACCAGCGGAACCCATCCAATTTGAAGGAACTAGAGCAGTTTTGCCTTGAAGAATGGACAAAAATCCCAGTGGCTAGATGTGCCAAGCTTATAGAGACATACCCCAAGATACTTTCAGCTGTAATTGCTGCAAAAGGTGGCTCTACAAAGTATTGACTTGGGGGGGTGAATAGTTATGCATGCTCAAGTTTTCTGTTTTTTTTTGTGTCTTATTTCTTGTTTGTTTCACAATATAAAATATTTGGCATCTTCAAAGTGGTAGGCATGTTGTGTAAATGAAATGATACAAACCCCCCAAAAATCAATTTTAATTCCAGGTTGTAAGGCAACAAAATCGGAAAAATGCCAAGGGGGGTGAATACTTTCACAAGCCACTGTAAATAACCTTTTCTTAACCTTTTCTTTAGTAGGCTACTTTGCCTATATGATTTGTGAATCATCTAGTGCTAATGAAAACTTAATGTAGAACGCTAACCCTAACCCTATAAATATATGTGTCTCCTTGGGGGGGGGGGGGGGAGCAACAACAGTTGTTACTGTTAGATATTAGAGTACTTAGGATGTTGTGTTTAATACATTTTAAATCAATAACAATTAACCCCACTCTGGTAAGTCCTTTTATTGTTGAGGTCTACTGGCCTTATTCTCCAAACCCTATGAACCTCACCCCCTCCCCTCCCGACCCCAGGCCTTCAGAAGCAGTAGTGTCTGGTTACAGTCCTCTCACATTACCAGGGCTGGGAGCCAACTAATGGTCTGACTATCACCAAGGATGCACCTATCAGTCAACACAACCCACTGTAGAGCTTGAACAGAGCACACAATGTCAAGTACGTGGAAATACTGTAAGCTACTGAACAAACATGGAGCTGGGAAAAATGCTGTTTCAGACATGTAGGAAAAAACAATCATGTTTTTCGACCAACACACAGTATCTATCAACAATTTCACAATGTAAATGAATTATATACAGCAGTGCTTCTAGTTTGCTTTATTCACAGAGCATAATGACTGATCACATAATTATCTCCCTTTAAATTCAAGTGCATTAACTACAGATTATTTAACCTTCTCAAAAACATGGTCCACCTGAGTCAGTAGCATACTTATAAAATGTCAAATAGTCAACAGTAACTATTCAATATGACCGTAAAACACTTTTTGCCATGCCAACCTACAAAAAATGCATGTAGGCTTTCATTTGTATAAGTACAGTAGGTATGAAACCACCAAGACAAGCAGACATAATAATCCACCAAAACAAGGAGACATAATAATCCACCAAAACAAGGAGACATAATAATCCACCAATTCCAAGCATGGTCATGTGATCATGTGCATTTGATCATGTGCGCTTTTGATTTGAATGCAAGGCAAAAAAGGAAGCCCGAAACTTCTGAAAGGCAAGGGTAATTTCATTAGGCTTATCAATGTGCAATCTGTAGCAAAGGTTTTAATAAACATAGTAATGTCATAAAAATATTCAAACAAATTAAGGCTAGTGTGCCAATAAAAACTAAAAACATTGGTCCTGGCTGAGAAGCCACACATCTCCAGATAGTACCACATTACTACTACTGGAGATAAAGAAATGACAAAATCCAAGGACAGAAACAAATGCAATATTACTACACATTTGTGGACTTTATAAGCATTGAAAATGAATATACTACTATACTATTATAATAGTAATATTATTTTCCAGTGGTGTTTGCTGTTTTGATATACTCACTGATATATACAGCGGCTTGCAAATGTATTCACCCCCCTTGGAATTTTTCCTATTTTGTTACCTTACAACCTGGAATTAAAATGGATTTTTTTCTATTTTTTTTTGGGGGGGGGGGGGGGGGGGGGGGGGGGGGGTTTGTATCATTTGATTTACACAACATGCCTACCACTTTGAAGATGCAAAATATTTTGTTATTGTGAAACAAACAAGAAACAAGACAAAAAAAAGTGAAAACTTTTGGCACATCTAGCCACTGGGATTTTTGCCCATTGCTTTAGCAGTATGCTTAGGGTCATTGTCCTGCTGGAAGGTGAACCTCCATCTCATCTGACCAGAGTACCTTCTTCCATATGTTTGGGGAGTCTCCCACATGCCTTTTGGCGAACACCAAACGTGTTTGCTTATTTTTTTCTTTAAACAATGGCTTTTTTCTGGCCACTCTTCCGTAAAGCCCAGCTCTGTGGAGTGTACGGCTTAAAGTGGTCCTATGGACAGATACTCCAATCTCCGCTGTGGAGCTTTGCAGCTCCTTCAGGGTTATCTTTGGTCTCTTTGTTGCCTCTCTGATTAATGCCCTCCTTGCTTGGTCCGTGGGTTTTGGTGGGCGGCCCTCTCTTGGCAGGTTTGTTGTGGTGCCATATTCTTTCCATTTTTTTATAATGGATTTAATGGTGCTCCGTGGGATGTTCAAAGTTTTGGATCTTTTTTTATAACCCAACCCTGATCTGTACTTCTCCACAACTTTGTCCCTGACCTGTTTGGAGAGCTCCTTGGTCTTCATGGTGCCGCTTGCTTGGTGATGCCCCTTGCTTAGTGGTGTTGTAGACTCTGGGGCCTTTCAGAACAGGTGTATATATACTGAAATCGTGTGACAGATCATGTGACACTTAGATTGCACACAGGTGGATTTTATTTAACTAATTATGTGACTTCTGAAGGTAATTGGTTGCACCAGATCTTATTTAGGGGCTTCATAGCAAAGGGGGTGAATACATATGCACGCACCACTTTTCCGTTAGTAATTTTTTTTGAAACATTTTTTTTTCCATTTCACTTCACAAATGTTCACTATTTTGTGTATGTCCATTACATGAAATCCAAATAAAAATCCATTTAAATTACAGGTTGAAATGCAACAAAATAGGAAAAACGCCAAGGGGGATGAATACATTTGCAAGGCACTGTATATGCTATGCCACCGTCCAACTCCATAATGCACTTGGCTGAACTCTCTATGGGGCTAGAAAATGTCAAAACATCAATTGTAGCTACCAATACACAAAAGGAAGTATTTCAAGTACCAACTCCACCATAGACATCCACAGCTACAGTAAATCACATGCTATGTTGTTAGGAGAGTTGGAGTCTCGTCCACCAACCAGTTAGGAGAGCTGCTATACCCTAAAGGCCCAGTAATCAAGTGAGTTTAACACCACTGCCTGTAGGTCCACCAACCAAAGTACAAGAAGGTGTGAGAGAGAGAGACAGAAAAGACAAAAAAGCTTCCTAGACGCTCCAAGTCTACTCCATGTCCGAGGCATCATTGTCTGAGAGGATGTCGCTCCCTTTTACGCTGTTGTACAGGATGTTTCTGGACCCGTCCCCATCCCCGTCAGACGCCCCGCAGGAGCAGAGGCTTCCAGAGAACAGGGCCTCCATCTCCTCCAGCCTGCGGCCCTGGGTCTCTGGCAGACAGCCCAGCACAAACAGCAGCCCCAGCACAGTCAGGCCTGAGTAGAGGAAGAACGCACCTGGAGGGAGGAAGAGGGAGATGGAGACACCAGTTAGATTGAAGGAGAAGAGAAGCAGTTGAAACATTTTGTGTAGTGAACTGTGCAGTTACAACCCCTACTCCAGTTCAGTCAGGCAGTCATTCAAATCATCAGTCAGTTTATCAGTCAGGCAGTCAAGCCAAATAGTCAGTCAGTCAGTCAGTCAGTAGGTTCTCAGTTATAGCTTTTTAACACCCATCACAATTAGACAGTATCTAGGTAGATGAGCCGCACCATAGTAGGTGAGGTACTCAGCGACGTGGAGGAAGGTGAGTGACACAAGGACGTTACAGATCCAGTTGACTCCGGCTGAACAGGCATTCCCAGTGCTCCTGGCCCACAGAGGGTAGATCTCACTGTTCACTGTCCACGGCATTGGCCCCATACCTACAGCACGGACACACAGACAGGCACGGAAAGGGATGCGGACACAGACAGAAAATAGTTATAGACCGTAAGATATATATTTTAAAAAACTGTATGCAAGATATTCTGTACTATGAAGAATACTTCAAACTGGTATGAAACTCTCCAGGCGGGGAAATATACAACTTTTTGACCTTTGTCTGTTTTGTTTGGTTTTGTTTGGTTTGGTTTGGTGTGTGTGTGTGTGTGTGTGTGTGTGAGTGAGTGAATGAGTGAGTGAGTGAATAAGTGAGTGAGTGAGTGAGTGAGTGAATAAGTGAGTGAGTGAGAGAGAGGGAGAGAAAGGGTGTTGTTCTCACCTGGAGCAAAGAAAGCCAGGTAGAGGATGAGCCCAAGCAGCACTATCCAGGAGTAGGAAGTGGGGCAGTAGTTATAGGCCCAGAGAGACCCATCACTGAACTGGCTCAGATTGGAACACCTGTACATAGCCAAAACACATCAGATAATGTGGCTAAACAGAACTCAGATACAGCAGAAATAAAGCCATCCCCGGCTTCAGAGACAGACAGACGGACAGACAGAGACAGACAGAAAGGCAAGAAGTAACGGAGACACGCACGCACACACACAAATCCCTAACCTGCCCCAGGCGGCCTCATCAGCGGATGTTTGATTGACAGGTATGCAGGAAGAGTCGTATACAGTGGAACCGTTCTCACGGTAACAGAACCCACAGCCAGGATCCAACATGCAGGGCTCACAGGACCTGGGGACAGTTAACAGTGTGACACTCTTCACTCTATTGTGGTGGGGACAGGAAAAAAAATCTGAATCCTTATACAGTATTAGGTAATACAAGTTCCACACAGTCTCACCCATATAGTGTGCAGGAGGTGGAGTTGAGAGTGGGGTCAGTGGGGTGGAGTGTGACTGCAGGCGAGTGCTGGGCTGACAGCAGAAACCCTACAGCCAAGACCGTCAGACTCAAAACAGTACCTAGAAGACAGAGAAATTAATACATTTGTAGAGTAAAGACTTCCCTTTCCCTCTTCTGACTTAAGGCAAAGCACATGCCTAAGTTTTAAGTAAAAAACTAGGCTTGGGCGGTATACCGTATGCCAGGGTATTTGGAATTAGCCATGGGATGGTTTTTTCAATACCGCTGAAACTATTTCTTTGAATATTTGTAGCTGCCTTTTAAGTAAATACCTGCAGTCAACTTGTGCAATACGTTAGGCAATAAAGCAGATTGCGTTCTTCATTTCACCTGTCACATGTCATTATGAAGCTTACCGGTAGTCCCCAGTCACATGTTGTTTGTTTACAAGCACACAACGATGAGAGACCGGCGCCTCAAATAAAAATGTATTTGTCACAACAGGTGTAGACTGACAGTGAAATGCTTACTTACGGGCCCTTCCCAACAATGCAGAGAGAAAGAAAATATAGAAATAATAGAAAAGTAAAACATATAATAAAAGTAATAATAGATGCACAATGAGTAACGATAACTTGGCTATATACACGGAGTACCAGTACCAAGTCCATGTGTAGGGGTACGAGGTAATTGATGTAGATATGTACATATAACTAGGAATTTTTGTGAGTCACTCACTTTAACAGCAGGGACTGTGAAGCAACACAAACATAGGCACAGACACATGCATACACACACATGATATACACACACACACACACACCTATTAAACTCCCCAGCGTCAGCTTCCTGCGTCCTACTCTCTCCACAAGCCACACCCCCACCAGGGTGAACAGGAAGTTGGTGGCGGCGGTGGCGGAAGCCAACCAGATGGCCTGCTTGTCGTCCCTCACTCCCGCCATCTGCAGGATGGTGGCGCTGTAGTACCTGATAGGGACAACAGAAGCAGAAGGCATGAACACTGAGGATAAGCAGACCACAGGAGGCTGCTGAGGGGAGGACGGCTCATAATATTGTCTGGAACGGAGCAAATGGAATGACATCAAACACCTGGAAAATTGTGTTTGATGTATTTGATACTCCGCTCCAGCCATTACCACGAGCCCGTCCTCCCCAATTAAGGTGTCACCAACCTCCTGTGAAGCAGACAGTAGGGAAGAGACTGACTGGCAGGCAGACAGACAGACAGACAGATAGACAGACATGCTAAGTTTTGATCAGAGATATGAAGGTACAGAGACGAGGAGATGAGGCCACTTTACACTAATGGAGATGCGGCCATAGTGTTGGTAGATACACACGATGATTTCTGATGAAGGAAAACACCTACATGACAGTGTTGATCCCAGAGAGCTGTTGGAACATCTGCAGGCCGCAGCCTACAGTCAGGGCTCTGCGGGTGGATGGGCGAGTCAGCATACGCCACAGTACAGGGCCACCTGGTGGACAGAGGGAAATTTGGTAACACTTTTAGGAACATTTAAAAACATTTGTAAGCATTATACATTTTTGGGTCTATAGCAACGAATGTTTTAGTTTCCAACAGAATGCATTATATGATTAATTAATCTGCTAAATTGGAGAAAGGCCCAATTGGTGAGACCTATTTGAGAAATATGTGTGTTCTATGGCTGTGTTTACACAGGCAGCTAAATTCTGATATTTTTCCACTAATTTGTATTTTTTGGTCAGTTAGTGGAAAAAATACCAGAATTGGGCTGCCTGTGTAAATTCAACCTAAGTTATGTGCAGAAAACTGATATGAAATTAAATGCTTCAAGAATCAAATCAACTGAAACAACAAAGGCTACGTTTACATAGGCAGCCCAATTCTGATATTTTTTCCACTAATTTGTCTTTTGACCAATCAAATTAGATATTTTCACATCAGATCTTTTTCAGAGCTGATCTGATTGGTCAAAATACCAATTAGTGAAACAAAGATCAGAATTGGGCTGCCTGTGTAAATGCCGCCACAGGCAGCCCAATTCTGATAATTGTTTTCATTAATTGGTCTTTTGATCAATCAGATCAGCTCTGAAAAAGATCTGATGTGATTGGTCAAAAGAACAATTAGTGGAAAAAAGGCACAGTCGACGCCACACAGGGCTACGGGCCAGAAGGTTGAGGGTTCGCCGACCACCACAGACGAGCTCACTCTCCCTGCCTGTTTCATTACACTACAACCAGAGCTGGCTGCAGACAATGATCAGCTAGGGGCAAATCAGATTTTCAACATCTTGATGCCATATTTATAATTATATAAAATACACCTTATGGAACAGCGGGGACTGTGAAGCAACACAAACATAGTCACAGACATGCATACACACACATGATAACATACACACACGTGCACATGGAGTTTGTGTTGTAGATATGTGGTAGTGGAGTAGGGGCCTGAGGGCACACACTTAGTGTGTTGTGAAATCTGTAATGAATGTATTGTAATGTTTTTAAAATTGTATAACTGCCTTAATTTTGCCAGACCCCAGGAAGTGTAGCTGCTGCCTTGGCAGTAGCCAATGGGGATCCATAATAAATACAAATACAAATATGCAACAAACTTTCCACCAACAGGTTTCTGTGCCAATGCACCACACAAAGATTTTAAAAAGTGACTGGGATTGCACAGTAAAGTCGGGGACTTATTTCCATTGTGGTCCCTATTTTTTTACATAAATACATATACATATATATAGATAGACACATTACAGAGATAGTCAAAAAAATCTCTACCTCCAGATGAGTATGAGGGGGGAGTTTAAGTACAATTCTTACAAGCTTGTTTGGCTGTTAGCTTACTCTTAAGATATTTGGGACTGCTGTTGAACCATGATGTGAAGGCATAATCAAAGTGACACTGGACTAGCGCACTTGCCAGAGACTTTAGGGTGTCTATAGCTAGGTTTCCATCCAATTAGCGACAGATTTTCATGTGAATATTCTAAAATCTTCATAAAAACAATATGCCATTTCAGAGTTTCCTTTCAGAAAATTTGGCGCCGAACAACATGACAGGGAAGATTTTAATTTACCGGACATTTGACAAATGTAATGGACATCCATATGCATTCAGATCCAACCTGGGGCAGTCAGCACCATCAATAAATGACAGATATTGGCCAAATGAGCCACATTTAGGTGCCCTTAAATATATATATATATATATATATATATATATATATATATATATATATATATATATATATATATATATATATATACACTACCAGTCAAAACTTTGGACACACCTACTCATTCAAGGGTTTTTCTTTATTTTTACTATTTTTTACATTGTAGAATAATAGTGAAGACATCAAAACTATGAAATAACACATATGGAATCATGTAGTAACCAAAGAAGTGTTAAACAAATCATAATATATTTTATAACAGTCCATCATTTTATATTTGCAAAGAGAAACAGAAGTCCATCATTACTTTAAGACATTAAGGTCAGTCAATACGGAACATTTCAAGAACTTTGAAAGTTTCTTCAAGTGCAGTCGCAAAAAAACATCAAGCGCTATGATGAAACTGGCTCTCATGAGGACTGCAACAGGAATGGAAGTCCCAGAGTTACTTCTGCTGCAGAGGATAAGTTCATTAGAGTTACCAGCCTCAGAAATTGCAGCCCAAATAAATGCTTCACAGAGTTCAAGTAACAGACACATCTCAACATCAACTGTTCAGAGGAGACTGTGTGAATCAGGCCTTCATGGTCGAATTGCTGCAAAGAAACCACTACTAAAGGACACCAATAATAAGAAGAGACCTGCTTGGGCCAAGAAACACGAGCAATGGACATTAGACCGGTGGAAACTTGTCCTTTGGTCTGGAGTCCAAATTTGAGATTTTTGGTTCCAACCACCGTGGCTTTGTGAGACGCGGTGTGGGTGAACGGATTATCTCCGCATGTGTATTTCCCACCGTAAAGCATGGAGGAGGAGGTGTTATGGTGTGGGGGTACTTTGCTGGTGACACTGTCTGTGATTTATTTAGAATTCAAGGCACACTTAACCAGCATGGCTACAACAGCATTCTGCAGTGATACACCATCCCATCTGGTTTGGGCTTAGTGGGACTATCATTTGTTTTTCGACAGGACAATGACCCAACACACCTCCAGGCTGGGTAAGGGCTATTTTACCAAGAAGGAGAGTGATGGAGTGCTGCATCAGATGACCTGGCCTCCACAATCCCCCGACCTCAACACAATTGAGATGGTTTGAGATGAGTCGGACCGCAGAGTGAAGGAAAAGCAGCCAACAAGTACTCAGCATATGTGGGATCTCCTTCAAGACTGTTGGAAAAGCATTCCAGGTGAAGCTGGTTGAGAGAATGCCAAGAGTGTGCAAAGCTGTCATCAAGGCAAAGAGTGGCTATTTGAAGAATCTCAAATATATAATATATTTTGATTTGTTTAACACTTTTTTGGTTACTACAAGATTCCATATGTGTTATTTCATAGTTTTGATGTCTTCACTATTATTCTACAATGTAGAAAATAGTAAAAATAAAGAAAAACCCTGGAATGAGTAGGTGTGTCCAAACTTTTGACTGGTACTGTATATAGGAAGAGAAGCTTAGGCCTAACCCCAGAGAGATAGAGATATGCCGGTGGCATGCTACGACACCGACATGCATTTCTTTATGTCAGATGGCTACCAGAGAAAAACCAAACAACCCTCCCCTGTGCCCAATAAAAACCACACTACCCTCCCCTGTCACCAATAAAAAAACACACTACCCTCCCCTGTGCCCAATAAAAACCACACAACCCTCCCCTGTGCCCAATACAAACCACACTACCCTCCCCTGTGCCCAATAAAAACCACACTACCCTCCCCTGTGCCCAATAAAAACCACACTACCCTCCCCTGTGCCCAATAAAAACCACACTACCCTCCCCTGTGCACAATACAAACCACACTACCCTAAACTGTGGCCAATAAAAACCACACAACCCTCCCCTGTGCCCAATAAAAACCACACTACCCTCCCCTGTGCCCAATAAAAACCACACAAACCTCCCCTGTGCCCAATAAAAACCACACTACCCTCCCCTGTGCCCAATAAAAACCACACAAACCTCCCCTGTGCCCAATAAAAACCACACTACCCTCCCCTGTGCCCAATAAAACCACACTACCCTAAACTGTGCCCAATAAAAACCACACAACCCTCCCCTGTGCCCAATAAAAACCACACTACCCTAAACTGTGCCCAATAAAAACCACACAACCCTCCCCTGTGCCCAATAAAAACCACACTACCCTCCCCTGTGCCCAATAAAAACCACACTACCCTCCCCTGTGCCCAATAAAAACCACACTACCCTCCCCTGTGCCCAATAAAAACCACACTACCCTAAACTGTGCCCAATAAAAACCACACTACCCTAAACTGTGCCCAATAAAAACCAAACAACCCTCCCCTGTGCCCAATAAAAACCACACTACCCTCCCCTGTGCCCGATAAAAACCACACAATCCTCCCCTGTGCCCAATAAAAAAACACACTACCCTCCCCTGTGCCCAATAAAAACCACACTACCCTCCCCTGTGCCCAATAAAAACCACACAACCCTCCCCTGTGCCCAATAAAAACCACACAACCCTCCCCTGTGCCCAATAAAAAACACACAACCCTCCCCTGTGCCCGATAAAAACCACACTACCCTCCCCTGTGCCCGATAAAAACCACACAACCCTCCCCTGTGCCCAATAGAAACCACACAACCCTCCCCTGTGCCCAATAAAAACCACACAACCCTCCCCTGTACCCAATAAAAACCCACACTACCCTAAACTGTGCCCAATAAAAACCACACAACCCTCCCCTGTGCCCAATAAAAACCCACACTACCCTAAACTGTGCCCAATAAAAACCACACTACCCCTCCCCTGTACCCAATAAAAACCCACACTACCCTCCCCTGTGCCCAATAAAAACCACACAACCCTCCCCTGTGCCCAATAAAAACCCACACTACCCTCCCCTGTGCCCAATAAAAACCACACAACCCTCCCCTGTGCCCAATAAAAACCAAACAAACCCTCCCCTGTGCCCAATAAAAACCACACTACCCTCCCCTGTGCCCGATAAAAACCACACAATCCTCCCCTGTGCCCAATAAAAACCACACTACCCTCCCCTGTGCCCAATAAAAACCACACAACCTCCCCTGTGCCCAATAAAAAAACCCCACTACCCTCCCCTGTGCCCAATAAAACCACACAACCCCCCCGTCCATAAAAACACACTACCCTCCCTGTGCCCAATAAAAAACAACACAAACCCTCCCCTGTGCCCAATAAAAACCACACAACCCTCCCCTGTGCCCAATAAAAACCACACAACCCTCCCCTGTGCCCAATAAAAAACACACACCCTCCCCTGTGCCCAATAAAACACACACCCCCCCTCCCAAAAAAACACCTACCCACTGTGCCCAATAAAAACCACACAACCCTCCCCTGTGCCCAATAAAAAACACAACCTCCCTGCCTAAACCCATACCCCTGTGCCCAATAAAAACACCTACCCTGTCACACATAACCCTACCCTCTGTGCCCAATAAAACACACTACCCTAAACTGTGCCCAATAAAAACCACACAACCCTCCCCTGTGCCCAATAAACACACTCCCAACTGTGCCCAAAAAACACACACTACCCTAAGCCACCCTACCTCCTGTGCCCAATAAAAACCACACTACCCTCCCCTGTGCCCAATAAAAAACACACACTACCCTCCCCTGTGCCCAATAAAAAACCACACTAACCCTCCCCTGTGCCCAATAAAAACCACACAACCTCCTGTGCCCAATAAAACCCCTACCCTAAACTGTGCCCAATAAAAACCACACACACCCTCCCCTGTGCCCAATAAAAACCACACTACCCTACCTGTGCCCAATAAAAACCACACTACCCTAAACTGTGCCCAATAAAAACCACACACAACCCTCCCCTGTGCCCAATAAAAACCACACTACTAACCCTCCCCTGTGCCCAATAAAAACACACACCCTAACTCCCAAAAACCACCTACCCTGTCCCTGTGCCAATAAAAACCACCACAACCCCCCCTGTGCCCAAAAAACACACACCTCCCCGCCCAATAAACACACACCCAATAAAAACCCACACAACCCTCCATGAATGCCTAATAAAAACCATACTACCTCTCCCCTAGTCCCAGAAACAACAAACACAACCCTCCCTGTGCCCACTAAAAACCAACAACCCTTCCCTGTGCCCCAATAAAAAAAACCATACAACCCTCCCATGTACCCAAGAAAAACACAAACTCCCGTGCCCAATAAAAACCACACTACTAAACTGTGCCAATGAAAAACCACATACCCTCCCCTGTACCAATAAAAAACCACACTACTAAATGTGCCCAATAAAACCACACAACCTCTCCCCTGTTACCCAAGGAAAAACCCACACCAACCCTCCCCTGTGCCCAATAAAAACCACACTTACCCTAAACTGTGTGCCAATAAAAACCATACTGTCCCTCCACTGTACCAATATAAAAACCACACTACCCTAAAACTGTGCCCAATAAAATACCCACACAACCTCTCCCCTGTGCCCAAATTAAAAACCACACTACCCTAAAACTGTGCCCAATAAAAACCAACACTAACCCTAAACTGTGCCCAATAAAAAACCACCTTACCCTCCCCGTGCCCAATAAAAAACACACTACCCTCCCCTGTACCCAATAAAAACCACACTACCCTAAACTGTGCCCAATAAAAACCCACACTACACTAAACTGTGCCCAATAAAAAACACACTACCCTCTCCAAAACAAAAAATTAAGTTTGACAACCCTCCCCTATTTTCGGCCACCCTCCCCCCCAGTAAATGTTGATCTGTCCCTTAGTCTTGTCAAACAAACTGGTCTTGGCAAAGTTGATCCTCTCAACATAAAAAAACAGCCTGGTACTTTCTTCTCAGGCGAGTGCAATGATTGAGATAAACTCCCCAAAAGTTCAAAAAGCTCCAGAAAAATGCATTAAAATCTAATAAGTGTGTAAGAGGGAGGGAGATATACATATATGTCTATGGGTGGTCATGGTCACAGTTTCAGATCATCTGGATGTGCCACGGCTAATGTGTGTGTCTGTGTCCGAAATTCATCGTAAACCAATGTGTGTGTGTGTATATGTGTGTGTGTGTGTGTGTGTGTGTGTGTGTGTATGTGTATGTGTATATTTGTGTGTGAGTGTGTGTGTCACCTCCTGCCTCCTTCTCCTCATCCTCGATGTTGGTCCTCATGCTGTCGTACTCCTTTTCAATGTTCTGGCCCCCGCGGATCCTGCTGAGCACCTGCCTGGCCTGCTGGGGAAGGCCCTTCTGAAGGAGCCAGCGGGGACTCTCTGGCAGGAAGAGGAAACCAAAGAACTGGAGCACCGCAGGGACAATGGACAGACCCAACATGTACCTACAGACAGAGACAGAGACAGAGAGAGAGTGAGAGAGACACATACACACGGAGCGGGGGGGGGAAGAGTGTGTGATTATCAAATTCAGTTCCACAGAGCTGTTTTAAGTTCCTGATGGTTTGCTTTTGGAAATGAACATTTTAATTTCACACATCAACAGGCTCTAATCATAGCCTAACACCTAAACTTACAGCAATATTTTATCCCATATTTATTCACATTCAAAAAATAGTTTAGTTGAAAAGGTCAGTCAAAGACCTAACAGGACATCTGGATGAGGGCAAGTTGTTTGTCACACATTTAAAATCCACACCTATCTTCTTCCTCTTCTCTCTACTCACTGCCTCTTCTCTCTACTCACTGCCTCTTCTCTCTACTCACTGCCTCTTCTCTCTACTCACTGCCTCTTCTCTCTACTCACTGCCTCTTCTCTCTACTCACTGCCTCTTCTCTCTACTCACTGCCTCTTCTCTCTACTCACTGCCTCTTCTCTCTACTCACTGCCTCTTCTCTCTACTCACTGCCTCTTCTCTCTACTCACTGCCTCTTCTCTCTACTCACTGCCTCTTCTCTCTACTCACTGCCTCTTCTCTCTACTCACTGCCTCTTCTCTCTACTCACTGCCTCTTCTCTCTACTCACTGCCTCTTCTCTCTACTCACTGCCTCTTCTCTCTACTCACTGCCTCTTCTCTCTACTCACTACCTCTTCTCTCTACTCACTGCCTCTTCTCTCTACTCACTGCCTCTTCTCTCTACTCACTGCCTCTTCTCTCTACTCACTGCCTCTTCTCTCTCCTCACTGCCTCTTCTCTCTCCTCACTGCCTCTTCTCTCTCCTCACTGCCTCTTCTCTCTACTCACTGCCTCTTCTCTCTACTCACTGCCTCTTCTCTCTACTCACTGCCTCTTCTCTCTACTCACTGCCTCTTCTCTCTACTCACTGCCTCTTCTCTCTACTCACTGCCTCTTCTCTCTACTCACTGCCTCTTCTCTCTCCTCACTGCCTCTTCTCTCTACTCACTGCCTCTTCTCTCTACTCACTGCCTCTTCTCTCTACTCACTGCCAAACACTTTCTCCAGTTTCTAAATATGGCACATTTGAGAAATGTAAAAAAGAAAACCCAGCCAAAATACACACCAAGATGTTCAACCAAAACCATCATGGAACAACCTAAACTTGTATATAGCCAAGTTATCGTTACTCATTGTGTATCTATTATTACTTTTATTATTACGTATTTAACTTTTCTATTATTTCTTTATCTCTACATTGTTGGGAAGGGCCTGTAAGTAAGCATTTCACTGTTAGTCTACACCTGTTGTTTACGAAGTATATGATGAATAACATTTTATTTGAGGCTCCTGTCGCTCATCATTGTGTGCTTGTAAACAAACAACATGTGACTGGGGACTACCGGTAAGCAATAATGTGACAGGTGAAATGAAGAACGCGATCTGCTTTATCGCCTAACGTATTGCACAAGTTGACTGCAGGTAGTTTTACCTGCTGGATTTGTTTGAACATCTTGGTGTGTATTTTGGCTGGACTTTCTTTTTTACATTTCTCAACCCTTTCTATTTTCATCATCACACTCAAAATACTAAGAGCTGATGTATCCATTACAGAGTCTCCATTTAAGTTGAGAAAACTCCATGGAAGTTGCATCATGTTCATACATGAATCTGGTGATATCAGACGGCCTAGCCGCGTCCTCAGAGCATGTGCAGACCAGCTGGCTGGTGTGTTTACGGACATATTAAATCTCTCCCTATCCCAGTCTGCTGTCCCCACTTGCTTCAAGATGTCCACCATTGTTCCTGTACCCAAGAAAGCAAAGGTAAATGAACTCAATGACTATCGCCCCATAGCACTCACTTATGTCATCATTAAGTGCTTTGAGAGGCTAGTTAAGGATCATATCACCTCTACCTTACCTGACACCCTAGACCCACTTCAATTTGCTTACCGCCCCAATAGATCCACAGACGATGCAATCGCCATCGCACTGCACACTGCCCTATTCCATCTTGTCAAGAGGAATACCTATGTAAGAATGCTGTTCATTGACTATAGCTCAGCCTTCAACACCATAGTACCCTCCAAGCTCATCATTAAGCTTGAGGCCCTGGGTCTGAACCCCACCCTGTGCAACTAGGTCCTGGACTTCCTGACGGGCTGCCCCCAGGTGGTGAAGGTAGGAAACAACATCTCCACTTCGCTGATCCTCAACACTGGTGCCCCACAAGGGTGCGTGCTCAGCCCCCTCCTGTACTCCCTGTTCAGCCATGACTGTGTGGCCACGCACGCCTCCAACTCAATCATCAAGTTTGCAGACGACACAACAGTAGTAGGCCTGATTACCAACAATGACGAGACAGCCTACAGGGAGGAGGTGAGGGCCCTCGCGGAGTGGTGGAAATAACCTCTCCCTCAATGTCAACAAAACGAAGGAGCTGATCGTGTACTTCAGGAAACAGCAGAGGGATCACGCCCCTATCCACATCGACGGGACCGCAGTGGAGAAGGTGAAAAGCTTCAAGTTCCTCTGCGTACACATCATTGACAATCTGAAATGGTCCACCCACACAGACAGTGTGGTGATGAAGGTGCAACAGCGCCTCTTCAACCTCAGGAGGCTGAAGAAATTTGGCTTGGCCCCAAAGACCCTCACAAAATGTACAGATGCACAATTGAGAGCATCCTGTCGGGCTGTGTCACCGCCTGGTATGGCAACTGCACCACCCGCAACTGCAGGGCTCTCCAGAGGGTGGTGCGGTCTGCCCAACGCATCACCGGGGGCACATTGCCTTCCCTCCAGGAAACCTACAGCACCCGATGTCACAGGAAGGCCTAAAAGATCATCAAAGACATCAACCACCCGAGCCACGGCCTGTTCACCCCGCTATCATCCAGAAGGTGAGGTCAGTACAGATGCATCAAAGCTGGGAGCGAGAGACTGAAAAACAGCTTCTATCTCAAGGCCATCAGACTGTTAAATAGCCATCACTAGCAGGCTACCACCTGGTTACTCAACCCTGCAGCTTAGAGGCTGCTGCCCTATATACATAGACATGGAATCACTGGCCACTTTAATAATGGAACACTAGTCACTTTAATAATGTTTACATACTGCTTTACTCATTTCATATGTATATACTGTATTCTATCCTACTGTATTTTAGTCTACGCCACTCCGACATTGCTCAACCTAATATTTATATATTTCATAATTCCATTCTTTTACTTTTAGATTTGTGTGTATTGTTGTGAATTGTTAGATACTACTGCACTGTTGGAGCTAGGAACAGAAGCATTTCGCTACACCTGCAATAACATCTGCTAAATATGTGACCAATAAAATTGGATTAGATTTTTGATATTCCAACCAGCTTCCATTCTTCCATACGTGCAAGGAGAGGTGTCGAAACGGAAGCTGGAGTGACTGGGGTGTTAAAATACTCATCGCTCCTTGGGCTGAAAGCGGGGTAGTTGCCATGCCTGAGAAATGACATTATGGCCTGTTTCAATTCCATTCAGTGTAGATAGATGGTAGTGGATTGTTATCTCCATATTATGTGGTTGCTATATCATATGGATGCAGAACAAAATATTATGCAGTGCTTTTTTCTTCAGGCATGTAGCAGGGACACCTCGAATCAGCTTCCAAAGCTAACTAAACCAAAAATATAACTGAACTGAACTGTAGGCTACTGTAACTGATGCATCCCCTTCTAGTATTACCAGCTACTGAGTATCCATGGCAATATAGAATAGAATATGGTCTATCTCTGATAAGGCTTACCTCCAGCCATTGTGGTGCAGGTAAGTAAAGGCCCCGTCCACAACACTGGCAATAAACTGGCCGGCCGTGATGAAGAGGGTGTAAATGGTGACCAGCTGACCCCTCATGTGTGGTGGGGAGACCTCCGCAAGGTAAACAGGAACCGTCATGGAGGCAATCCCTAAAAGGGGGGAGATCAACTTTGCTGATGAAATCATTCCCCTGGCTGTCAGGTTATGGACAGTAATGTCTTTATATGTGTTTTTAGTCAGTGTTTTTGGCAAGGTTCTAAGAAATTATTCACAATTCATCTCACTTTTTGGATGAGTTTACCTAAAGTATATCTTCACTACCTGCCCTTGGTAAACCTTACAAAGACATAGGTGTTTGTAAAGACTTCCAAACAAATCATATATTCCTGGCTTGGAAAATAACCACTTGGACATGTAAAACTGGTCAGTCAGTCATGGCTCTCAGTTTGGTTACTTGTCCAGTAAATGTTTGAACTAAATAAACATACCTTACCTATTCCCAAACCAACTGTAATCCTTCCGACAAGAAGAACCTCCTTGTTTGGAGCAGCACCTAACACAACTCCTCCGGCAGTGAAAATGAAGCTCGCCATTAGTATGCAGATCCTGCGCCCGAAGAGCCCATTCAGAGCCCCGCCAGCCAGGGCAGAGAGCGCCGCTGCACCCACAGTACTGGAGACCAACAACTCCTGCCATAGAGCGGTCAAATGCATTTCTTTTTTCAGGAGAAGCATTGCCCCGGAGACCACCCCGGTGTCATAGCCAAAAAGGAAGCCGCCCAGGGCTGAAAAAAACGCCAAGACGTACACGAACACCGGTGTGACATCCTGGTCGGTGGCGAGCTCCGGTTCGCGGGCGGCAGAGGTGACGCCCAGGTTGTTGATGCTCGATTCAGACGGCGCTCTTATGAGACTCCGCCGCTCTCTATCGTCCGTCACTTTCTTCCTCATGCCGCCAATAGGGTTGCTCATACTACGCAGATTGTATTCATTGTCGTTTCTGTTGAGGGACATAAACAGAAACAACTTCACAAAAGTTCAACCAGGGCAGAGAAAAATAGATACCTGAGTAGGCTATACAGGTAACTCCGTTTCCATTTCCATTCACTCAGGTCATTTGCGCCTGAAATGGAGGGGAGCGAACAGCCTACAGCAGTCAATTTTGGTTGGTCACTGAGTGAAGGGTGTGAATGTATGACGCTAGAATAAAATCAGCTGTGATTACTCACGAGAAAAGTCAAACATGTTTATAACAGCGTTATAATATTCCAATCCATATTCCCTATTTCTAACCCGGAATGTATTGCTCTGTAAACGAAGTAGGCCGAACAATTTCAGCATTTTCCCCAACCACAAAATCTTATATAGGGAAATAAGAAATAGGCCTGTAGGCTACTATTTTCTTATTTCCCAAAAACATTATAAAATATAGAATAGCGGACCATTACGGCTAAGGGGGGTGAAATGAAGGCAGACAGAGTGTAGGATGTCCATTATAGTGAATGGATGACGAAAATACAAAATAAGACTATATGTACAAATCCCAAAAAGGAAATTAACTCACAAACAAGTATTTGCTGAATAAACTTTTCAAGATAGGCCTAATTAAACAGCTAAACATATGCCTAAACCGCACAGCCAGCAGCATGATGTCCATTAGACCCACAGCAGCCCCTGTGTTACAGAACTTAAAGCAGACTGCTTTTTATATACATGGCAATTCACCATCCAATAACAGGGGCAAAGTGGTCTACCCCAATGACGTCTCACTAATCAATAATAGTGCGCACGGATTTCTATGAGTGTGCACCTCTGGACAGGGAAGCCCTTTGGCCAAGCACGAGAACAGCTGATCAGAACCAGGAAGTAACTGAGTTTGAAATGTTTGTTAGAGCAAACAAAATACTTGATGCTTGACAACTTGTTTCCCAACAAATGTAGGTAGGCCTAACTGCCGTGTGTGGAGCTGTTACAAATGATAAAGAACACAGATAAATAGGCCTAAGGAATGGCGGACTGGTCATATTCAGGTAGAAACGAGATGCAATCATTTCGCTACAACCGCAGTAACATCTGTTAAATATGTGTATGTGACCAATAACATTTAATTTGATTTGACAAGAAACTCAACTAGACTATTGCTGCGTTTACGTGCTAGTCGGAACTAAATAACTCTGAAATGTCCGACTCGCTTACGGGTTGTAGTTACCTACACGTACCGCGTTCAACGAATCAGTAAGTCGGACATTACCGAATTTCCTAGTTCCGACTAGCATGTGAACGCGGCATATATGGCTGCTATTTAGGCTAGGCTGCTCTCGCTTGTTATCGCCACTCTTGTTTTTGGTTTCCACTAGTTACCACAGCCACAAAGTCAAAATGGGTTAAATCGTAAAAATCCATGACAACAAGACATTCGATTTTTGGTCTTAATGTGAGGTTAGGGTTAGGCATAAAGTGTGGTTAAGGTTCGGTTTAAAATCACATTTTAAGAAGATGAATTGTAGAAATAGGCGGTGTTTATAACTTTATGGCTGTGGTAACTAGTTACGAGTTACAACAGTAACTAGTTACGACCCTTGTGTCTGGTGGTGTGCCGTAAAGTGATTCGTTGAACGGCGCATTAAGCATTGATTCATAGAACAATTGGAACGCCCAGACAGTGGTGTCCACTAGTTACCACAGCCACAAAGTCAAAATGGGCTATAACGTAAAAATGCTGGCATATTTTTGTTGTTGCTTTTTGGTCTTAATTTAAGGTTCGGCATAAGGTTAGCAGAGTGGTTAAGGTTACATTTAAAATCACATTGTAAGAAGATCAACTGTAGAAATAGGCGGTGTTTATGACTGTGGTAAATAGTTACGAGTAGCAGACCGTGATTTTTTTTTACGAGTAACTAGTTACGACCCTTGTGTCTGGTGGTGTGCCGTAAAGTGATTCGTTGAACGGCGCATTACGCATCGATTCATAGAACAATTGGAACGCCCAGACAGTAATATCCACTAGTTACCACAGCCACAAAGTCAAAATTGCCTATAACGTAAAAATGCTGGCATTTTTGTTGTTGTTGCTTTGTGGTCTTAATTTAAGGTTCGGCATAAGGTTAGCAGTGTGATTAAGGTTAGGTTTAAAATCACATTGTAAGAAGATAAACTGTAGAAATAGGCGGCTTTGTGGCTGTGGTAACTAGTGACGACCGCACAGACTGGCCTAGGTCCGCTTCCAGTTCTATCCTAGTCGCTTATCTATTAGTGAATATGCAAAGAACTGTAAATGCTCAATGGAAAGTTTGGAACTCTTCACACGCCGTTCGGAGTTTTTCCCAGAAGGAAGTAGGCTACAGCTGCGCTTGCAGAATAACACAACAACACACAAGGACCAGCTTATTAGAAAATATTACCTTTAGGGACGATCATCTTTGGAGCAAGTTTTCTGGGATGTGGCCAAACAGCTGACTCTGCTGCTGTCTTCTCTAGGCTATGCTACCAAACGTGTAGTTTTACTGGTCATATGATTCATCTAGCGATTGGCGAGGGAAGGAGTCACGCCTGTAGCCGGGACGTCATTGAATTCTTAAGTCGAAACAACCTCCACAGGGGTATAGCCTACATTAAAAAAGAGGAACTTGTCGAATCGAATTTGAGAAATACTAGTACGACAACTTCTAACTTTGGGTCAGCTGCCGTATTATGCTATGCGTTCAGTTACATTGTTAGTGTGTCTTCAATGGCTACAAGTTACAGTATCCCACTTTCTTCAGTGCAACGTTGTTGTTATTCATGCAGTCCATTGTCGCTTTTGGAGGATTGTAACTATAGATAAATGCATTTAAAGTCTTCATTTATCGAACAACATATCAAATACCATGGTTAACAAGGAGGAACTGGAAGAAAGATTGAAAAAACTATTAGTGAGGTTGAAAAACCAACAGGAGGGGAAGCAGTTGAGTACCCTGGTTCAGATCATCCAAGACCTTATTTTCCTGGCGCACACTGATGACTGTGGTAAGAAACCATACATTATAGTTATTTACTAGAATATTTAATACTATTTTCCATCATTTATACCAATTTATAGTTGCCTACTGATTGTGCATTTGTGTTTAATCTCTCCATGCAGTGTACTTACTGTAGGACAGTAGTTTACATGTATAAAGTGTCAATTTCAGACTTCTGTTATTCTCATCTATCTAAGCCAGGCAATTGTTAAAGTTACACCCAGTTAAAAATAGAAATGAGCATGTCTATGTTTATCTCATTATTGAACTGAAAGAACATGTCATTCTCTCTTCTGCTCTCTCCTGTTGTCTCCCTCCCCTCTCCCTCTCCTCTGTTTCTCCTCTCTCTCCTCTCCTCTCTCTCCTGTCTCTCTCCTCTGTCTCTCCTCTGTCTCCCCTCTCCCCTGACTCTCCTCTCCTGACTCCCCTCTCCGCTGACTCCCCTCTCCTGTCTCCCCTCTCCTCTGTCTCCCCTCTTCTCTGTCTCCCCTCTCTGTCTCTGCTCTGTCTCCCCTCTCCTCTGTCTCCCCTCTCCTCTGTCTCCCCTCTCCTCTGTCTCTCCTCTGTCTCCCCTCTCCTCTGTCTCTCCTCTCTCCTGTCTCCCCTCTCCTATCTCTCCTCTGTCCACTGTCCTCTGTCTCCCCTCTCCTCTGTCTCTCTTCTGTCTCTCCTCTCCTCTGATCTTTTCTGTCAGCAGCAGAGCTTTTTGAGGATAAAGATGTCCATGGGCCTCTTATGGTGGTGTTGTCGACTTACAGCGACAGCAGAGGGGTGCAACAGGTAATCCATTATCACAACTCACTGATCATCAGCCAGCTGAGCACTATTGTCTTTACACATATAATACAGTTATACTGTAGTACTAATCAAGCAGAAGTCCCTACAATAGGTGAATCTGAAATCTCAGTATCAATTCAAAGTGAAACTGAATACCTGCTTGGGTCACATGACCTCATCTGTCAGGGTCACACTTTCCATTAGAGCTCTAGTGTGTGATATTCTTGTACAGTGTCACAACAACTATTGTAATGACTAGTTGTTAAGCTGTACTTACACTGTACTTGACTCGACTTACAGGAATATGTACACTGTCTTGTAAAGTGTAACCAGTCATTTTATATATACAGAAAGACTGGGAGTTTATTTTCCCTGCAGGTGGGATGGTCGTTGCTGTGTCGGCTGATGGAGATATGTCCTTCCACCTTGGACTCACTGGTCAAGCCCCTGGGAGCAGGGAAAGACTGGGAGGTACTTGGAGTGCACCAGTAAGTAGTGGAAGACCCCCTTGCAGTATGTGTTCATCCAGCTAACTCAGGATATTGAGGGACTTTGTGGGTAGGAGGAGTTGTCCTTGTTTTGATATTATGTTCTTTCTGTCGGGGAACTACAAGGAAGGAAGTCCAAAGCCAGACAGGGAATTGAAAGGGCACAAATGCAAAAGAAGCCTATTGTTAAGACACTGTGTTCAGTGCTGTTAGTGCAAAAACCGAATAGAAAATTGTGTGTGTGTGCACATGCATGCATTTGTTTCTTGTGTGTGTGATTGTATATGTGCTCACCCCACTATGTTTTACCCTGTATTTGATTTCCAGGCAGATCCTTAAGGTGTTGTCCCAGCACAGTGGAGACTGCAGAGTGATGATGGTTGGGCTCAGGGCACTGGCTCTGCTCCTTAGATCAGGTACAATAACGCATCTTTTGAAAAGGACAGGAGAATACCTACCTCTTGCAGGTACATTGCAGCAATGCTTTCTTTGACCAATGGGTCTTAGTCAGCTCTTTTTATATGCTATTATATTAATATGTAATATATCGTTCATCTATCTGGTGCATCTGCAACAGTATCACCCACCTCCCATGACTCAAGATAACAACAGGCCATAGGCTTCTGGTGAACCACGACATGTTTATAATGTCCAGGGAGCAGAGTCACTCAACTAGAAATATGTTATGGTAGATGTTAAATAGTCACTAGATCAGTCTAGCACACACAAATGATTCCTAACAAAAAGAACAGTAAGATACCAGCATGCAGTGCCAGTTTAACTTCAGAATGAGCCATAGGCCTAAAGTACATACAGTAGCTCTTTGTAGCATACTATGTTAAAGACATGCTCCGGAACTTTGGCAAGTACTAAGTATTTTTTAAGCCTCAATGTGTAGTTCATATATGCATAATCTACGAGCTACAAAATCCCTAGTTTGAAAGCAACTGTTTTTCTGGAAACTGTGCTGCATCATTTTCCCTACATTTTCCCCCACGTGGGCCAGCCCCCTAGATATTTGAGTTCTACCCAATGAGCTTCAGCCCCTCGCCATTTGAGTGACCGATAGCAAGATGCACACACAACAGAGCGAGAGAGAGAGAGCAATGAGAGAGAGAGCACATACACTACATGACCAAAAGTATGTGGACACCTGCTTTTCGAACATCTAATTAGAAAATCATGTGTCATGCCTGCTCCCGCTCCCCCTCCCTGGCGCTCAAGGGCGCAAGGCTGCCCATCATTATTATTATTATTATTATTATTATTATTTTTTTTTAGTCATTTAGCAGACGCTCTTATCCAGAGCGACTTACAGGAGCAATTAGGGTTAAGTGCCTTGCTCAAGGGCACATCGACAGATTTTTCACCTAGTCGGCTCATTACTCAAACCTGTCACCATCGTTACACGCATCTGCGCTTCATTGGACTCACCTGGACTTCATCACTGGCTAATTACCTCCCCTATATCTGTCTGCTCCTCAGTTTGATCCCCGTATCTGCATTAATGTTGTTTTGTTTCCGTTGTCCAGACGCTGTCGGTGTTTTCTTCCTGTCTGTTTTTTCATTAAATGTTCATTCCCAGTACTTGCTTCTCGTCTCCCAGCGTCTGTCGTTACATCATGGGCATTAATATGGAGTTGGTCCCCCCTTTGCTGCTATAACAGCCTCCACTCTACTGGGAAGGCTTTCCACTAGATGTTGGAACATTGCTGCGGGGACTTGCTTCCATTTAGCCACAAGCATTAGTGAGGTCAGGCACTGATGTTGGGCGATTAGGCCTGGCTCGCAGTCGGCGTTCCAATTAATCCCAAAGGTGTTCGATGGGGTTAAGGTCAGGGCTCTGTGCAGGCCAGTCTAGTTCTTCCACACCGATCTCGACAAACCATTTCCGTATGGACCTTGCTTTGTGCAGGGGGACTGAAACAGGAAACGGCTTTCCCAAAACTGTTGCCACAAAGTTGGAAGCACATAAACATCTAGAATGTCGTTGCTGTAGCGTTAATATTTCCCTTCACTGGAATTATTAAGGGACCTAGCCCGAACCATGAAAAACAGACCCAAACAATTATTCCTCCTCCACCAAACTTTACAATTGGCATTATGCATTGGAGCAGGTAGCGTTCTCCTGGCAGCCGCCAAACCCAGATTAGTTCGTCGGACTGCCAGATGGTGAAGCATGATTCATCACTCCAGAGAACGCGTTTCCACTGCTCTAGAGTCCGATGGCGGCGAGCTTTACACCACTCCAGCCGACTGTGTGCAGCTGCTCGGCCATGGAAACCTATTTCATGAAGTTCCCGACTAACAATTATTGTGCTGACGTTGCTTCCAGAGGCAGTTTGGAACTCGGTAGTGAGTATTGCAACCGAGGACAGACGATTTTTACGAGCTACGCACTTCAGCGCTTGGCGGTCCCGTTCTGTGAGCTTGTGTGGCCTACCACTTCGCGGCTGAGCCGTTGTTGCTCCTAAACGTTTCCACTTCACAATAACAGCATTTACAGTTGACCGGGAAGCTCTAGCAGGGCAGAAAGGTGGAAAGGTGGCATCCTATGACGGTGCCACGTTGAAAGTCACTGAGTTCATCAGTACAGGCCATTCTATTGTCAATGTTTGTCTATGGAGATCGCAGGGCGGTGTGCTCGATTTTATACACCTGTCAGCAACGGGTGTGGCTGAAATAGCCAAATCCACTCATTTGAAGGGGTGTCCAGCTACTTATGGCAATTTAGTGTATTTGTGTAAACGCAGCCCTACAGCGAAACTACAGACACTGCGACGAGAACGTACCATCATACAGTATCTGCACATACAGTATGTGACGTGGTACTACATTTTCGGGGACTACTTTAGGCTCGAGCGCTACTTTCAGAACTGCTGGCTAAAAAGTATACAAAAGTAACGGAGAATCTCTTTAAGGCATTTTTGTTAAGGAATTCAAGGACTGTAAACATGGCATATACTCATGACTGCCATATCATACCAAGTCATATCACTTTTTGCTGGCAGTGGTGTACAGTAAATGGACAAACATGACAGTGTATCACTTGTTTGTTTTTGCAGTTTGTGTCTGTAAGGAGGGGACGTTCCGATCGCGCTTAAGTGATAGGAATGCCCCCCCCCCCAATTACAGGCACAAACTGCAAAAACAAGTGGTATAGTATACTATCAGACATTGTTTAAATTGTCAATGTCTTGTAACTGTACTCCACTACCAGCCCTCAGGCCAATAGTGTCCTCTCTGTTTATCTGTCATCAAGACACTCAATTCATCATATTGTCTAACTCAGCGTATCTCATCTCAAAGTCACTCTGTGTGTCGATTTCCGCCCTCAGTCAATTCCTTTCATTTATTGACAGATCATATAATAGATATGACATCATACCCATGGTTGCCAAGGAGCCCTTAGAATGCAGCAGATTTAATTAGGTCACATGGTCGTCATCTCCCCCCCCCCCCCTCAGGTCCAACCCTCTTGTTAGTCAAAGGGACAGTACAGTATCAGTTGAGCCCAGTAACGTGAAGGTTAAGCGGGACAGAAATCTGCACACACAGCACAGGGGTTCTCAGGACTGTCCTTGAGGGTGAGGTATTTACAAGGTAGGAAGTAAACCTAGGTGCTTTCAGTTCCTCTATGGGCGAAAGGTCACTGTGTCCTAAACCAGAGAAGCAATGAATCGAAAAAAAAACGATGATCCTGTATAAATAAGTCTATATGTTGATACACAACATTATAGAAGCCTTATGACGAGACATTATAAAGGTTCATACATGCTTATAACAAGTGATAAAACATTAGCCCTGCGGGGTCAGATTCAATTCAAGTGTCACCAGATGTTGTTTTCTCTGTGTCTAGATGCCATCGTGTTGTTGATTCGGGATGAGGAAGAGGACGTGTTTAGTTTGATTGTTGACGGGATGAAGGCTTTCCCCTCCAGTGAGGAGGTTCAGATTCAGGGCTGCCGTGTTCTCCAGCTGCTACTGGACAGAGGTGAGATATACACTGAGTGTACCGGACATTAGGAACACCTTCCTAATATTGAGTTGCACCCCCTTCTTTTGCCCTCAGAACAGCCTCAATTTGTCAGGGCATGGACTCTACAAGGTGTCAAAAGCGTTCCACAGGAATGCTGGCCCATGTGTCAAGTTGGCTGGATGTCCTTTGGGTGGTGGACCATTCTGGATACACACGGGAAAATGTTGAGTGTGAAAAACCCAGCATCGTTACAGTTCTTGAGACAAACCGGTGTGCCTGGCACCTACTACCATACCCCGTTCAAAGTCACTTAAATATTTTGTCTTGCCCATTCAGCCTCTGAATGGCACACATACACAATCCATGTCTCAATTGTCTTGAGGCTTAAAAATCCTTCTTTAACCTGTCTCTACCCCTTCATCTACACTGATTTGAAGTGGATTTAACAAGTGACATCAATAAGGGATCGTAGCTTTAACCTGGTTTTACCTGGTCAGTCTATGTCATGGAAAGAGCAGGTGTTCTTAATGTTCTGTCCACTCAGTGTAGATACCGAGTCATATTATTATTTACTAGAGGGTTGCATTGCAAGTTGGGGATTTTGCCTTGCCATCAAAATCTGCAAAGTAGTACTCATCACGTTTTGGGAAATTTTGATGTTCCTTGGGATTTTTCAGCCATATTCCTTCATACTCTGACTGATGTTGTGTTCGTCTCTGTGTTGGCAGTGTCTGATGACGACCTGGTAGAGTTTCTGGAGAACCAGGACCACAGTGTGGTTCTAGGTGCTCTCCGCCGTTTCCACGACAGTGAAGACCTGGTTCTGCAGGCCATGAAGGTTCTTCTTCCTCTAGCAGGCCCTGGTAAGTCCCCAATAAAGAATAATAAACAAAACGTGTCTGTTTATCCCCCCCCCGCTCCCCTCCCCTCTGGAATTATTGTAATTTCTATTCTGGCTGCTAGACCCACTGTAGACATTTAATTAGATTTGAGCCTTTTCTCAAAGATTTGTAGATTTTCTCAGTAAAGATATAGCTGTGGGTTTGTAACAAGCAGATGCTTGTCTTACTCCTCACAATGATTGTCTTAATTTGAGTTGATTGAATGTCAAGCCTGTTGTGGTATGGGGAATCACCATGTTGTTGTTCTTGTTCTCTGATGAATGTGTAGGTCATGTGTATCATGGCACAGATTGTATTATTTTTGTGTTTTCTTGTCTGTAAGGTTGCACAATTCTGGCAACTTTCTCAAAATTCCCATATTTGCCAGCCTACAGACAAGAAAACACAAAAAGACTACTCTGTTTCATTTGCTGCTGACATTGTTTCCCTTTGGGGATCAATGAAGTATTAATCTATCTATCTATCAATCATTCAATCAATCGCAGCCAGTAACGTGGAGATCCTGATGTCGGGGGGAGAGAGGTGTTACAGTGTGGTGGCTGGAGCCATGGAGTTGTTCCCAGAGGTTGAGGCACTGCAGGAGGTCGGCTGCTGTCTGTTCAGAAAGTTTACATCAGGTCAGTTCCAGGGTGAAAGGGTCAGAGGTCATGAGCAGTATGATTGAAAGGCACAATACTTTATTAGTTTTTTAGCCACACGACAGCCCTGCAACTTCCTATAACGTTGAGAGATGAGGCTGGGGAAACCCCCTGGACACCACAAACACATCCCTCCCTAATAGTTTTGTTTTTGTCTTTCAGAAAGATATTGTAGTATCCTGGTGCTGAATGGGTTGCATAGGGTCAATGTAAGAGCATGTTTGACTTACCCTGAGAATGCCACTCTACAAGCTGCTGCGCTCTCCTGTCTGGCTGCCCTCAGTGAGTACACACACACACACACACACACACACACACACACACACACACACACACACACACACACAGTTTGCTGACAACACCACGGTTGTAGGCCTACAGGGACAACAACACAGCCTAAAGGGAGGAGGTAAGTGAACTGGCATTGTGGTGTAATGACAACAACCTGTCCCTCAATGTCAGCAAAACAAAGAAGTTGGTTGTTGACTTCAGGAGGGAACATGCCCCGATCCACATCAACGGGACTGCAGTAAAAAGAGTCACAAGTTTTAAGTTCCCCGGCGTCCACATCATGCACTAACAACACCACCACTCTTGTCAAGAGGGCGCAACAGCGTCTCTACTTCCTAAGGTGGCTGAACAAATTCAACATGCCACCACTGGTCCTCTCCAAATACCGCTGCACCATCGAGAGCGTCCTGACCGGTTGCACCACGGCCTGGTACGGGAATTGCTCCATCCACGACTGCAAGGCCCTCCAGGGCGTGGTGAAAAACGGCTCAGTACATCACCGGGACCGTGCTCCCACCCATCCAGGACATCTACTCAAAACCGTGCCTGAGGAAGGCACACAGCATCATCAAGGACCCCACACAGCCCAGTCATGAGCTGTTCTCTCCCTTACCATCGTTCAGACGGTATCGGAGCATGAGGTCTGATACCAACAGGCTCAGAGACAGTTTCTATCCACAGTGCCTTGCAAAAGTATTCATCCCCCTTGGCGTTTTTCCTATTTTGGTGCATTACAACCTGTAATTTAAATGGATTTTTATTTGGATTTCATGTAATGGACATACACAAAATAGTCCAAATTGGTGAAGTGAAATGAAAAACCACCAAGCAAGCGTCACCATGAAGACCAAGGAGCTCTCCAAACAGGTCAGGGACAAAGTTGTGGAGAAGTACAGATCAAGCTTGGGTTATAAAAAATATCTGAAACTTTGAACACCCACGGAGCACCATTAAATCCATTTATTAAAAAATGGAAAGAATATGGCACCACAACAAACCTGCCAAGAGAGGGCCGCCCACCAAAACTCACAGACCAGGCAAGGGGAGCATTAATCAGAGAGGCAACAAAGAGACCAAAGATAACCCTGAAGGAGCTGCAAAGCTCCACAGCTGAGATTGGCGTATCTGTCCATAGGACCACTTTAAGCCGTACACTCCACAGAGCTGGGCTTTCCAGAAGAGTGGCCAGAAAAAAACCATTGCTTAAAGAAACAAATAAGCAAACACGTTTGGTGTTCGCCAAAAGGCATGTGGGAGACTCCCCAAACATATGGAAGAAGGTACTCTGGTCAGATGAGACTAAAATTGAGCTTTTTGGCCATCAAGGAAAACGCTATGTCTGGCGCAAACCCAACACCTCTCATCACCCCGAGAAACAGTGAAGCATGGTGGTGGCAGCATCATGCTGTGGGGATGTTTTCCATCAGCAGGGACTGGGAAACTGGTCAGAATTGAAGGAATGATGGATGGGGCTAAATACAGGGAAATTCTTGAGGGAAACCTGTTTCAGTCTTCCAGAGATTTGAGACTGGGACGGAGGTTCACCTTCCAGCAGGACAATGACCCTAAGCATACTGCTAAAGCAACACTTGAGTGGTTTAAGGGGAAACATTTAAATGTCTTGGAATGGCCTAGTCAAAGCCCAGACCTCAATCCAAATGAGAATCTGTGGTATGACTTAAAGATTGCTGTACACCAGCAGAACCCATCCAACTTGAAGGAGCTGGAGCAGTTTTGCCTTGAAGAATGGGCAAAAACCCCAGTGGCTAGATGTGCCAAGCTTATAGAGACATACCCCAAGAGACGTGCAGCTGTAATTGCTGCAAAATGTGGCTCTACAAAGTATTGACTTTGGGGGGGTGAATAGTTATGCACGCTCAAGTTTTCTGTTTGTTACACAATAAAAAATATTTTGCATCTTCAAAGTGGTAGGCATGTGTAAATCAAATGATACAAACCACCCAAAAATCCATTTTAATTCCAGGTTGTAAGGCAACAAAATAGGAAAAATGCCAAGGGGGGTGAATACTTTCACAAGCCACTGTACAAACCATCAGACTGCTGAACACTTGAACTGGGCTGACCACCTGCTCTGATTCTCCGCAACTTAGCACACATGCACACACCCACACAGACATACACACACACACACACATACATTCATGCTACACACACATCACAACTTATTATACTGCTCAGTTTATACACTGCCCCCCATCCTCCCTTCCCCAAAACACGTGTAAATATTGGACTATAAATTGTACCTTCCTGTTTTATACTTATGAGTCATTTACTTTATGTTCATATTCTTATCTTTTATTATTCCTTATTGTTGTTGCATTGTCCAGAAGGAACCTGAAAGTAAGCATTTAATTGGACGGTGTTTACCATGCATACATGCAGCTAATGAAACTTGAAACACACACACACTTTTGGGTGTGTATCTGTCTTCACACCTGGTTCACCACGGTTGCTTCCTGTTTCTCATCAACTCAGCTCAAACCATAGTGCAGAGCAAAGCTGTGGCGAAGGAAGGGATGGAGGAGGGAGAGGAGGAAGAGAACCGAGGGAAGGAGGTGGCGGTGGATGATGTGGGGTTGTGCTGGATGGAGGCCTGCTGCAGAGCTCTGGAGTTCCATGCTGCTGATTCCACAGTGCAGGTAAGTCCTCAGCACTTTATATTGCACATCATCTATTAGCTTCTCTTATGTTGACACTTTAGTCCTCCTGTCCTGCTATTCTTCTCTCCTTCTGTCTGTCCTCATCTCTCTCTTTCTGTTTCTAACCATCTCCCCCCTAGGAAGCTGCATGTTGGGCCATACACAGCCTGCTATTGCATGGCAGCGAGTCATGGCACCATTCCACAGAAGAGCAAGACGGAAGGTAGTCCGTTAGCATGAGCTTTCCTCATGGTATTGTCATTGACCGGTTCGCTTTAGCTTAAGCTTGAACAGTCCTCGTGGTATTGTATTGACAGTGATCGTGTGCTCCCCAGGACACCAGTCCACAGACAAATCATGGCTGCCATGCTGCTCCACTCCTCCTCTCCTGGGGTGTTCCAGGCTGCTGCCAGCGCCATGGTTACGCTCATCACCTACAATAGTGAGTCAGACCCCCTAGCTCCTGCTAACGTAGGACACTGTTACTACCTGTCAACTGTCTGAGATTACATCAAGTCAGGTCAGACTTCAGCCTCTGCTTATTATTGCAGAATATTTAACTGTGTGTGTGTGTGTGTGTGTGTGTGTGTGTGTGTGTGTGTGTGTGTGTGTGTGTGTGTGTGTGTGTGTGTTTGCAGGTAAAATGCGATCTCTGTTGTTGTCCAATGGCCTCCATGTGAACGTGGTGGAGATGATGAGGAGACACCTGTCCTCTCCAGAGGTCTCTGCTGGTGGATGTAAGCTACTTCACCTGCTCTTCAAGGGAAGGTAGGAATCATTTCAACTGCCATCTACTGACATGATTTCAACTGACATTTTATGGGCTAAAAGTCTTCTGACGTTAGTCAACTTCTGAAGAGGTCCCTACTTGCAGAGCAGGTTTCTCTTGTGGAACAGGTCTGTCTTCTGACATTTCTGACAAGTTATAAAGCTCTCTAAGGTCTTTAATGACTGACATGAAAAGAGGAACTGATGATGCACTACCCAATTTCGAAATGGCACCTTGTGCATTCTATTATTACAACTTTCAAGAGTACGTTTAAAGCCGGACTGAGTTCCTTTTTGGGGGGGGGGGACCAGTGGTCCCCACAGTTTGGGAGTCACTGGTCTAGGGTACCACTGATGTCCCCTGCATCTCTCTGTAGGACGGCCAGTCTGGATGAACTGAACATGGCCATGGGTCAGATCCTTAGGGCCATGAAGGTCCATAACTTCATACCTGAGGTCCAGCTGGAAGCCCTGAAGGCCAGCCTGGCCTTCCTCTGTCCTGGTAGGAGACGCACATAGACAGTCAACACTTGTGGTGTACAAGTGTTCAAGTATTTACATGTGCTTTTAAAAGTATTTAGATATTTGTATGTGTTCACAAGTGTTAAAGCATTTTCAAGTGTTCATACGTGTTCATACGTGTCCATACGTGTCCATACGTGTCCATACGTGTTCATACGTGTCCTACATTTACATTTACATTTTAGCCATTTAGCAGACGTGTCCATACGTGTCCATACGTGTCCATACGTGTCCATACGTGTCCATACGTGTCCATACGTGTCCATACGTGTCCATACGTGTTCATGCGTGTATCAAGCTCCAGCCATAGTGCCCAAAGCAAGAGAGACCTTTTTTGTTTTAGTCAGATGTATTTAGCTGAGTGTATTTTCACTTATCTTGTGTGTGTGTGTGTGTGTGTGCAGACAGGAGTTTGCGGGTGTCTGATCACGGTGTGTCTGTGGCTGATCCAGACACAGTGGACGTGTCTCTGAGGGTGCAGAAAAACCAGAGTGTGGTGGAGGGGGCCCACACGGTCTACCTAGAGGCACTCAACAGGGTAATCATGTCTCCCCATGCAATTCATTCCCTGCTCAAAATCAGGGCCTGTATTCATAAAGCATCTCAGAGTAGGAGTGTTGATCAGAAATCAGGTCCACCCGTCCCTGTAATCTTATCAATTGTGATCTAAAAGGCTGATCCTAAAACACTCCTACTCTGAGACACTTTGTGAATACAATCCCTGGTCCCTAGTATTCACACAGTTATCCTTGTTAATAATAGACTGCCCTTAAAATATAAACCTTTTTGTTGTTTGTGTGGTAGTTTATTAGCAGTGCAGCCATCCAGGAGTGTGGCCTGCGGGTTCTGTATGCCCTGACTGACTGCTCCGGTGCTGTAGACCTGCTCTGTCAACAGGGGGCAATAGACACTGTGCTGCACACACTACAGATGTTCCCTAGGGAACGAGGTGAGAGCGAGTAGTTACACTGCTGACTGGCTAAATATGGCACGTTTACAGAAATGTTGATGGACGTGCATTGTCCCTGTCAAGTAAAGCGAATCAAGACCAGTAAAGCAGAGACTTCAAGGTTCTGTCCATGACTCCCTTCCTTCCTCTTCAATAGAAATCCACTACTGGGGTCTAAACCTCCTCTACTGCCTTGTGTCTAAGAAGAAGCTGTCCAGAATGATAGTTCCCGTCCTGGCGTCTGTTCTCGTTACCACTCTCCTGCAGTACAGAGAGGATGCAGAGATGCTTTTAAAGGTGAGTAAGCCTCTATGGTCCTCAAAGCCATATTAGTCTAGAAGATTTCCAGTTATTTCAAGTAATGACATTTTTAAAAACTAAATAGGGGTTCCAGGTGGCCCTCCGGATGCTAGACGCCTGCTCAGGGGCCGCAGGGGAGCTACAGAGGGAAGGCTTTGACAGAGAGATCTTCCTCCAGCTCAAAGAAGGACCACCCGACCGATGCAGCTACCCGGTAAGTATGTGTGTGTGTGTGTGTTTCTGTGTGTCTGTTCACATACTCTATATTCCTTGGTCTTCCTTCCTTACCCATCTTATAACATTCCCATCCTACACATTATCCCCCCACATCTCTCTCTCTCTCTATCCTCTCTCTCTCTCTATCTCTCTCTCTCTCTCTCTATCTCTCTATCTCTATAGCTTAATCTACCCTTCCCTCTCTGTCTCTGTCTATGTCTGTAGTAGTCTCGTATCTATCTCTCTCTATCTATATCTCTCTCTCTCTATCTATCCTCTCTCTCTCTCTCTCTCTCTATCTCTCTATCTCTCTCTATCTCTTAATTCCTTCCTCTTGCCTCTGTCTTGTCTCTGTCTCTGTCTCTCTCTCTGTCTCTCTCTCTCTCTATCTCTCCTTCTTCATATTGCCTCTCTCTTCTCTCTATCTCTCTCTCTTTCTCTCTATTTTAATCTCCTCTCCCTTCTGTCTCTGTCCGTTCTGTCTCTGTCTCTGTCTCTGTCTCTGTCTCGTCTCTGTCTCTCTCTCTCTCATCCTCTCTCTCTCTATCTCCCTCTCTTCATCTTGCCCCTCCCTCTCTCTCTCTCTCTCTCTCTCTCTCTCTCTCTCTCTCTCTCTCTCTCTCTCTCTCTCTCTCTCTCTCTCTCTCTTCATCTTGCCCTCCCTCTCTCTCTCTCGCTCTCTCTGTCTCTCTTCATCTCGCTCTCCCTCTCTGTCTCTCTCTCTTCCTCTATCTCTCCCAGCTGCGTAAGGCTGCATGCCTGGCCCTGTCCAAGATGTGTGGCGATGCAGAGCTGAGGTACAGTATGCTGGAGAAGGCCTGTGAGGACGGAGATGTGCTCATGGCTGAGTGTCTCATCCAGCTAGGAGCCGACATCAATAAGAAGACCAAGACTGAGTCGCTCATATACCAGGTCAGCACTGATCTCTGTGGGGATCTGATGAAATATGATCCGTGTGTGTGTGTAGATGTGTATGTGTGTACTTGGGTGGTTGTTGGGAATTCAGCCCCAAAACATTTTCTAAATTTGTTTCACTTTGGGAACTCAGTTCCTAGGCGTTGCCCTTCGATTCCCAACCCTGCTCACCCACTTCCCCACTGCATCCCCTCCCAGGTGTGTGAGCAGGGCGGACCTCTGGAGCTTGTGGTGCTGCTTCTCAGCCGTGGGGTCCATGAGCAGCACCTGCGTGGTGCCCTGGGTGCCAGCGTGCGTCGTGGGGACGGCCCTGCGGTCATCCAGCTGCTGGGGCGTCTGGGGCTGGACCTGAACAACAATGCCCTCTGTCTGGGGGGGTTCAGGCTGGGTCGGGTGGACGCTGCCTGGCTCAGCCCCCTGCTCTCTGAACGAGGCCGCGCCAACAGTCTACACTCCAGCACAAGTGAGTCTAGTCACTGATGCTGATTTCCGAGTTGACCCCTAGTTATAGACTCTCCTCCCTAGATACTCCTGAAGTGATGCTGATTTCCGAGTTGACCCCTAGTTATAGACTCTCCTCCCTAGATACTCCTGAAGTGATGCTGATTTCCAGATAGACCCCTAGTTATAGACTCTCCTCCCTAGATACTCCTGTAGATCTCTAGATCTTATTTGAAGGAAAGCTGAAACTATCATATTACTTATACATTTCCAATATGAATGAATAGAACATAAAAAATAGTTTTATTTACAATACGTGTGCGTATGTATTTTGGTCAGAACCCTGGGATGAAGGATGTGTGCTCTCTGTGTTGTGTTTTCAGGTAATGGTGCATGTTTAGCCCGGTACGTGTTATCCTTCCAGAGGAGTAAGACGGCCCCTACCCCCTCGACCCCCAGGTCTCTAGCTGACCCCTGCCTGACCTCTGGGTACCTGTCAGACGAGAGTGATGACTCCAGCTTCCTGTCTTTAGAGGACAGTCTGGTCTTCACCAATGACGACATGGAGAGTGACGGTGAGGTGGACCATGAGACACACAGAACAGCGCCCCCTGTCAACTTTCAAATGTTTATTACAAACTAATTACTCTCTCTTGCTAGTCACAATGGAATCACTTGGTAAAAAATAACCATTATTTGGTATCTATAATATAATAGCTAATTTGGTGACTGTTAATTATTGGCCACAGTTGCTTTATTTGGGGAATGTCTTGCTTACGGGATGTCTCCTTATTTTCACAGGAAGTGATTCGCTTTCAGTGGCGCTGTCCCCCAAGTCCCCAAATGATTTGTCAGAGGAGTGGAAGGCGGGGTCACAGAAGAGGAAGAACGGGCGTCGCAGGCACTTTAGCTCCGAGGTGGGCTATCTTCTTTACCACCAATCTAAATATTGTTTATTTGTGAAGTTACTCTATTTCAGAGAAAAAACTCAACTGACCTGCTCTCTCTTTCTCTCTCTCTCTCTCTCTCTCTCTCTCTCTCTCTCTCTCTCTCTCTCTCTCTCTCTCTCTCTCTCTCTCTCTCTCTCTCTCTCTCTCTCTCTCTCTTTCAATAAATTAATTAATTAAGCTATGTGCCAATCAATTAACCAATTAATTTACTAATCAATCAAACAGTCCTGTATCCATCCACAGGGAGTCCAGGGTGAGGTTGAGCTCAACGAGCCACTTCAGAGGAGGTATGGCAGGACAACCCCTAACCAGAAAGGTACTAACATTAGCTTTACTTGTCCTTGTTCAAAATATCAATGGTATCATATCAATGGTATCATATCAATGGTATCATATCAATGGTAATCCATTATTTCTGTTGTCGTTTCCACTCCAGGTATTTACTCCCCAGTCTTGGGCTCTGGGGATATCTCCTCCCCTCTGGGCGGGGACAGAGAGCGGATCCGCCTGCTGGACCTATCAGGGAATGAGCTGGACTGTGTGTCGTGTTTGATGGACGAGGGTTCTGTCCGACAGCAGCTGGAGCACCTGTATCGACTAGACCTGAGCCAGAACAGCCTATCAGAGTTCCCCTCTGGGCTGTGTGAGGTGTGGGGTCTGTTCAGAATGCTTAAATGTTTGGTTAATCTACAGAATTTTGTCAGTATACAAAACAAATATTCATCATTTTATATCATACATTTATCATACATTTATAGTTTTGTTGATTTATTTAATACTTAATAATAATAATTATACTTCTTAGAGCTTGAAGAGTCTGACCCGTCTGGATCTCCAAGGCAACCAGCTGCAGTCTTTGCCGGCGGAGCTTCTGGCCCTGCCCTCACTGAGCATGCTCAACGTGTCACGTAACTGTGTCGGCCCTCTTCTGACCCTTGACCCTGCCGTCAGCTGCCCGTCGCTACGGCAACTCAACCTGTCCTTCAACCACATCACCACCTTCCCCCACCAGCTGGGCCGTGTCATGGAGCGACTGGAGGAGCTGTCCCTCGAGGGGTATGATGGGAAATTGAGTTCTTTGCATCACTGCTGAACGTTTTACTTTAGCTGTGTAGTTAGCACAAAATTATATTATAAATCATTACAAAGCAGGAATTATTGTTTAGTTTTTGTCAAACATGTAAATCCTACCCATCTGGCACTCTAGACAGGTTCAACCAAATCCTCAAATTATTTGAAAGAAAACTACTCTGATTTGAACCCAAGTATGTGACATCAATTATCGTAAATATAACTTAGTCTATACACCTTTTCCTCTCCTGTAGGAACAGAATGAGTGAGCTGTGGTCTCCTCTGTGTCTTCCGGAGATGAAGCTCCTAGACATCAGTAAGAACAGTGTGGAGAGCATCTCACGTGACTTCCTGTCTGGCTGCCCCAAACTAGAGAACTTCAGTGCCTGTACCAACCAACTCAGTAAGTACATTGTAACGCAGTTACTTACTTAATCCTTTTCAATCCTAACGGAACATGGGGCCTATACTAGTTTTCCAATGCTGTTTTACAATGGATTATTGTTTGGCATTATTATTAGGCACATCTGTGAAAGTAATTAAAGTCTAACAGATTTCTAGAAAATGTCTTGCCAGACAAATTAATTAATTTAGTTAAATCTTCCTTATGGATATGTAGATAAACACTTAATTAGTGTATTTTGCGAAATAAGAACATATTCATTGTATGACATTGTGTTTTGTGTTTCTGCTGTCACAGGTTCCCTGTCACACCTCCCCTCAAAGATAACAACGCTGAAGTTATCACATAACAGTTTCACTACCATTCCTCAAGCCATTCTGGATCTTCCAATGTAAGTTTGATGTTTTAATGAAGGCAACTACATTGTTGTAGAAGGTGTTTATTAGTTAACTATTAGTTGAGTAAAAACTCTGCTTATTAGTGTGCAAACATGAATTTGGCTTGAGATTCAAAATGGCTCATCCTTGCTTTTTACTTTGCTTTCAGTTTACGGTCCGTGGATATGAGGACCAATGACATCTCAGTTTTACCGGGGCCGTGCGCCTGGGCGTCGGTCAACCTGCGGGAGCTCATGTTCGGTCAGAACCGCATCGGAGTGCTGGACCTGAGTGGACCTGAAGTTTACAAGTGGGCCAGACTGGAGAAACTACACCTGAGTGACAATAAGCTCACAGAGGTCAGCATTCATCTTAGTAATATGTCATTAACATGGTCATTTCCGAAACGCCAAAGTGACTGACAGTGAACACACGTGCCACAATAAGTATGTGGCATTTGTTAGCACCATGCGCTCTAACCAACTGTGCCATTGAAACAGTCGTATTTAGTGAACAGGGACAATGCAATACACAATGCATCTCACACCTCGATGATAAACTGCATGTTCTCTCTAGAACAGGTCTCTCTGGTAAAATGGATGTTATCTCAATGAGAATAAATGAAGGTTTCATAAAATATATTTTTAAATATAAAAGTAACCCCTGTCTGTTTCAGGTCCCTCCTCAGATCGGCCTGCTGGAGGAGCTGACCTCTCTCGACTTGAGCCGTAATGGCGGCCTACGCTCCTTCCCTGATGAGATGGGCAAGCTGAGCAGGCTGTGGGACTTGCCACTGGATGGCCTGCGCCTCAGCCTGGACCTCAAGCACATCGGCAACAAGACCAAAGACATAGTCAGGTGAATGTCTGCAACGAAATGCTTATCTGCAGGTTCCTTCTGGACAATGCAACAACAATAAGAAATAATAAAAGATAAGAATATGAACATAAAGTAAATGACTCATAAGTATAAAACAGGAAGGTACAATTTATAGTCCAATATTTACACATGTTTTGGGGAAGGGAGGATGGGGGGCAGTGTATAAACTGAGCAGTATAATAAGTTGTGATGTGTGTGTAGCATGATTGTATATACAGTATCTCACAAAAGTGAGTACACCCCTCACATTTTTGTAAATATTTGAGTATATATATGTGACAACACTGAATAAATGACACTTTGCTACAATGTAAAGTAGTGAGTGTACAGCTTGTATAACAGAGTACATTTGCCTTGCCCTCAAAATAACACAACACACAGCCATTAATGTCTAAACCGCTGGCAACAAAAGTGAGTACACACCTAAGTGAAAATTTCCAAATTGGGCCCAAAGTGTCAATATTTTGTGTGGCCACCATCATTTTCCAGCACTGCCTTAACCCTCTTGGGCATGGAGTTCACCTGAGCTTCACAGGTTGCCACTGGAGTCCTCTTCCACTCCTCCATGACGACATCACGGAGCTGGTGGATGTTCGAGACCTTGCACTCCTCCACCTTCCGTTTGAGGATGCCCCACAGATGCTCAATAGGGTTTAGGTCTGGAGACATGCTTGGCCAGTCAATCACCTTTACCCTCAGCTTCTTTAGCAAGGCAGTGGTTGTCTTGGAGGTGTGTTTGGTGTCGTTATCATGTTGGAATACTGCCCTGCGGCCCAGTCTCTGAAGGGAGGGGATCATGCTCTGCTTCAGTATATCACAGTACATGTTGGTATTCATGGTTCCCTCAATGAACTGTAGCTCCCCAGTGCCGGCAGCACTCATGCAGCCCCAGACCATGACACTCCCACCACCATGCTTGACTGTAGGCAAGACACACTTGTCTTTGTACTCCTCACCTGGTTGCCGCCACACATGCTTGACACCATCTGAACCAAATAAGTTTATCTTGGTCTCATCAGACCACAAGACATGGTTCCAGTAATCCATGTCCTTAGTCTGCTTGTCTTCAGCAAACTGTTTGCGGGCTTTCTTGTGCATCATCTTTAGAAGAGGCTTCCTTCTGGGACGACAGTCATGCAGACCAATTTGATGCAGTGTGCGGCGTATGGTCTGAGCACTGACAGGCTGACCCCCCACCCCTTCAACCTCTGCAGCAATGCTGGCAGCACTCGTACGTCTATTTCCCAAAGACAACCTCTGGATATGACGCTGAGCACGTGCACTCAACTTCTTTGGTTGACCATGGCGAGGCCTGTTCTGAGTGGAACCTGTCCTGTTAAACCGCTGTATGGTCTTGGCCACTGTGCTGCAGCTCAGTTTCAGGGTCTTGGCAATCTTCTTATAGCCCAGGCCATCTTTATGTAGAGCAACAATTCTTTTTTTCAGATCCTCAGAGTTCTTTGCCATGAGGTGCCATGTTGAACTTCCAGTGACCAGTATGAGGGAGTGTGAGAGCGATGACACCAAATTTAACACACCTGCTCCCCATTCACACCTGAGACCTTGTAACACTAACGAGTCACATGACACCGGGGAGGGAAAATGGCTAATTGGGCCCAATTTGGACATTTTTACTTAGGGGTGTACTCTATTTTGTTGCCAGCGGTTTAGGCATTAATGAATGTGTGTTGTGTTATTTTGAGGGGACAGCAAATGTACACTGTTATACAAGCTGTACGCTCAATACTTTACATTGTAGAAAAGTGTCATTTCTTCAGTGTTGTCACATGAAAAGATATACTCAAATATTTACAAAAATGTGAGGGGTGTACTCACTTTTGTGAGATACTGTATGTGTGTGTGTACAGTGTATAAACTGAGCAGTATAATAAGTTGTGATGTGTGTGTAGCATGAATGTATATATGTGTGTGTGTACAGTGCCTTGCAAAAGTATTCATCCCCCTTGGCGTTTTTCCTATTTTGTTGCATTACAACCTGTAATTTTTTATGGATTTTTATTTGGATTTCATGTAATGGACATACACAAAATAGTCCAAATTGGTGAAGTGAAATGAAAAACCACCAAGCAAGCGGCACCATGAAGACCAAGGAGCTCTCTAAACAGGTCAGGGACAAAGTTGTGGAGAAGTACAGATCAGGCTTGGGTTATAAAAAAATATCCGAAACTTGAACACCCACGGAGCACCATTAAATCCATTATTAAAAAATTGAACGAATATGGCACCACAACAAACCTGCCAAGAGAGGGCCGCCCACCAAAACTCACGGACCAGGCAAGGGGAGCATTATTCAGAGAGGCAACAAAGAGACCAAAGATAACCCTGAAGGAGCTGCAAAGCTCCACAGCGGAGATTGGAGTATCTGTCCATAGGACCACTTTAAGCCGTACGCTCCACAGAGCTGGGCTTTACGAAAGAGTGGCCAGAAAAAAGCCATTGCTTAAAGAAAAAATAAGCAAACACGTTTTGTGTTCGCCAAAAGGCATGTGGGAGACTCCGCAAACATATGGAAGAAGGTACTCTGGTCAGATGAGACTAAAATTGAGCTTTTTGGCCATCAAGGAAAACGCTATGTCTGGCACAAACCGAACACCTCTCATCACCCCGAGAACACCATCCCCACAGTGAAGCATGGTGGTGGCAGCATCATGCTGTGGGGATGTTTTTCATCAGCAGGAACTGGGAAACTGGTCAGAATTGAAGGAATGATGGATGGGACAGGGAAATTCTTGAGGGAAACCTGTTTCAGTCTTCCAGAGATTTGAGACTGGGACGGAGGTTCACCTTCCAGCAGGACAATGACCCTAAGCATACTGCTAAAGCAACACTTGAGTGGTTTAAGGGGAAACATTTAAATGTCTTGGAATGGCTTATTCAAAGCCTATTCAAAGCCCAAACCCCAATTGAGAATCTGTGGTATGACTTAAAGATTGCTGTACACCAGCGGAACCCATCCAACTTGAAGGAGCTGGAGCAGTTTTGCCTTGAGGAATGGGCAAAAATCCCAGTGGCTAGATGTGCCAAGCTTATAGAGACATACCCCAAGATACTTGCAGCTGTAATTGCTGCAAAAGGTGTCTCTACAAAGTATTGACTTTGGGGGGGGTGAATAGTTACAGTGAGGGAAAAAAGTATTTGATCCCCTGCTGATTTTGTACGTTTGCCCACTGACAAAGACATGATCAGTCTATCATTTTAATGGTAGGTTTATTTGAACAGTGAGAGACAGAATAATGACAAAAAAATCCAGAAAAACGCATGTAAGAAATGTTATAAATTGATTTGCATTTTAATGAGGGAAATAAGTATTTGACCTCTCTGCAAAACATGACTTAGTACTTGGTGGCAAAACCCTTGTTGGCAATCACAGAGGTCAGACGTTTCTTGTAGTTGGACACCTGGTTTGCACACATCTCAGGAGGGATTTTGTCCCACTCCTCTTTGCAGATCTTCTCCAAGTCATTAAGGTTTCGAGGCTGACATTTGGCAACTCGAACCTTCAGCTCCCTCCACAGATTTTCTATGGGATTAAGGTCTGGAGACTGGCTAGGCCACTCCAGGACCTTAATGTGCTTTTTCTTGAGCCACTCCTTTGTTGCCTTGGCCGTGTGTTTTGGGTCATTTTCATGCTGGAATACCCATCCACGACCCATTTTCAATGCCCTGGCTGAGGGAAGGAGGTTCTCACCCAAGATTTGACGGTACATGGCCCCGTCCATCCTCCCTTTGATGCGATGAAGTTGTCCTGCCCCCTTAGCAGAAAAACACCCCCAAAGCATAATGTTTCCACCTCCATGTTTGACAGTGGGGATGGTTTTCTTGGGGTCATAGGCAGCATTACTCCTCCTCCAGGCGAGTTGAGTTGATGCCAAAGAGCTCAATTTTGGTCTCATCTGACCACAACACTTTCACCCAGTTCTCCTCTGAATCATTCAGATGTTTATTGGCAAACTTCAGACGGGCCTGTATATGTGCTTTCTTGAGCAGGGGGACCTTGCGGGCGCTGCAGGATTTCAGTCCTTCACGGCATAGTGTGTTACCAATTGTTTTCTTGGTGACTATGGTCCCAGCTGCCTTGAGATCATTGACAAGATCCTCCCGTGTAGTTCTGGGCTGATTCCTCACCGTTCTCATTATCATTGCAACTCCACGAGGTGAGATCTTGCATGGAGCCCCAGGCCGAGGGAGATTGACAGTACTTTTGTGTTTCTTCCATTTGTGAATAATCGCACCAACTGTTGTCACCTTCTCACCAAGCTGCTTGGCGATGTTCTTGTAGCCCATTCCAGCCTTGTGTAGGTCTACAATCTTGTCGCTGACATCCTTGGAGAGCTCTTTGGTCTTGGCCATGGTGGAGAGTTTGGAATCTGATTGATTGATTGGTGGCTTCTGTAGACAGGTGTCTTTTATACAGGTAACAAGCTGAGATTAGGAGCACTCCCTTTAAGAGTGTGCTCCTAATCTCAGCTCGTTACCTGTATAAAAGACACCTGGGAGCCAGAAATCTTTCTGATTGAGAGGGGGTCAAATACTTATTTTCCTCATTAAAATGCAAATCAATTTATAACATTTTTGACATGCGTTTTTCTGGATTTTTTTGTTGTTATTCTGTCTCTCACTGTTCAAATAAACCTACCATTAATATTATAGACTGATCATTTCTTTGTCAGTGGGCAAACGTACAAAATTAGCAGGGGATCAAATACTTTTTTCCCTCACTGTATACATGCTCAAGTTTTCTGTTTTTTTGTCTTATTTCTTGTTTGTTACACAATAAAAAATATGTTGCATCTTCAAAGTGGTAGGCATGTGTAAATCAAATGATACAACCCCCCCCAAAATCCATTTAAATTCCAGGTTGTAAGGCAACAAAATAGGAAAAATGCCAAGGGGGGTGAATACTTTCGCAAGCCACCGTATGTCTGTGTAGGTGTGTGAATGTGTGCTAAGGTGCGGAGAATCAGAGCAGGTGGTCAGCCCAGTTCAAGTGTTCAGCAGTCTGATGGCTTGTAGATAGAAACTGTCTCTGAGCCTGTTGGTATCAGACCTCATGCTCCGATACCGTCTGAACGATGGGTGGAAGCACGGTCCCAGTGATGTACTGGGCTGTCTTCACCACACCCTGGAGGGCCTTGCGGTCGTGGATGGAGCAATTACCGTACCAGGCTGTGATGCAACCGGTCAGGACGCTCTCGATGGTGCAGGGGTAGTATTTGGAGAGGACCAGGGTGGCATGCTGAATTTCTTCAGCCACCTTAGGAAGTAGAGACGCTGTTGCGCCCTCTTGACAAGACTAGTGGTGTTGTTGGACCTCGGTGATGTGGATGCCGAGAAACTTAAAACTCTTGACTCTCTACTGCAATCCCCTTGAGGTGGATCGGGGCATGTTCCCTCCTCTGCTTGAAGACATCAACAGGATGTTGAGGAAGAGGTTTTCATGACACCACAATGCCAGTTCACTTACCTCCTCCCTATAGGCTGACTCATCGTTGTTGTTGGTTATAAGGCCTACAACCGTGGTGTCATCAGCAAACTTGATGATGGAGTTGGTGTCGTACAAAGCCACGCAATCGTGGGTGAACAGCAGAGGGCTGAGGACACACCCCTGGGGGACTCCTGTGTTAAGAGTCAGTGTGAAGGAGGTGTTGTTGCCAATCTTCACAGCCTGTGGTCTACTTGTCAGGAAGTCCAGAATCCAGTTGCAGAGGGTGGTGGCCAGACCCAGGGCTCTGAGCTTGGTGTCGAGCTTGGTGGGAACAATAGTATTCAATGTTGAACTGTACTCAATGAACAGCATTCTCACATAGGTGTTCTTCTTGTCCAGATGTGTTACGGCCGTGTGAATATCGATGGAAATGGCATCTTCTGTGAATCTGTTGGGTAGGCAAATTGGAGTAGGTCCAGCGTGCATGGCATGCTGGCCTTGATGTGGGCCATGACTAGCCTCTCGAAGCACATCATATGATGACCGAGGTGAGCGCAATGGGGTGATAGTCATTTGGGCATGTCACCTTGTTTTTGTAAGCTTCACGGATGTTTGTGTATACATGGTCAAGCATGCTGGATCCTCTTGTGGCAGGATACATGTTTGCGATATATATATATATTTTTTTTTTTGACGGGAACCTGGATTGACATTTAATCCAAAAAGCAATGCGATCTGTCAAAGGGAATTCTGAATGACCAGGTGGTGGCTTTTGATAGATTTGAATTTGCTCCAGATTTCCCCTTTCAATCAAAGGCCTAATCCCATTCATAAAACTCTACCAAATAAATCCCTCTCTCCTATATCCTGTAACCCAGGTTCCTCCAGCAGCGTCTGAAGAAAGCCGTTCCGTACTACCGGATGAAGCTGATCGTGGTTGGGAACGCCGACAGTGGGAAGACTGCTCTGATCCGACAGCTGATGAAGTTGAAGCGTTCTCAGTGGCAGTTGGAGCGGCCCACCGTTGGGATCGACGTCAGAGATTGGACCATCCGGGACCGGGATAAGAAGAACATGGTGTTGAATGTCTGGGACTTCTCAGGTGGGCTCAACCGTCATCCGTTAACTGTCAACTGTGACATCTGGTCTGGATACTTACTAGTGATGTGGGAAAAAATGTATACAGTTACATATCACAATATTACTTTGGACGGTATTATATTGATACTTTGACTCCAAGTATCGATTTTGCTAGGTGGAGTTAGATAGTGCTAGTCGGCTGTACCTGCGCCAAAACTCCGGTATTATTTATCCTATAGCTTGTTCTCCATTTTCTTTTTAAAATAGTGAGCCAACATGTTTTCAGCACTTTTATTTACATGACTGATAAACTATTTTTCTCATACTCTCTCTTGTCTCTCTGCAGCAGACATACTGTTTGGAACATCACATCGCAATATTGAATCACAATACAATGCCTTCAGAAAGTATTCATACCCCTTGACTTGTGCTACATTTTGTTCTGTTACAACCTGAAATCAAAATGGATTAAATCAATGTTTTTCTCACCTATCTACACACAATACCCCATAATGACAGTGAAAATATGTTTTTAGAAATGTCTGCACATTTATTGAAAATGAAATAGAGAAATATCTCATTTACATAAGTATTCACACCCCTGAGTCAATAGATGTTAGAATCACCTTTGGCAGGAATTACAGCTGTGAGTATTTCTGGGTAAGTCTGTAAGAGCTTTGAATACCTGGATTGTACAATATTTGCACATTATTATTTTTAAAATTCTGCTGCACGCACAAAACAAATATTAGACAGCAAGGCTCTTGATCCAGGAGGGGATTCTCTGCTGGACCAAGCAAAGGCTTGATTTTGGAAGAAGCTAACCACATAGATAGATAACTAACTAGCTACTAAATTAGCAAATCGATTGCAGAGCATTTAGCACATTTTAGACAGTTAAATGAGGAGTTATAAGATATCTAGCTGGCAAACATTTAGTTGTGAATTCTATACTGTAATTAGATCACCTGGTGCATGCTGCTCAACAGTGAGTGACTCACAAGGTTCCGGTCTCTCGTCGTTGTGTGCTTGTAAACAAACACCACGTGACATTTGACTTGGGACTACCGGTAAGCTTCATAATGAAAAATTATGTGACAAGTGAAATGAAAAACGCAATGTTCTTTATCTCCTAATGTATTGCACAATTTGACTGCAGGTATTTAATTAAAAAGTAGCTACAAATATTACAATTTATTTTAAAACTTCAAATAAATAGTTTCAACGGTATTGAAAAACCATCCCATGTTTTTTTTCCAAATACCCCGGTATACGGTATATATATAGTATACTGCCCAAGCCTAGTCTTACAGTTCAGTGGGAAAGTATTCAGATCCCTTCCATTTTTCCACATCTTGTTACGTTACAACCTTATTCTAAAATGGATTAAATAAATAAAAATCCTCATCAATCTACACACAATAACCCATAATGAAAACAGGTTTTTAGAAATGTGTATTACAAATGAAAAACAGAAATACCTTATTTATGTAAGTGTTCAGACCCTTTGCTATGAGACTCGAAAGTGAGCTCAGGTGCATCCTGTTTCCATTGATCATCCTTGAGATGTTTCTACAACTTGATTTGAGTCCACTTGTGGTAAATTCAATTGATTGGACATGATTTGGAAAGGCACACACCTGTCTATATAAGGTCCCACAGTTGACAGTGCATGTTAGAGCAAAAACCAAGCCATGAGGTCGAAGGAATTGTCCATAGAGTTCTGAAACAGGATTATGTCGGCACAGATCTGGGGAAGGGTACCAAAAAATGTCTTCAGCATTGAAGGTCCCCAAGAACACAGTGGCCTCCATCATTCTTAAATGGAAGAAGTTTGGAACCACCAATACACTTCCTAGAGCTGGCTGCCCGGCTAAACTGAGCAATTGGAGGAGAAGGGCCTTGGTCCAGGAGGTGGCCAAGAACCTGATGGTCACTCTGACAGAGCTATAGAGTTCCTCTGTGGAGATGGGAGAACCTTCCAGAATGACAACCATTTCTGCAGTACTCCACCAATCAGGCCTTTTTGGTAGAGTGGCCAGACGGAAGCCTCTCCTCAGTAAATGGCACATGACAGCCCGCTTGGAGTTTGCCAAAAGGCACCTAAAGGACTCTCAGACCATGAGAAACAAGATTCTCTGGTCTGATGAAACCAAGATTGAACTCTTTGGCCTGAATGCCAAGCGTCATGTCTGGAGGAAACCTGGCACCATCCCTACAGTGAAGCATGGTGTTGGTAGCATCATGCTGTGGGGATGTTTTTCAGTGGCAGGGACTGGGAGACTAGTCAGGATCGAGGGAAAGATGAATGGAGCAAAGTAAAGAGAGATCCTTGATGAAAACCTGCTCCAGAGTGCTCAGGACCTCAGACTGGGACGAAAGTTCACCTTCCAACAGGACAACGACCCTAAGCACACAGCCAAGACAATGCAGGAGTGGCTTCGGGACAAGTCTCTGGATGTCCTTGAGTGAACATCTCTGGAGAGACCTGAAAATAGCTGTGCAGGTACTCTGCCCATCCAACCTGACAAAGCTTGAGAGGATCTGCAGAGAAAAATGGGAGTAACTCCCTAAATACAGGTGTGCCAAGCTTGTAGCATCATACCCAAAAAGACTCAAGGCTGTAATCGCTGCCAAAGGTGCTTCAATAAAGTACTGAGTAAATGATCTGAATACTTATGTAAATGTGATATTTCATTTTCATCTAAACCTGTTTTTGCTTTGTCATTATGGGGTATTGTGTGTGGATTGAGGTAAAAACACAAGATTTTAGAATAAGGCTGTAACGTAACAAAATGTGGAAAAAGTCAAGGGGTCTGAATACTTTCCAAATGCAGTGTAAGTTTGGGTTTCAAGATCTGGATCTTGGACTTCTACTCAAGTCATTGTCTGAGTCTTTAAGGTTTTGTTATGGTGGTCTTGACCCCCCCCCTCTACTCTTTGTTCAGGTGGAGAGGAGTTCAGTGGTTCTCACCCCCACTTCCTGACCCCCCGGGCCCTCTACCTGGTGGTGTACGACCTGAGTAAGGGGGCGGCCCAGGTGGAAGCGCTCAAACCCTGGCTCTTCAACATCAAGGTGAGTCACACCTAGGACTGTGGCGGTCACAACATTTTGTCAGTACTAACATGTTCCATTAGCGGGAAAACACCATTATCAAAAGTGACCACAAATGCGATTATGCATGTAATGCTTTTATTACAAAGGTGCATTTTTATGGTGAAAATTATCTTCCCCAAACTTGAAACTCACGCGCTGCTTATGTATGCCAGTTAGGCTCTACACCCCTTGTAAAGCAGATTAATGTGCTTAATTTTAAGAAGTTATTTGGCCACTTTAGTTGTGATACACACCTTATCAAAACATATAGGCCTATGGGCTAGGCTACATGAGGTATATAATCTTGTCTTTACATATATGGAATAATATGTGTGAATTTGTATTTATTTAGAATGGACCATTATCATGCACATGTCTCAAAACAGGGGCAGCGGGAAAAAATACATGTAATCTATGTACTTAAATAGCGAATGGAGGAAATTTTTCCTGTGGTTCATTTTCATGCCAGCCAGGTAGGCTATACTCATGTTGTAAAGATAAGCAATGTGCTTAATATTAGGAAAGTTGAGAAATAAATATAGTAGGCCTAGCCTATAGAAAGCTGATGGGATCCTCCTCTTTTTAATAGAGGCCATCACTCTGTTTTCTCGCACAATTGCATAGCCTATAGAAATGTTGCACTCATGGGCTCTCATGAAGTGTTTGATTAGATTTTCGATTACGTTTGCATTGATGTCAGAGTGATTAGTAGGACAATAGAGTGCTGAGTACAAGGCAGTTAGCAAGTTTGGTAGGCTACTAATGACCATCAGCAGCATCAGAGCTTGGAGAAGCCTAACTACCGTGACTAAACGGTCATGTGGAATTTGACTGCCTTCATGACTCGTGACCGCCGGTATGGCGGTAATACAGTCACCGCAACAGCCCTAGTCACACCCAAAACATGGTTACAGTATTTTGTAAATGTTTTGTTGTTTTTTGTTACAATTGCATACATTTTCGTACTGGTCCCCTGTGGGAATCGAACCCACAACGGGAAGTAGTATTTGTTACCTTACAAATACTTTGTTCTCGATTGAGCTTGCCTGGAGCAATGAAACCAGTGGAATAAACCCTAAAGTGCATCGCAAACCCTCCCATCTGGCACTCCAGACAGGCTCAATCAAATGTTCAATGTATTTTAAAGAACACAATTCCATAATGAATGTCTCTCATGTCGTCACTTCCTGTTGAACGCGGAACGAGGGAGAGCTCGGTTTGTTGTTTTTGAAAGTTTGTTGTTTTGAAAGTCTATTGAAAAAAAGTTTGGTTACTAGCTAGCTACCTTTTTGAGTTTGGATCCCGCGACGCGGTTGGCATCAGTTTCTGGGACCGCTACTATCTGTCCAGTGATCCTGCTGACCAAGGCCGGGTCTGAGGAGCTGTTTGGCGTAGCAGCTAGCTTAGCTGCTAGCTAGCTGCCTATCAAGCTAGCAAGGTTTTCTTGAGGGATTGAACGCAGCCCGCGACACAGTTAGCCATTGTGGCTGGTACCGTGGATTGTCCCGGGCTTGTGGCTGTCTAGACCCCTGCTGTTTGTTGTTTTCAATCTTCCCTGTGACCTGCCCTGTCTGGAACTACGAGGAGTAACAGCGTAATCTACGTTGTTACCATGACAAAGACCAAAGCCGGCAGGAGTACTGTTGAGGACAGTGGTGTCTCTCTATCACAGGTGAAGGGTCTTTTAAACGAACAAAAAGTGTTCAACGAGCAGTTGTTACAACAACAAGAAAATAGCTTCAAGTGTTTTGTCCAAATACAGGTGGAGTCAACTAATAAAATAATGGACGACCTGACCAGAGAGGTCCAGGACCTGAAGAAAAGTTTGCAGTTCTCCCAGGGTCAGCTCGATGAGTTTAAACAGGAGAATGGCAAGATGATAGCGATCTGTAAGTCATTGAGAGAGGACATCAGTTCTGTATGTGAATCCATGATAACAATGACGGTGAAAGCAGATTACCTCGAGGGACATTCAAGGCAGAACAACGTGGTTATGGACGGAATTGCAGAATCTCCACATGAGACCTGGACTGAGTCTGATGACAAAGTGAGGAAAATGATCTTGGAGAAACTGAAGATGGACCATAGGATGATTGAGGTGGAGTGCACCGCCAGGACTGCAAAAACCCACCACCGGCCCAGAAAACCCACCACCGGCCCAGGTGACAGGCCCATGCCGATAGTGGTCAAGTTCCTGAGGTTCAAGGACAAAGTAGCTGGAAAGGGATGAGAGAGCCTATGGGTTCGTAGTTTCAGCCCGCAGCACACACACACACCAATTGATTAATGAAATGCTGAATGTATATTTTTTTTATTTTGCTTTGTTTGCTCTTTTCCATATTATGTCTATCTCAGAAAAGCTACCCAGAAAAGAGCCCATATTAATATATGTAGCCTTACAAATAAGGTTAATGAAATCAATAACTTGCTAACATCAGATATCATTCATACAGTGGGGGAAAAAAAAGTATTTAGTCAGCCACCAATTGTGCAAGTTCTCCCACTTAAAAGGATGAGAGAGGCCTGTAATTTTCATCATAGGTACACGTCAACGATGACAGACAAATTGAGAAAAAAAAATCCAGAAAATCACATTGTAGGATTTTTAATGAATTTATTTGCAAATTATGGTGGAAAATAAGTATTTGGTCACCTACAAACAAGCAAGATTCCTGGCTCTCACAGACTTGTAACTTCTTCTTTAAGAGGCTCCTCTGTCCTCCACTCATTACCTGTATTAATGACACCTGTTTGAACTTGTTATCAGTATAAAAGACACCTGTCCACAACCTCAAACAGTCACACTCCAAACTCCACTATGGCCAAGACCAAAGAGCTGTCAAAGGACACCAGAAACAAAATTGTAGACCTGCACCAGGCTGGGAAGACTGAATCTGCAATAGGTAAGCAGCTTGGTTTGAAGAAATCAACTGTGGGAGCAATTATTAGGAAATGGAAGACATACAAGACCACTGATAATCTCCCTCGATCTGGGGCTCCACGCAAGATCTCACCCCATGGGGTCAAAATGATCACAAGAACGGTGAGCAAAAATCCCAGAACCACACGGGGGGACCTAGTGAATGACCTGCAGAGAGCTGGGACCAAAGTAACAAAGCCTACCATCAGTAACACACTACGCCGCCAGGGACTCAAATCCTGCAGTGCCAGACATGTCCCCCTGCTTAAGCCAGTACATGTCCAGGCCTGTCTGAAGTTTGCTAGAGTGCATTTGGATGATCCAGAAGAGGATTGGGAGAATGTCATATGGTCAGATGAAACCAAAATAGAACTTTTTGGTAAAAACTCAACTCGTCGTGTTTGGAGGACAAAGAATGCTGAGTTGCATCCAAAGAACACCATACTTACTGTGAAGCATGGGGGTGGAAACATCATGCTTTGGGGCTGTTTTTCTGCAAAGGGACCAGGACGACTGATCCGTGTAAAGGAAAGAATGAATGGGGCCATGTATCGCGAGATTTTGAGTGAAAACCTCCTTCCATCAGCAAGGGCATTGAAGATGAAATGTGGCTGGGTCTTTCAGCATGACAATGATCCCAAACACACCGCCCGGGCAACGAAGGAGTGGCTTCGTAAGAAGCATTTCAAGGTCCTGGAGTGGCCTAGCCAGTCTCCAGATCTCAACAGCATAGAAAGTCTTTGAAGGGAGTTGAAAGTCCGTGTTGCCCAGCGACAGCCCCAAAACATCACTGCTCTAGAGGAGATCTGCATGGAGGAATGGGCCAAAATACCAGCAACAGTGTGTGAAAACCTTGTGAAGACTTACAGAAAACGTTTGACCTGTGTCATTGCCAACAAAGGGTATATAACAAAGTATTGAGAAACTTTTGTTATTGACCAAATACTTATTTTCCACCATAATTTGCAAATAAATTCATAAAAAATCCTACAATGTGATTTTCTGGATTTTTTTTCCTCATTTTGTCTGTCATAGTTGACGTGTACCTATGATGAAAATTACAGGCCTCTCTCATCTTTTTAAGTGGGAGAACTTGCACAATTGGTGGCTGACTAAATACTTGTTTTCCCCACTGTATATTAGCCATTTCTGAGACTCACTTAGATAATTCATTTGATGATACAATACAAGGATATAACGTCTATAGAAGAGACAGGAATGCTTATGGGGGAGGTGTTGCTGTATATATTCAGAGCCATATCCCTGTAATGCTTAGAGAAGATCTTATGTCCAGTGTTATTGAAGTGTTGTAGTTGCAGGTTCACCTGGCACATCTAAACCCTTTTCTTTTGGCGTGTTGCTAACAGTCAGTATATAAATAATATGTGTGAAATGCTTGATAGTGTATGTGATGTAAACAGAGAGGTCTACTTTCTTGGGGACCTGAATATTGACTGGTTTTCATCAAGCTGTCCGCTCAAGAGGAAGCTTCTCACTGTAACCAGTGTCTGTAATCTGGTTCAGGTTATTAATAAACCTACTAGGGTGTTTACAAACACTACAAGAACAAGATCATCCACATGTATCGATCACATTTTTACTAATACTGTAGAACTTTGTTCTAAATCTGTATCCGTACCCATTGGATGCACTGATCACAATATAGTGGCTTTATCCAGGAAGCCAAAGTTCCAAAAGCTGGGCCTAAAATAGTGTATAAGAGATCATATAAAATATTTATGTGGATGATGTTAAAATATTTGTTGGTCTGATGTGATTAATAAGAAGCATCCAGACGCTGCACATTTAATAATTTATGAAATTGCTTCTTCCAATTATTGATAAACATGCACCTGTTAAGAAACTGACCGTTAGAACTGTTAAGGCTCCATGGATTGATCAGGAATTGGAAAACTGTATGGTTGAAAGAGATGGGGCAAAAGGAGTGGCTAATAAGTCTGGCTGGCTGACTTACTGCAAATGTTGAAATGATGTGACTAAACTCAATAAAAAGATGAAGAAACTGTATTATGAAGCCAAGATCAATGATATAAAGAATTATGGGAAAAAACAATGTACTTTAAATGAAATTATGTGCACAAAGACAAATTCATCGAATCAGATGGCATATTCATCACAAAACCATTTAATGTTGCCAATTATTTGAATGATTACTTCATTAGCAAACTTAGGCAGGAAATGCCAACAACGAACAGTGAGCGATCGTACTCATGTATAAAAAAACGAATAATGAAAGAAAAGCATTGCAAGTTAGAATTTTGTAAAGTTAGTATGTGAGAGGTGGAAAAGTGATTGTTATTGATCAATAATGACAAACCTCCTGGCATTGACAACGTAGATGGAAAGCTACTGAGGATGGTAGCTGACTCTATAGCCACTCCTATCTGTCATATCTTTAATCTGAGCCTAGAGTAGTCTTTGTCCTCAGGCCTGGAGGGAAGCCAAAGTCATTCCGCTACCCAAGAGGGGAAAAGCAGCCTTTACTGGTTCTAACAGCAGACCTATCAGCTTGCTGCCAGCTCTTAGCAAACAGTTGGAAAAAATTGTGTTTGACCAAATACAATGCTACTTCTCTGTAAACAAATTAACAACAGACTTTCAGCATGATTATAGAGAAGGACACTCAACATGTACTGCACTGACACAAATGACTGATGATTGGTTGAAAGAAATGGATAATAAGAAGATTGTGGGAGCTGTACTGTTAGATTTCAGTGCAGCCTTTGATACTATTGACCATAACCCATTGTTGAGTTGAAAAAGCGTATGTGTTATGGCTTTTCAACCTCACCATATCGTGGATTTAGAGCTATCTATCTAATAGAACTCAGAGGGTTTTCTTTAATGGAAGCTTCTCTAATGTCAAACATGTAAAGTGTGGTGTACCGCAAGGCAGCTCTCTAGGCCCCTCCTCTATTTTCTTATTTTACCAATGACCTGCCACTGGCATTAAACAAAGCATGTGTGTCCATGTTTGCTGATGATTCAACCATATATGCATCAGCAACCACAGCTAATGAAGTCACTGATACCATTAACAAAGAGTTGCAGTCTGTATTGGAATGGGTGGCCAGTAATAAACTGGTCCTGAACATCTCTAAAACTAAGAGCATTGTATTTGGTACAAATCATTCCCTAAGTTCTAAACCTCAGCTGAATCTGGTACTGAATGGTGTGGCTGTTGAACAAGTTGGGGAGACTAAATTACTTGGTGTTACCTTAAACTGTCATGGTCAAAACATATAGATTCAATGGTTGTAAAGATGGGGAGAGGTCTGTCCGTAATAAAGAGATGCTCTGCTTTTTTGACACCACACTCCACAAAGCAAGTCCTGCAGGCTTTAGTTTTATCTTATCTTGATTAATGTCCAGTCATATGGTCAAGTGGTGCAAAGAAAGACCTAGTTATGCTGCAGCTGGCCCAAAACAGAGCGGCAAGTCTTGCTCTTCATTGTAATCAGAGAGCTAGTATTAATACTATGCATACCAGTCTCTCTTGGCTAAGAGTTGAGGAAAGACTGACTGCGTCACTTCTTGTTTTTATAAGAAATGTTCGAAATTCCAAATTATTTGCATAGTCAATTTACACACAGCACTGACACACACACTTACCCCACCAGACATGCCACCAGGAGTCTTTTCACAGTCCCCAGGTCCAGAACAAATTCAAGGAAACTTGAAACTTGAAAAGTATTATACAGAGCCATGAGTGCATGGAACTCCCTTCCATCTTATATAGCGCGTCGGCTAATGGCTAATGGGGATCCTAATTTTAAATAAATGTAATCTCGAAATGCTTCCATTTACTATTGCATCATAATGCTATATCTTACTATGTTTGTCCATGTGTATGTGTAGGCGGTGGCCCCACTGTCTCCAGTCATCCTGGTGGGGACACACACAGACGTGAGTGAGGACATCCAGCTGCAGGCCTGCCTGGATAAGATCCGCCAGGAGCTCCTCAACCACCAGGGCTTCCCTGCCATCCGGGACTACCACATGGTGGCGGTGTGCGAGGACTCGGACTCCATCGGCAGACTCCGCAAGGCCATCGCCAGGGAGGTCGCCAGCTTCAAGGTAGCTAGTGTTGTTAGCGCTAACATTTACAGTATTTACACTATCCAGAACTTCCACTGATGTTCCAAATATACCCTCAACCCTTTCCTTGCTCTAGTTTGCCTAAAATGCCAATCCTTTATGACAGCTTTGTTAGTAGCTTTGACTTATTTCACTGGTCCACGTAAGTTCCATGCACAGCACTGTGTGTGCAAAGCCACTATACCTTTTAGTGACCCACCCCTCTCGCTCCCGCTCTCCCCAGATCCAAGGGCAGCTGGTGATGGGGCAGCTGGTCCCAGAAAGCTATTTGGAGCTCGAGAGAAGGGTGCTGCTGGAGAGGGCCAAGGTGCCGGGGGAGTTCCCCGTGCTCAGACACCAATATCTGCTACAGCTCATCCAGGAGAGCCAGATACAGCTGGAGGAGGCTGAGCTAACTCACGCTGTACACTTCCTCAGCGAGGCCGGTCAGTGGGGCGGGGTGTGTGTGCATGTGTTTGTGGGTAATTGGTTTCTTCATTGATGTGTTGGAATCCTCTGGTCCTCATTGCGCTGGTGCTATTGTCCTCACAACGTAGGAAATATATCTATGTCATCTGTTCATAGTACAGCCAGGTATTTATTTGTCTGTTTATAGGAGTCCTTCTGCACTTTGACGACCCGGCCCTCCAACTCAGAGAACTCTACTTTATCGACCCACAGTGGCTTTGCAACATAATCTCACAGGTAGAGACACACACACACACACACACACACACACACACACACACACTAAAGGAGGCTGCTCAGGGGAGGACGGGTCACAATCATGTCTGGAATGAAGTGAATGGAACAGTATCATCCACATGGAAACCAAGTGTTTGATGTGTTCGACACCATTCAATTTATTCCGTTCCAGCCATTAAAATGAGCCGGCCGGTCCTCCCCAATGAAGTTGCCACCTGTGACACACACACACACTGACCTCATTCACTCACTGCCTCCTCTTTCTCTCTCCGTGTAGAAATGGACTCTGAAAAGCTCTGGGTTCTGGGAGCATCCCAAAGGCGTAGTCCAGCGCTCTGTAGTGGAGCGATTCCTATTTGAGAGTAAGTGTTTCCCCAAGAGCCACCTGACCCAGTACTTTAAACTGCTGGAAAAGTTCCAGATCGCCCTGCCCTTCGGAGAGGACCAGCTCCTAGTGCCTAGCAAGTAAGAGGCATACCATTTAGTTGATCTTAGTATTGTTTGAGCCAAAATGGCAGATGCGTTTTCTGAACTCTGTATCTACTGAATGGAAACTCTCAGCCATATTGTCTCAAAACCTCCTTGCCAAGCCTAAACCATGCTGATTGTCTTGTCCTTCCCCCACAGTCTCTCCAAACACCGGCCAGTGATTGAGCTGCCCCACTGTGAGAACTCTGAGGTCATTGTTCGTCTCTATGAGATGCCCTACTTCCCCATGGGCTACTGGTCCAGACAGATCAACCGCCTACTGGAGGTCTCCTCATACATGCTTTGTGGCAGAGGTACTAATGCTGACATTAAAGGGATAATTACTTAGGTTGTTGTCGTTTCATTCAAAGTTCATTAGCTGGTAATTTTGCCTCGTGCAGAATCTCCTGGCTAGTAATTTTTAGAACATGTAGCAAAGCTACTGGAAACTGATTCTATCAGTACTGTATACACTGAGTGTACAAAACATTAGGAACACCTTCCTACTATTGAGTTGCACCCCCCTTTTTGCCTCAATTCGTTGGGGCATGGACTCTACAAGGTGTCAAAAGCGTTCCACAGGGATGCTGGCCCATGTTGACTCCAATGCTTCCCACAGTTATGTCAAGTTGGCTGGATGTCCTTTGGGTGGTGGACCATTCTTGATACACACGGGAAACTGTTGGGTGTGAAAAACCCATCAGTGTTGCAGTTCTTGACACAAACAGGTGCGCCTGGCACCCACTACCATACCCTGTTCAAAGGCACTATTTTGTCTTGCCCATTTACCCTCTGAATGGCACACATCCATGTCTCAAGGCTTAAAAATCATTCTTTAACCTATCTCTCCTTCATCTACACTGATTGAAGTGGATTTAACAGGTGACATCAATAAGGGATCATGGCTTTCACCTGGATTCACCTGGTCAGTCTATGTCATGGAAAGAGCTTTTTTTGTACACTCAGTGTATATGGCTCTGAGTCGCCCCATTGTTGTTGTGTTGGTCTAGAGAGAGTGCTGCGTCCCAACCGTATCTACTGGAGGAGAGGCATCTACCTGAGCTGGTCTCCTGAGTCCTACTGTCTGGTGGAGGCTACTAACCTAGAGGGCAACCCTGCCAGCTTCGTCAAGATCACCGTGCCCTGCTCACGCAAAGGTACTGGAACAGCACCACAGCCTAGAGAATAAGGGATCCATACTGACATGGAAAAGCTGTAAACACTAGTTTAAAGAAAATAAAAAGACATTGAATTTATAATTTGGGTTGTGAGCTGAAAATGTTTAAGAACCCCCGCTTTGATAAACTGCATATAATATAATATATTGCAATAAAGAGTGAGATAGATCATCAGTTGGAGGTGGTGATGATGATGATGATGGTGATGGTTGTCAAATCAAATAATATGATATAATAAGATATGGAACATCTTATCTTACAAAGTTGCAATTATCAAATAAAATGGTGTTTGTCACATGCTTCGTAAACAACAGGTGTAGACTAACAGTGAAATGTTTACTTATGGATCCGTTTCCAACTATGCAGAATTAAAATAGATTGAAATAGTGACATAGTGACACAGGAATAAGTACACAGTGAATAATGAATAACAATAACGAGTAAAAATAACATGGCTATATACAGGAAGTACCAGTACTGAGTCGATGTGCAGGGATATGAGGTAATTGAGGTAGCTATGTACGTATAGCTCCCGAGTGGCGCATCGGTCTAAGGCACTGCAGTGCTAGAAGCGTCACTACAGACCCCGGTTCGATTCCAGGCTGTATCACAATCCAGCCGTGATTGGGAGTCCCATAGGGCGGCGCACAATTGGCCCAGCGTTGTTCGGGTATGGCAGGGGTAGGCCGTCGTTGTAAATAAGAATTTGTTCTTAACTGACTTGCCTAGTTAAATAAAAATAAAATACAAATATTGGTAGGGGTGAAGTGACTACGCAACAGGATAGATAATAGACAGTATCAGCGTATGTGGTGTGTGTGTATGTATGTATGTATGTATGTATGTATATTTGGACACACCTACTCATTCAAGAGTTTTTCTATATTTTTACAATTTTTTACATTGTAGAATAAAAGTGAAGACATCAAAACTATGAAATAACACATGGAATCATGTAGTAACCAAACAATTGTTAAGCAAATCAAAATATATTTTATTTCTGAGATTCTTCAAATAGCCACCCTTTGCCTTGATGACAGCTTTGCACATTCTTGGCATTCTCTCAACCAGTTTCACCTGGAATGCTTTTCCAACTGTCTTGATGGAGTTACCACATATGCTGAGCACTTGTTGGCTGCTTTTCCTTCCACTCTGCGGTCCGACTCATCCCAAACCATCTCAATTGGGTTGAGGTCGGGGGATTGTTGTGGCCAGGTCATCTGATGCAGCACTCCATCACTATCCTTCTTGGTAAAATAACCCTTACACAGCCTGGAGGTGTGTTGGGTCATTGTCCTGTTGACAAACAAATGATAGTCCCACTAAGCCCAAACCAGATGGGATGGCGTATCGCTGTAGAATGCTGTGGTAGCCATGCTGGTTAAGTGTGCCTTGAATTCTAAATAAATCACAGACGGTGTCACCAGCAAAGCACCCCCACACCATAACACCTCCTCCTCCATGCTTTATGGTGGAAATACACATGCAGAGATCATCCGTTCACCCACACCGTGTCTCAGAAAGACGCGGCGGTTGGAACAAAAAATCTCCAATTTGGACTCCAGACCAAAGGACACATTTCCACCGGTCTAATGTCCATTGCTCGTGTTTCTTGGCCCAAGCAGGTCTCTTCTTATTATTGGTGTCCTTTAGTAGTGGTTTCTTTGCAGCAATTCGGCCATGAAGGCCTGATTCACACAGTCCCCTCTGAACAGTTGATTTTGAGATGTGTCTGTCACTTGAACTGTGTGAAGCATTTATTTGGGCTGCAATTTCTGAGGCTGGTAACTAATTAATTTATCCTCTGCAGCAGAGTTAACTCTGGGTCTTCCATTCCTGTGGCGGTCCTCATGAGAACCAGTTTCATCATAGTGCTTGATGGTTTTTGCGACTGCACTTGAATAAACTTTCAAAGTTCTTGAAATGTTCTGTATTGACTGACCTTCATGTCTTAAAGTAATGATGGACTGTCGTTTCTCTTTGCTTATTTGAGCTGTTCTTGCCATAATATGGACTTGGTCTTTTACCAAATAGGGCTATCTTCTGTATACCCCCCCCCCTTCCTTTGTCACAACACAACTGATTGGCTCAAACGCATTAAGAAGGAAAGAAATTCCACAAATTAACTTTTAAGAAGGCACCTGTTAATTGAAATGCATTCCAGGTGACTACCTCATGAAGCTGGTTGAGAGAATGCCAAGAGTGTGCAAAGCTGTCATCAAGGCAAAGGGTGGCTATTTGAAGAATCTCAAATATACAGTGAGGGAAAAAAGTATTTGATCCCCTGCTGATTTTGTACGTTTGCCCACTGACAAAGAAATGATCAGTCTATCATTTTAATGGTAGGTTTATTTGAACAGTGAGAGACAGAATAACAAAACAAAAATCCAGAAAAACCCATGTCAAAAATGTTATAAATTGATTTGCGTTTTAATGAGGGAAATACGAATTTGACCCCCTCTCAATCAGAAAGATGTCTGGCTCCCAGGTGTCTTTTATACAGGTAACGAGCTGAGATTAGGAGCACACTCTTAAAGGGAGTGCTCCTAATCTCAGTTTGTTACCTGTATAAAAGACACCTGTCCACAGAAGCAATCAATCAATCAGATTCCAAACTCTCCACCATGGCCAAGACCAAAGAGCTCTCCAAGGATGTCAGGGACAAGATTGTAGACCTACACAAGGCTGGAATGGGCTACAAGACCATCGCCAAGCAGCTTGGTGAGAAGGTGACAACAGTTGGTGCGATTATTCGCAAATGGAAGAAACACAAAATAACTGTTAATCTCCCTCGGCCTGGGGCTCCATGCAAGATCTCACCTCGTGGAGTTGCAATGATCATGAGAACGGTGAGGAATCAGCCCAGAACTACACGTGAGGATCTTGTCAATGATCCCCCTGCTCAAGAAAGCACATATACAGGCCCGTCTGAAGTTTGCCAATGAACATCTGAATGATTCAGAAGAGATCTGGGGGAAAGTGTTGTGGTCAGATGAGACCAAAATGGAGCTCTTTGGCATCAACTCAACTCGCCATGTTTGGAGGAGGAGGAATGCTTCCTATGACCCCAAGAACACCATCCCCACCGTCAAACATGGAGGTGGAAACATTATGCTTTGGGGGTGTTTTTCTGCTAAGGGGACAGGACAACTTCACCGCATTAAAGGGACGATGGACGGGGCCATGTACCGTCAAATCTTGGGTGAGAACCTCCTTCCCTCAGCCAGGGCATTGAAAATGGGTCGTGGATGGGTATTCCAGCATGACAATGACCCAAAATACACGGCCAAGGCAACAAAGGAGTGGCTCAAGAAGAAGCACATTAAGGTCCTGGAGTGGCCTAGCCAGTCTCCAGACCTTAATCCCATAGAAAATCTGTGGAGGGAGCTGAAGGTTCGAGTTGCCAAACGTCAGGCTCGAAACCTTAATGACTTGGAGAAGATCTGCAAAGAGGAGTGGGACAAAATCCCTCCTGAGATGTGTGCAAACCTGGTGGCCAACTACAAGAAACATCTGACCTCTGTGATTGCCAACAAGGGTTTTGCCACCAAGTACTAAGTCATGTTTTGCAGAGGGGTCAAATACTTATTTCCCTCATTAAAATGCAAATCAATTTATAACATTTTTGACATGCGTTTTTCTGGATTATTTTGTTGTTATTCTGTCTCTCACTGTTCAAATAAACCTACCATTCAAATTATAGACTGATCATGTCTTTGTCAGTGGGCAAACGTACAAAATCAGCAGGGGATCAAATACTTTTTTCCCTCACTGTAAAATATATTTAGATTTGTTTAAGACTTCTTTGGTTACTAGATTATTCCATATGTGTTATTTCATAGTTTTGAAGTCTACAATGTAGAAAATAGTAAAAATAAAGAAAAACCCTTGAATGAGTAGATGTGTCCAAGCTTTTGACTGGTACTGTATGTGTGTGTGTGGTTAGAGTCCAGTGTGTGTGCATAGTCAGTGCAAGAGAGTTAGTGCAAAAAAGGGTCCATGCAGGTAGTCATTTGATTAGCTATTTAGCAGTTTTGTTTAGCAGTCTGATGGCTTGGGAGTAGACGCTGTTCAGGGTCCTGTTGGTTCAAGACTTGATGCACTGGTACCGCTTGCCGTGCGGTAGCAGAGAGAACAGTCTATGGCTTGGGTGGCTGGAGTCATATAATTGTTTTGGGGCCTTCCTCTGACACCGGCTGGTATAGAGGTCCTGGATGGCAGAGAGCTCGGCCCTAGTGATGTACTGGGACATACTCACTACCCTCTGTAGTGCCTTGCGGTCGGGTGCCTTGCAGTTGCCGTACAAAGCGGTGATGCAACCAGTCAAGATGCTATAAATTGTGCAACTGTATAACTTTTTGAGGATCTGAGAGCCCATGCCAAATCATTTCAGCCTCCTGAGGGGGAAGAGGTGCTGTCATGCCCTCTTCACAGCTGTGGGGGTGTGTGTGGACCATGTTAATTCCATAGTGATGTGGACAAAGAGGAACTCTCGACAGCTCTCGACCCGCTCCACTAAAGCCCCATCGATGTGGATGGGGGCATGTTCGCCGCTCGGTTTCCTGTAGTCCACAATCAGCTCTTTTGTCTTGCTGATGTTGAGGGAGAGGTTGTTGACCTGGCAACACACTGCCAGGTCTCTGACCTCATCCCTATAGGCTGCCTCATCAGAAAACTTGATGATGGTGTTTGGTGAGTCGTGAGCGGCCACGCAGTCGTGGGTGAACAGGGAATACAGGAGGGGACTAAGCACACACCCTTGAGGGGCCCCTGTGTTGATGGTCAACATGGCGGATGTGTTGTTGCCTACCCTCACCTCCTGGGGGAGGTCCGTCAGGAAGTCCAGGATTCAGTTGCAGCGGGAGGTGTTCAGTCCCAGGGTCTGGGAGCTTGTTGAAGAGCTTGGAGGGGACTTTGGTGTTGAGCGCTGAGCTATAGTAAATGAACAGCATTCTTACATAGGTATTCCTTTTGTCTAGGTGGGTGAGGGCAGTGTGGAGTGCAATAGAGATTGTGTCATCTGTGGATCTGTTAGGGCGGTATGCGAATTGGAGTGGGTCCAGGGTGTCTGGGATGATATTGTTGATGTGAGCCATGACCAACCTTTCAAAGCATTTCATGGCTATAGATGTGAGTGCTACGGGGCGATAGCCATTTAGGCAGGTTGCCTTGGCGTTCTTGGGCACAGGGACTATGGTGGTCTGCTTGAAACAAGTTTGTATTATAGACCGGGTCAGGGATAGGTTGAAAATGCCAGTGAAGACACTTGCCAGCTGGTCAGCAAATGCTCAGAGTACACGTCCTGGTATTCCGTCCCCCGGCCTTGCGAATATTAACCTGTTTAATGGTCTTACATCGGCTACGGAGAGCGAGATCACACAGTCGTCCGGAACAGCGGGTGCTCTCATGCATGGTTCAGTGTTGCTTGCATTGAAGCGAGCATTGAAGGCCTTTAGTTCATCTGGTAGGCTTGCGTCACTGGGTAGCTCGCGGCTGGGTTTCCCATTGTAATGAGTGATAGTTTGTAAGCCCTGCCACATCTGTTGAGCATCAGAGCCGGCATAGAAGGATTCGATCTTAGTCCTGTATTGACGCTTTGCCTATTTGATTGCTTGTCGGAGGTCGTAGCAGGATTTCTTATAAGCGTCCGGAATGGTGTCCCGTTCCTTGAAAGTGGCAGCTCTTTAGCTCAATACAGATGTTGTGTGTTACTGGGTCAAGTGGTAGTGGTGGTGATGATGGTTGTGTTACTCCTCAGGTCATATGTTAATGGGTCAGGTGGTGGACCATGTTGACTCTCTCTTGGAGGAGTGGTTCCCTGGTCTCCTCACCACTGATATCCATGGCAATGGAGAGACCCTGCTGAAGAAATGGGCGCTGTACAGCTTCAAGGATGGACAGGAGTGGAGCAAGATGCTGCTGGAGGACCTGTTCACTCACATAGATAAAGGTATGTCTGTTAACGCTTGGATTTGACACAATTGATACCTGTGTTAGTCATGTTTCTAAAATATCATAATTGAAATCAATCACAACAGTTTGGTAACACTACTACAAACAATTGTGGATGTTCTTAAATTAATGGGAGAGCTACTTTAATAGTGAATGTAACAATATCTTAAAGGTCTAATGCAGACGTTTTTATCTCAATATCAAATCACCTTACTGTGATTGTTTGCAATTAAAATGATCAAAAATAAACAAAAATAGCTTCTTAGCAAAGAACAATTTCTCAAGCAATAGTTTTGCTAGGACTGTCTGGGAGTGGTCTGAGTGGGGATGGAAAACAGAAAACTAGCTGTTATTGGCAGAGAGGTTTGGAACTCTCTTTCTTATTGGTCTATTAACTATGATGTCACCAGGCAGGCCAAAACTCCATCCCACCAAAACAGGCTGAAATTTCAGGCGGTCTTTTCAAACAGCTCTTACGCTAAAAGGGCGTTATTCAAATGTTCAAAATCTCACAGTATTATACCAACATCATAGTGTGGAAATGTATATAGAACACAGGAAAATCACGTTTTTGACCCCACTGGACCTTTAACTTCTGCCTAATCTCTCTTTTCCACTCTCCTTCCCTCCTATAGACTGTCTTTTGGTAAACCCGGAGGACCCTCGCTGCACAGTGCCCATCTCTCAGATTGCTCCAGACCTGATCCTCAGTGACCTGCCTGCTGGAACCATCCTGGACAGTGAGGAGCTTGAGATAGACCTTACCAAGGAGAACCTGCTGGGTCAGTTACAATAATAATTAGATTTGTATCGTGTTTTCCATTTACAGGCAGAAATCACAAAGCTCTTAGAAAGCTCAGAAAGCTCTGTGGGACTGTAGTCTCTTTCAACAGCTGCAGTGTCAATGACACGAATTTGTTCATTTTCTGAATGTAGGGGATGGGGGTTTTGGGTCTGTCTATCGAGGCGTCTACAAAAATGAAGAGGTGGCAGTGAAGATTTTCAACAAGCATGCCTCTGAGCTCTATATACATCGACTACTCCGACAGGTAATGTAATAATCTGAATGAGGTGTTTTAGTGTCGGGCAGGAATGGCTGGAGAATAGCTCCAGGACCAGCAAGGTTTTGTGATATAGAGAAAAAAAGGCTTATATGGTCCTGGAGAAGCTACATCAGCATTGAGGTTGGGGTCAATTTGGGAAATTTTGGTTACTTCCTGTCACGATCGCTGACAGATGAAGCGGACCAAGGCGCAGCGTGATAAGCGTACATACTTTATTGCGTACACAACATGAACCAAAACAATAAACCAAACGATACGTGAAGTCCTAGGTTATACACAAAACCTTACGGAACAAGATCCCACCATAAACTAGTGAAAACAGGCTGCCTAAGTATGGACCCCAATCAGAGACAACGAGCTACAGCTGCCTCTGATTGGAAACCACCCTGGCCAACATAGATCTAAACGATCTAGAACAAAAACATAGAAAATGTAACAGAAATTCCACACCCTGGCTCAACATTTAAGAGTCCCCCGAGCCAGGGCGTGACAGTACCCCCCCCCCCCCCCCCCCCCCCCCCCCCCCCCCCCAAAGGTGCGGACTGCGACCGCGCCACACCAACACAACGGGGTAGGGGCCGGGTGGGCATTCCGCCTCGGAGGCGGATCCGGCTCCGGGCGTGACCACCACTCTCTGTCTACCCCCCCCGTAGCGCCCCTGGTCTGGTCTGGCCCAGCTGACCGGTGCCGGACTGGACACCGGTGGAACAGGCACGGACCGTGCCGGACTGACGACGCGCACCACTGTCTTGGTGCGGGGAGCAGGAATGGGCCGGACCGGGCTGGCGACGCGCACCACTGGCTTGGTGCGGGGAGCAGGAACGGGCCGGACCGGGCTGACGTCGCGCACCACAGGCTTGGTGCGGGGAGCAGGAACGGGCAGGACCGGGCTGACGACGCGCACCACAGGCTTGGTGCGAGGGACAGGAACAGACCGGACTGGGCTGACGACGCGCACCACTGGCTTGGTGCGGGGAGCAGGAACGGGCCGGACCTGGCTGACGACGCGTACCACTGGCTTGGTGCGGGGAGCAGGAACAGGCCGGGCTGGCGACGCGCACCACTGGCTTGGTGCGGGGAGCAGGAACGGGCCGGACCGGGCTGACGTCGCGCACCACTGTCTTGGTGCGGGGAGCAGGAACAGGCCGGACCGGGCTGGCGACGCGCACCACTGGCTTGGTGCGGGGAGCAGGAACGGGCCGGACTGGGCTGACGTCGCGCACCACTGTCTTGGTGCGGGGAGCAGGAACAGGCCGGACCGGGCTGGCGACGCGCACCACTGGCTTGGTGCGGGGAGCAGGAACGGGCCGGACCAGGCTGGCGACGCGCACCACTGGCTTGGTGCGGGGAGCAGGAACGGGCCGGACCGGGCTGGCGACGCGCACTTCTGGCTTGGTGCGGGGAGCAGGAACGGACCGGGCTGGCGACGTGCACCACTGGCTTGGTGCGGGGAGCAGGAATGGGCCGGACCGGGCTGACGACGCGCACCACTGGCTTGGTGCGGGGAGCAGGAATGGGCCGGACCGGGCTGGCGGCGCGCACCACAGGCTTGGTGCGAGGGGCAGGAACAGACCGGACCGGGCTGACGACGCTCACCACTGGCTTGGTGCGGGGAGCAGGAACGGGCCGGACCGGGCTGGCGACGCGCACCACAGGCTTGGTGCGAGGGACAGGAACAGACCGGACCGGGCTGACGACGCGCACCACTGGCTTGGTGCGGGGAGCAGGAACGGGCCGGACCTGGCTGGCGACGCACACCACTGGCTTGGTGCGGGGAGCAGGAACGGGCCGGACCGGGCTGACGACGCGCACCACTGGCTCGGTGCGGGGAGCAGGAACGGACCGGGCTGGCGACGCGCACCACAGGCTTGGTGCGGGGAGCAGGAACGGGCCGGACCGGGCTGGCGACGCGCACCTCTGGCTTGGTGCGGGGAGCAGGAACGGACCGGGCTGGCGACGCGCACCACTGGCTTGGTGCGGGGATTAGGAACGGGCCGGACCGGGCTGACGACGCGCACCACTGGCTTGGTGCGGGGAGCAGGAACGGGCCGGACCTGGCTGGCGACGCACACCACTGGCTTGGTGCGGGGAGCAGGAACGGGCCGGACCGGGCTGGCGACGCGCACCACTGGCTTGGTGCGGGGAGCAGGAACGGGCCGGACCGGGCTGACGACGCGCACCACTGGCTTGGTGCGGGGAGTAGGAACGGACCGGGCTGGCGACGCGCACCACAGGCTTGGTGCGGGGAGCAGGAACGGGCCGGACCGGGCTGACGACGCGCACCACAGGCTTGGTGCGGGGAGCAGGACGGGCCGGACCGGGCTGGCGACGCGCACCACTGGCTTGGTGCGGGGAGCAGGAACGGGCCGGACCGGGCTGACAACGCGCACCACTGGCTTGGTGCGGGGAGTAGGAACGGACCGGGCTGGCGACGCGCACCACAGGCTTGGTGCGGGGAGCAGGAACGGGCCGGACCGGGCTGACGACGCGCACCACAGGCTTGGTGCGGGGAGCAGGACGGGCCGGACCGGGCTGGCGACGCGCACCACTGGCTTGGTGCGGAGAGCAGGAACGGGCCGGACCGGGCTGGCGACGCGCACCACAGGCTTGGTGCGGGGAGCAGGAACGGGCCGGACTGGGCTGACGACGCGCACCACAGGCTTGGTGCGGGGAGCAGGAGCGGGCCGGACCGGGCTGGCGACGCGCACCACAGGCTTGGTGCGGGGAGCAGGAGCGGGCCGGACCGGGCTGGCGACGCGCACCACTGTCTTGGTGCGGGGAGCAGGAACGGGCCGGACCGGGCTGACGACGCGCACCACTGGCTTGGTGCGGGGAGCAGGAACGGGCCGGACCGGGCTGGCGACGCGCACCACAGGCTTTGTGCGGGGAGCAGGAACAGGCTGGACCGGGCTGACGACGCGCACTACAGGCTTGGTGCGGGGAGCAGGAACAGGCCGGACCGGGCTGACGACGCGCACCACAGGCTTGGTGCGGGGAGCAGGAACAGGCCGGACCGGGCTGGCGACGCGCACCACAGGCTTGGTGCGGGGAGCAGGAACAGGCCGGACCGGGCTTGCGACGCGCACCACAGGCTTGGTGCGAGGGACAGGAACAGGCCGGACCGGGCTGACGACGCGCACCACAGGCTTGGTGCGGGGAGCAGGAACAGGCCGGACCGGGCTGGCGACGCGCACCACAGTCTTGGTGCGAGGGACAGGAACAGGCCGGACCGGGCTGACGACGCGCACCACAGGCTTGGTGCTGGGGACAGGAACAGGTCGGGCCGGACTGGGAACACACACCACTGGCCTTGTGCGGGAATCAGGAACGGGCCGGACCGGACTGGTGACACACACCACTTGCTTGGTGCGAGGTGCGGGACAGGGTTTCCTCATAAACCTCCGCTCCCTCTGCTGCCTAACCAGTTCCTCTCGCCGTGCCTCTACACTCTCCTTCTCCCTCGTGACCAATAGCCCCCGTAACCTGGTGGCCTCCTCTCCTAGTCCGCCGATTCGCCCTGTAGCTGCCTCCAGCAGCCCCGTCGTCCACGCCGTGTGCCCCCCCCCAAAAAATTACTTGGGGTTGCCTCTCGCGTGTCCGTCGTCGGCACGGTTGGCGCCGTTTCTCCTCTCCTGCTTGGGCATTTACTTTTGCCCATGGCCCTCTGCCCGCGAATATGTCCTCCCAAGACCACCATTCGCCCACCTGGGACATCGCCAACTTCTCCTCCTGGGCACGCTGCTTGGTCCTCTGGGGGTGGGATCTTCTGTCACGATCGCTGACAGATGAAGCGGACCAAGGCGCAGCGTGATAAGCGTACATACTTTATTGCGTACACAACACGAACCAAAACAATAAACCAAACGATACGTGAAGTCCTAGGTTATACACAAAACCTTACGGAACAAGATCCCACCATAAACTAGTGAAAACAGGCTGCCTAAGTATGGACCCCAATCAGAGACAACGAGCTACAGCTGCCTCTGATTGGGAACCACCCTGGCCAACATAGATCTAAACGATCTAGAACGAAAACATAGAAAATGTAACAGAAATTCCACACCCTGGCTCAACATTTAAGAGTCCCCCGAGCCAGGGCGTGACACTTCCTGAATTGACTGATTGGAAATGGACCCGATAAGCAGTTGCCTGGCTACCCAGACTCCTTGCTCCGGCCAAACGCTATGCCACAATAAGTCTGGATCTGAGTACCTCCCCGAAACCCTTCACCGAATGCGAACACATTCTGGGCTGTCTGATTGGTCCAGAAACCGATAGGTTGAGCCAGAACACACGTGGGTAAAGTGTCGGTTTTAAAGTTCGTCATTGGCATTGATACTGTGATTGGTTAGAGATGATCCAATCGCTGATGACTTTGTTTTGTACAACACCCCTCATTTTGAGAGTCACCACAAACCACTTCAAAGATGGCAGTCTCAGACTAAAGTGTGTAACGAACAACAGAGCAGCGGAATAATTTAATGTGAGACCTCAGGCCAGGTGTGTGTGTGCGTGACTGTGTGTGTGTATGTCTTCAGGCTAGACAAGCAGTATTGTAAGTTGGTCTCTCTCTCTTTTCCTTCCGTCTCTTTCCAGGAGTTGGTGGTGTTGGGTCGTCTCCACCACCCCAGCCTGGTGGGGCTGCTGGCGGCCGGGACGAACCCTCATGTCCTGGTGATGGAGCTAGCCCCCAGAGGGTCCCTGGACTCTCTGTTTGAACACGAGAACAGCAGCCTCAACCGCAAGCTCCAGCACAGGATCGCTCTGCAGGTGGCCGACGGGCTCAGGTAGGTTAATCGCTCAATACACACATGCACACATTACATGCATATAAACTCAGCAAAAAAATTAACTTCCCTTTTTCAGGACCCTGTCTTTCAAAGATAATTTGGAAAAATCAAAATAACTTCACAGATCTTCAATGTAAAGGGTTTAAACACTGTTTCCCATGCTTGTTCAATGAACCATAAACAATTAATGAACATGCACCTGTGGAACGGTCCTTAAGACACAGTAGGCAATTAAGGTGACAGTTATGAAAACTTAGGACACTAAAGAGGCCTTTCTACTGACTCTGAAAAACACAAAAAGAAAGATGCCCAGAGTCCCTGCTCATCTGTGTGAACGTGCCTTAGGCATGCTGCAAGGAGGTATAAGGACTGCAGATGTGGCCAGGGCAATAAATTGCAATGTTCGTACTGTGAGACGCCTAAGACAGCGCTACAGGGAGACAAGACAGACAGCTGATCGTCCTTGCAGTGGCCGACCACGTGTAACAACACCTGCACAGGATCGGTACATCTGAACATCACACCTGCGGGACAGGTACAGGATGGCAACAACAACTGCCCGAGTTACACCAGGAACGCACAATCCCCCCATCAGTGCTCAGACTGTCTGCAATAGGCTGAGAGAGGCTGGACTGAGGGCTTGTAGGCCTGTTGTAAGGCAGGTCCTCACCAGACATCACCGGCAACAACGTCGCCTATGGGCACAAACCCGCCGTCGCTGGACCAGTCCTTTCCCAGCGACTGGCAAAAAGTGCTCTTCACTGACGAGTCGCGGTTTTGTCTCACCAGGGGTGATGGTCGGATTCGCGTTTATCGTCGAAGGAATGAGCGTTACACCGAGGCCTGTACTCTGGAGCGGGATCGATTTGGCAGTGGAGGGTCCGTCATGGTCTGGGGTGGTGTATCACAGCATCATCGGACTGAGCTTCTTGTCATTGCAGGTAATCTCAACGCTGTGCGTTACAGGGAAGACATCCTCCTCCCTCATGTGGTACCCTTCCTGCCGGCTCATCCTGACATGACCCTCCAGCATGACAATGCCACCAGCCATACTGCTCGTTCTGTGCCTGATTTCCTGCAAGACAGGAATGTCAGTGTTCTGCCATGGCCAGCGAAGAGCCCGGATCTCAATCCCATTGAGCATGTCTGGGACCTGTTGGATCGGAGGGTGAGGACTAGGGCCATTCTCCCCAGAAATGTCCGGGAACTTGCAGGTGCCTTGGTGGAAGAGTGGGGTAACATCTCACAGCAAGAACTGGCAAATCTGGTGCAGTCCATGAGGAGGAGATGCACTGCAGTACTTAATGCAGCTGGTGGCCACACCAGATACTGACTGTTACTTTTGACCCCCCCTTTGTTCAGGAACACATTATTCAATTTCTGTTGGTCACATGTATGTGGAACTTGTTCAGTTTATGTCTCAGTTGTTGAATCTTGTTATGTTCATACAAATATTTACAGATGTTAAGATTGCTGAAAATAAACACAGTTGACAGTGAGAGGATGTTTCTTTTTTTGCTGAGTTTATGTATATACACACATTACATACATACATACATACATACATACATGCATACAGGTGTATGCCCACAAGAACATGCATACAGGAACATGCACACGTGTCAGACACAGTGTTCAATGATATTCAATTATTTCCAAGTATGTATAGTAAACCCAAACAAACAAATTTGAATTCATGATCTATATTGGGAACTCTCAATTTAGACACATTGTCCATCACTGTTTCCTCAGTTTACCTCCCTTCCATATTGCCAGGTATCTCCACTCGTCCATGATCATCTACCGGGACCTGAAGCCTCACAACGTGCTGCTGTTCAACCTGAAGACTGACTCAGAGACCATCGCTAAGATCACGGACTACGGCATCGCTCAGTACTGCTGCAGCATGGGGGTCAGGAGCTCTGAGGGCACCCCAGGTAGGAACTAACCCTTCAGTGTAGAGATTTAAGCAAAATCTCAGCATGTTTCTAATTCCTTTCTTTAATCCCTTTCTATCTGTCTCTGTCCCCCTCTACCTCCCTATCTCCTCTTCTCTTTTACTCTCTGTCTCTGTTCTCTCTTTCTCCCTCCCTCTACCCTCACCATTTCTCTCTCCACCCACCCAGGTTTCCGGGCGCCAGAGGTTGCCCGGGGCAACGTGATCTACAACCAGCAGGCGGACGTGTTCTCGTTCGGCCTGCTGCTGTACGACCTGCTGACCTGTGGTGAGCGCATCTCAGACGGCATGAAGTTCCCCAGCGAGTTTGATGAGATCGCCGTGCAGGGCAAGCTGCCAGACCCAGTGAAGCGCTACGGCTGCTCCCCCTGGCCAGGCTTCCAGGGCCTCATGAAGGACTGTATGAGGGAGAGTCCCCAGGACAGACCCACCTCCACACAGGTAACCCTAGCACTGTTACTACTACCTGTCTCCACCTGGCTGTGTGTGAAGTGTAGATGTTTCACTGACTGTCTGTAGGTTTTGAACTGACTATGTAAAGGTGTGACTAAGCTGATTACTTGCGTTTGTGTAGGTGTTTGACTGACTATTTGCCTGTGTGTAGGTGTTTGACTAACTGTGACTATATTTGCCTGTGTGTGTACTGTAGGTGTTTGAGAGGCTGAACTCTGGGGAGATGCTGTGTCTAATGAGGGAGCTGGTGGTCAGCAGAGCTGCCAAAGCTGAGTGTTTCACGGTGGGCTGCAGCAGCCCCAGCAACAGCCCCAGTTCTAACCCTAACCCCAGGGCCTGGGTGGGAGGGGGCAGCAGCACACAGAGACTGGGTTGTCTCGCATCTGTCGACCTGGAGACTGAGAAAGTCACAACACAGGTATTCATAATAGAAGATCTCTCAACGTAGGCACTCACATTGTAGGGATTTGCAAAGTACATGATTACCACACCATACTAGCTCTAACAATACATGTATTACTGCAGCTAGATAATTAGAGCTCAGGTATTCACACAATAGCATAGGTCCTCACAATACATGTCTCTTTGAAATAGGTCCTCACTATATAGGTCTCTTTGACCTACAGTGAGGGAAAAAAGTATTTGATCCCCTGCTGATTTTGTACGTTTGCCCACTGACAAAGAAATGATCAGTCTATAATTTTAATGGTAGGTTTATTTGAACAGTGAGAGACAGAATAACAACAACAAAATCCAGAAAAACGCATGAGAAAAATGTTATAAATTGATTTGCATTTTAATGAGGGAAATAAGTATTTGACCCCTCTGCAAAACATGACATAGTACTTGGTGGCAAAACCCTTGTTGGCAATCACAGAGGTCAGACGTTTCTTGTAGTTGGCCACCAGGTTTGTATACATCTCAGGAGGGATTTTGTCCCACTCCTCTTTGCAGATCTTCTCCAAGTCATTAAGGTTTCAAGGCTGACGTTTGGCAACTCGAACCTTCAGCTCCCTCCACAGATTTTCTATGGGATTAAGGTCTGGAGACTGGCTAGGCCACTCCAGGACCTTAATGTGCTTCTTCTTGAGCCACTCCTTTGTTGCCTTGGCCGTGTATTTTGGGTCATTGTCATGCTGGAATACCCATCCACGACCCATTTTCAATGCCCTGGTTGAGGGAAGGAGGTTCTCACCCAAGATTTGACGGTACATGGCCCCGTCCATCATCCCTTTGATGCGGTGAAGTTGTCCTGTCCCCTTAGCAGAAAAACATCCCCAAAGCATAATGTTTCCACCTCCATGTTTGACGGAGGGGATGGTGTTCTTGGGGTCATAGGAAGCATTCCTCCTCCTCCAAACACAGCGAGTTGAGTTGATGCCAAAGAGCTCCATTTTGGTCTCATCTGACCACAACACTTTCACCCAGTTCTCCTCTGAATCATTCAGATGTTCATTGGCAAACTTCAGATGGGCATGGATATGTGCTTTCTTGAGCAGGGGGACCTTGCGGGCGCTGCAGGATTTCAGTCCTTCATGGCGTAGTGTGTTACCAATTGTTTTCTTGGTGACTATGGTCCCAGCTGCCTTGAGATCATTGACAAGATCCTCCCGTGTAGTTCTGGGCTGATTCCTCACCGTTCTCATGATCATTGCAACTCCACGAGGTGAGATCTTGCATGGAGCCCCAGGCCGAGGGAGATTGACAGGTCTTTTGTGTTTCTTCCATTTGCGAATAATCGCACCAACTGTTGTCACCTTCTCACCAAGCTGCTTGGCGATGGTCTTGTAGCCCATTCCAGCCTTGTGTAGGTCTACAATCTTGTCCCTGACATCCTTGGAGAGCTCTTTGGTCTTGGCCATGGTGGAGAGTTTGGAATCTGATTGATTGATTGCTTCTGTGGACAGGTGTCTTTTATACAGGTAACAAGCTGAGATTAGAAGCACTCCCTTTAAGAGTGTGCTCCTAATCTCAGCTCGTTACCTGTATAAAAGACACCTGGGAGCCAGAAATCTTTCTGATTGAGAGGGGGTCAAATACTTATTTCCCTCATTAAAATGCAAATCAATTTATAACATTTTTGACATGCGTTTTTCTGGATTTTTTTGTTGTTATTCTGTCTCTCACTGTTCAAATAAACCTACCATTAAAATTATAGACTGATCATTTCTTTGTCAGTGGGCAAACGTACAAAATCAGCAGGGGATCAAATACTGTTTTCCCTCACTGTAGGTCCTCACAATATAGGTCTCTTTGACATAGGTCCTCACAATACACAAAACACAGACAAATCAGTGTTTAAAATTCCCATATTCCTCAATGCTAACGTCTTCCTTCTCCCTACAGGAGATTGACACGAGTCCTGTCTTATGCCTGGTGACCGTCCAAGTCCCAGACGAAGCCTGTGATTGGCTGGTGGCTGGTACACAATCAGGGGCACTGGTCGTCATCAGCACTCAGGACCTGTCCACCTGGCACAACCTGCAGAGTGTCACCGACGCTGTGACATCACTGTTCTTCCACACACACCCTCAGCGCAGGTAAGAGAGTGTCAGACTAGATACTATACAATGGGTATGCTATGGCTATGCCAGGGTTCTGCACTAACTTTTTGCAGTTGGTGGCACCAGCACATGATTTGGTCACACCAATATATATATTTTTTAATAAAATGATAATTGATAATGAGCTGACCTGTGCCCCATAATGCACCTGCATTCCATACAGAACCAGGCTAAAATGACTAGCCATCTTTTACATTAGCATGCCCTTGTGTTCTTACATTGATTTGGATAGATTTACTGTAATAGCAAAGAAAAGAGACTGTTTAAATAAAGTGCAAAATGTATTTAATGCCGATTTTAATGTGCCATGTGTTATTTTCTGCGAAATCCTCTAGAGGCAGACTTTTTACAAATTATGCCACGGCAACAACAACAAAAGTTAGTGGGGAGAAGGACTGTGAATTCCTTACGTTTCTTCAGGTTTTCGCACTCAAGATCAGCCTTTTCTAATAGAAAAACAACAAAATTGGATGTTATAAGGACACAACGATGCTTAACCTCTACGGGATCGGTGTCCCGTATACGGGATGGTTGAGCTAATGTGATTAGCATGACTGTTGTAAGTAACAGCAAACTTTCCAGGACATAGACATGTCTTATATGGGCAGAAAGCTTAAATTATTGTTCATCTAACTGCACTGTCCAATTTACATTAGCTATTACAGTGAAAAAATACCATGCTATTGTTTGAGGAGAGTGCACAACAACAAAAAACTTACCACGGCAACTGGTTTCAAACATTCACCTCTGAAGGTAAATAATGTACTTACATTCAGTAATCTTGCTCTGATTTGTCATCTTAAGGGTCCAAGAGATAAAATGTAGCATAGTTTTGTTTGATAAAATCCATGTTATATTCAAATGTAGGAACTGGGTTCTACAGTTTGAACCCCTGCTGTCTCTGGCTCCACACCCACCCCGCCCATCTAGATGTGTGAAAGTTAATGCAGATTTTATGTTGTTGTCCATGCTACAGATGGCTGTATTGGTCCACTAATACAGGACTAGTAAAGGCCCAGTGCCCTACTTTTGTGAATTATTATTATTTCTTTATTTTGGGATTTTTCAGGGGGTGCTACAGCACTCTCAGCACCCCTACTTCCCACGGCTGTGCACTTGTGATGGAGTTTTGAAAACAAATGGCCTCTGGATTGATGCAAATAATCATGATTCTGCCAGTTAGGCATAGGCTACTTTGTAGTTATCTTTTAAATGCCTTTCCATCTACCCGGAAACAGTTAGGCTAACATTAGTTTTCAAGGACTTACATTTTATATTTAATTGTTGTAATGGCCTATAGCATAAAAAACTCCCCCAAAATCTATGCAAAAAAGCATGCATTACCACTAAGAATAGTGCGTATTTTAATAGGCCTGCTTACCCAATGGCATTGTGCATTGACATTCACATTATCTTTACGTTCTAAAATATGTCCGAATAATGTGGACATTGCTCCCGACACAAACACACTAATGAAGTCTGTCCATAGCTAGTCAGTCTCGCCATTTAAAGGGTTACTGTATCCTGTTTTAAAACGAGAAAGCAATTAACAGGGTCCCCTCGCTGTAGTCTTGCTCATCACAATAGCAACAAGCACAACAGCCTTCAATTGAATTGGCAGGAAACAAACGAAAGAGCGTACATCTCTCATAAAAACTGATCAGAAATGAAATCACAGAATTATTATATTGGAGCAGTAGAAATGTATAAAGTGGCATCCATAACTTCAATGACTTTTCAAGGACTAAAGAGGAAATGTCAGATTTTGAAGGTAGGCTATTCCATGATGACTGAATTGTGCATCGCAAATATTCAGCCAATAATAATAATAATAATATGCCATTTAGCAGACGCTTTTATCCAAAGCGACTTACAGTCATGTGTGCATAAATTTTTACGTATGGGTGGTCCCGGGGATCGAACCCACTACCCTGGCGTTACAAGCGCCATGCTCTACCAATTGAACTTTTTAAATACCTGGTTTCAGTGGAGGCTGTTGAGGGGAGGACGGCTCATAGTAATGGCTGGAATGGAGTCAGTGGAATGGTATCAACCACATGGAAACCACGTTTGATACCATTCCAATGACTCCATTCCAGCCATTATTATGAGCCGTCCTCCCCTTAGCAGCCTCCACTGCCTGGTTTACATACCCATTCTTGACTTAGCATTTACTGGTAGATGTCCTAATTTGGAACATCCTTCCTACCCCTACCGCCGTCGGTCTTCACTCCACGCAACAACCAGCTGTTTGAGAGCTGCACGCGCTCTCTGCCCGACAGATTATCTATAGGCTGTACTGCAGGGTTCTTCAATTCCGGTCCTGGAGGGCCGAAACACTTCTGTTTTTTATTTCTACCTGGTAGTTAATTGCACTCTCCTGGTGTCCCAGGTCTGAATTAGCCCCTGATTAGAAGGAGAGGATGAAAAACAGAGGTGTCTCGGCCCTCCAGGACCGGAATTGAAGAACCCTGCTGTACTGTATGTGTATAGTGCGCATGTGATAAATAATCGCCATAACGATCAAACAGCTTTGAGAATCCATCTGTTTTTTTATTAATTATATAGCCTACACTAAAGATAGCATTATTACTATCTTTTTCTCACTGGCCAATGAGGGCCACTGACGGGATGATCGTCTGGCCCTGACACACACAGACGGGGGCGTTCCCGTGCAGTTGTTGCCTCATCAGAAAGTTGTTTTCATTTTTGGTCAATTGCACATTACTGTTTGAATAAATCATAATGATAAAAAAAGCATGATCAGGCAAAACATTTTCACTGGCAACCTTGCGACCAATAAAAAATGTGTGTTGCACTGCCAAGTCAAACGGTCGCAAATGAGTCTGTTTTTGTCGCAGTATCGAACCCTGGGCTATGCTATGGCTATGCTATCTATGGCTATGCTATGACTATGCTACTGCTATGCTATGCTAGTTCCAAATAGCTGTACATGGAAAGGTACATCTGGTAAAGGTAGAATATACAATAATTAGTGTGTATTTACAGTGATGTTAACAGTATGTTACCAATTAAAGTACTGATACTGTGATTTTTTTTTATTTTTAATTTCAGTCAACGAAAGAATTACTTGTTAGTTGGGACAGCAGATGGAATTCTGACGGTTTATGAGGACTCTGCGCTCCAGGTGGAGAATGGCCAGCCAGTCAAGACATTGACCATCGGGAACGTCAACACCCCAGTGATGTGTCTGGGTCAATCAGGTCACTCCCTGGACAGGACCATGGTGTGGGCCGGCTGTGGGACCAGAATCCTCTCCTTCACCGCCGACTATGACGTCTGGAAGACCATTGACACTAAACCCAACCACCTTTTCCAGTGAGTGTCACCTTCAGAGATGTAAGCCCATATTTTGGCTGCCTGCAGGGCTGTTGATTTGTTTTTGCTCTGTGTGTGTTCTCCCCAGGCAGCATCATGCGCTGAGCAGTGAGGCGTGTGTGTCCCGTATGGTGGTGGAAAAACATGTGTACCTAAGCAAGGCTGGAGGACAGAGCGTGGAGGTGTGGAACAAGAAGAGTGAGAGGATGATTGACAGCATCGACTGTGCCCAACTACTCAGGTCAGCTCAGCTCTGACACCACACACACACACACACACACACACACACACACACACGTGAGGACAATCCTATGTAAACTGCTCAACAACAGAAAAAAAGACTGTTCCTTAAACCAGTGGTTCCCAAACTTTTTCACTAACCAGTGGTTCCATTACTGGGAACCACTGCCCTAACCCCCTCTGTGTTCTTGGCCCATAGACACGGCTCCAGCCGGCGACCCAGGAAGGCTAATTCAGTGTTTGAATTTGGAGCGGATACTCCAACCTGGGCTAGCGTCAAGTCCCTCCTGGTGCAGCAAGCCACCACCACCCTGTGGATCGGCACCCGGGGAGGCCACCTCCTCCTGGTAGAGCTGTCCAACCTCCAACTGCTGCAGGTCATCAGCCCCCACTGCCAGTCCATACGCAGCATGGCCTCTGTATTTATAGGTAACAACTATATGTCTATCCGTATGGCTGTTTATGTTTCCCATTGGGGGGCCTCGAGCAGAGCATGGTGGGGCCTCAAGCGGATAAATTATTTGTAAAAAAGGATTACTAGTATTATTATTTTTTAATTATGCCCAGCTCACGAGGCCCCTTGATGATGTGAGGCCTGAGGCATTTGCCTTTTCTGCCTAATGGTAAGTCTGCCACTGTTCAAATACACAGCCCAAAACAAGTACTTTTATTTGAGTATTTGAATGGTTATTTGTAAAACTAATAGTCAACCCAAATGTATTTAAGAGGATTTTCAAATACTTATTTCAAATACTATTTTCAAATACCTGGGTTAAACGCATGGGAGTATATTTCCAAATACATTAAAATGTTCAACTACTTTTTGTTTCAAATAAAAAAAGATCTGAATACATACTTCGAATAGTATTTGAACCTAGGTCTGCTTCCTGTTTGCACAGTGGTGAAAGTTTCACAAACTTGTGTGTTATTTTCATATCATAGAAACACTAAACCGTAAGAATGTGGTCCTGGTTTTGGGAAGAAGACTATCCCAAGATAAGAGTCAATATGGTAAGAAAGTATGACAAAGACCTAACAACTACACAGAACCTACAAAGAAAACCTAAATAATATTGAGTGTACAATCTGTGTGTGTGTGTGTGTTTATGTGTGTGTTGATGTGTATGTGCGTGGGGGGGATGCGGGCGTTTTGTGTGTGTGTGTGTGTGTGTGCTCCCAGACGAGGAGTCGGTACTGATGGTGTGGAACAGTTCTTTGCCTCTGGAGGTCAAGGACCTCAACAAACACTGTGAGATGAGGGAGGAGATCACAGCCAAGATGAGAGAGGACCAAAAGTACTGAGTCACTGACTGAGGCCACAGCTTGGTACGTACCTGTACTACACTAATACTACCTATACACATCAATAGTAAAAACCATAACCCCTGTACTGCACTGCCCATGTATATTACCCATACCAATAATAGAAACATAACAAAATACTATTTCAGTAGTTACCAATTACTGCTATATTTACTTTTCATTGTTCACAGGATACACATGGAAAAGGGATTTCTCTGAAGATTCAGTGGAGTGGTGTGTGTCTTCTGAATCCACACAGTACCAGTACAGGGGGTACAGTACTTTACCTCACTGAAACCACAGAGATAAAACTGACAGCCATACTTCTCAGGGCACTTCGGACCCTGTCAAAGACCATGAAGAGAACAGCACTTTCAAGTGCACTTGATTCATGACAAGGTTACACTGTTTAAGTGCACTTTAATGTTTCACGTCACTAGTCTCAACTCAAATACTATCTGGATATCTGCGTGCTCTAGTTAAGTGTAAGTGTACTTTCATAATCATCCTGCACTACTATACTACAATACCTAAAAGTAAGTAAAATGCCTTTGAAAAAATAATATTTTAATCTTAGACGTATTTTGAATTGAAACACTCCTGCCAATTGTTTGTTTGACCACGAAGAGAAACTGTAAAAAGGGATAGTTCATTTGTGTTGTTTTGTTTACCTGTTTATATAACCATTATAAAATGCAACTGAAGACAACTGGAAAAGAAGCCAAAGGAAATAAATTCTCACTTCTCAAGGGCCATATTTGATTATGTATTCAATACATGTGTGTTTGTTTACCAAATGACCCCATTCACTCCTGCACAGTGGATGGACCCTCTTGTGTCTCTTGTCAAGATGCCAGATTCAAAGTCGTGTAATGGCTGTTGTACTTGTAATGTCTGATGTTGCATCCCAGTAAATTCTGTTTGACTTTTAAACAATGTTTGTATTATGTATTTTATACATTGCCTCCCTGTCTTTAGATTGTCATCTGATAATATAAAGATGTTTGTCATGCACGCTAGAGGGCGGTGCAACACCATTAAATAGGCCACATATTGATGTATCCTTCACTATAACATGAGTCTCTCTGTATCTTTTGTTTGATCTGATTCACTGTTTACATTTCCCTGACAGACGAACGGTGAGATGAGGACAACGCAGAACTACACAGACATTAGTGCACAGTATGGACCAAGTTTGATCTTTAATCTCGACAGGGAAAAAAAATACATTGCGTTGTGAAGCCATTTCATGGAGAAAAAATATTTACAAGTTTATCAAGAGGGGTCAAACCTCTACATAGATTGACAGCACATCAGTAAACAAAACAAAGAGACCAGCTTTAAGGAATTGAAGCACTTCTTACCAAAAAACAAGGTGTTCTGATATCCAAACTATTCAGATAGGCTAAATATATTTATAATATTTATAATATTTATACTTACAGAATACCTTAAATATACAACATCCACCATGTATTCTATAAACAAATATCATAAGTTATTTAGGCACACATTTTTTTTTGGGGGGGGGGTTCAGTTTCAATGACATCCTTTCACTGTTTGCACTATATTGTACTTACACTAAAGAAATGTGGTCAGTATTGCATCATTGCCAACACGTATGTCATCCAAAGAGGCTGCGCTGCTATTAACTCTGGGCCAGAGGTGAGGTGATAATGTACACAGCCATTCTACAGCTGGACCTGAGGGGACAACTCTCAACTCGCATCTTCCAGAGACAGACAGACAAAAGGCCCAGTCCCAAACCGGGTCAATTCCATTTCAATTTGGTGATTCAGGAAGTAAACTGAAATTCCAACATTCCACGTTGCTTCCTGAGATTTTTTTTTTTTCAAAGTTTACTTCCTGAATTGACTGAATTGAAATGGAATGAACCCCAAACCTGATCTTCACTTGTCCCTAGCCTAAGCCACTTGTCCCTAGCCTAAGCCACTTGTCCCTAGCCTAAGCCACTTGTCCCTAGCCTAAGCCACTTGTCCCTAGCCTAAGCCACTTGTCCCTAGCCTAAGCCACTGGTTGACCCCCCCTAGAAACTATAGTAGGCTTGGTGGAGTGTCCACCTTATTGCTTCCACCAATACTGTACTGTCTTGTCCACTAAGTGGAGTCAACAAGAGCTTCAGGACAGGGGGATGAGGGGGTCCATTTGGGACTGAACCAAGGAAGGACTGGGTGGGGAAGGCAAAAAGAGATAGTATGTACAGTTTACATTTTACACACCTTTTTAATCGTTTTTACAGCAAAAGGATAAAAGGACAACATGAAGGGCAGCAGCTACGATATCTACAAAGAATATACAGTAAGAGTACAAATATGCAGATGACGATTCCCATGACTTAACGCACGCAGAAGAGGAATTGGTTGGCCAGCCAGTAGGGCAGAGGACCAGAAACAACACCCTATAAGTCTGACTCGGGCATGTCCGGCATGTCGGCCATCAAGTAACCAATACCGTAGCGGCCGTTGGGGGCGGAATCGGGAACCCCTCCGTTCTGCTTGCGGTAGATGCTGTTGCCGGGCATAGGCGAGGGCGACTTGGCATGGATGAGGCTGGCGTCGTCCTCCTCCTCGGGCCTGGCGATCTCCTGGATGATGCAGCCCTTCTTGTATGAGATGGTGGAGACGACGCCGGCGTTCTCGTCGATGATGTTGAAGTAGCGGAGGAAGAAGACCACGGGCACGGGCATGATGGCCATTACCACCAGGGAGATGCAGACTGCCAGACCCCACGGAGGGTAGCTCAGGGATTTCTCACTGGCCTGGAGGGGGAGACAGGGAGGTTAGAGGTTACCACATTTACATTTTAGTCATTTAGCAGACGCTCTCATCCAGAGCCACTTACAGTTAATGAGTGCATACATTTTTATTTTTTTTACTGGAATCGAACCCACAACCCTGGCGTTGCAAATGCCATGCTCTACCAACTGAGCTACATCCCTGTAATACTACTACTGTAATGCTGTATACTACTACTACTGTAATGCTGTATACTACTACTACTGTAATGCTGTATACTACTACTACTGTAATGCTGTATACTACTACTACTGTAATGCTGTATACTACTACTACTGTAATGCTGTATACTACTACTACTGTAATGCTGTATACTACTACTACTGTTTATTATTGTAGCTCAGAGACTTCTCACTGGCCTGGAGGGGATGAAGAAGGTTTATCAAGGTTCTGACTAGAGTACAGCTACGACTGGAATGTTACAACCGGTCACCAAGGATACCAGACAGGTAAACACAGTGACACTGATACTGACACAAAAACCATGGGACAGCAAGTTGGCCTCGTGATAATAGGTTGCATCTTAAAACGAGTTTAAGTGTGAAGTCCTCTTGTCTTAAGTCTAAGGGCTCTATTCAATCCATATCGCGGAAGTTCAGCGTTACAACGTGATTGAAATTTAAAATCACTGTTCCCACGTTAGCGGAGACTGCATTCACGGTAAACTCCTGCATATGTCGGCTCAATAGGAAATTGCCTTTACATTTCTGATCTTGATAATCCAACAGTGGAGTATTGGTGAAGCTAACATGGCAAAGCGTATATCGAGTGTTCCTATTGGTGAAGCTAACATGGCAAAGCGCTTATCAAGTGACTGCTCCTATTGGTGTAGCTAACATGACTGTTCCAGGTATATTACAAATCGGTGTGGATAAAGGAAAGGAGACAAGAAGAAGATGCCAGGTAGGAGTGGAATAAAATCTTGCACATCCCATTGACTGAAACAATAGTCCATTAAACTGAAATACTGTGTTTTGGCCTTTTTCCAGTTGCACCAAAGAGAGACCACAGTCGAGAGGCGACTCACTAGGTCCTTGATCCAGGCGCTGTAGCTGGGTGGGGTCATTCCCAGCTGGATCACACTGGAGCCCAGCAGCAGGATGAGCAGCAGGGGGGTCACGTACTTCCACATGTAGTAGTAGAACCGGAACGGAGTGAAGCCCAGCATGTCCTTCAGATCCTCAAAGAACCTGGGGAGGAGGAGGAGGAGACGGGGACGGGATACCACCACAGGAGGTGAGAATACATAATGGTACACAGTTTAGACTGTGTTGACTTTGGCAACCACAGATTACTGCCATTCTGTATATGATTTGACATGTATTGCACATACTTGTCAGTCCCATAGACCCAAGCAACAGCCACGTTCTCCAGGATGACCACTATGAGCAGAGGCAGTGTGGCGGAGTAGTCGTCAAACATGGCCACCCAGTAGTTCCCAGAGTGTTGGACGAACAGCAGGCCAATGAAGAAGGCCAGCAGACAGACACCCACTGTTACAGGAGGGAGACAACATGGACATTATCAAACGGTGCAAGGGGGAGAAATGCCATCCTCGTTAACAGAATTCATGCACAATATTTGTCAACATGTTGCTGCACTAAATGTAACAATTATGAAACATTCTCTTTGGTGCCACACTCTGCATTAGAGTTAGTATTATGACATCATTATTGAGCCTGAAGCATTAGAGCAAAGAGCCATAATACATCATACACCTGGGTAATATTTAATTGACCAGTTACTATGGCAAACACACATCAAGAGCTCAGCTGAGGATGCATTGTGGGAAAGGTCTACCTCCACAAACTGACATATAGGCTCTTTCTGTTAAATTTTTCCTAAATACCTTGAATATTTTCTTCTCTGAAGAAAAAGGTCAGAGAGGGACCTTGGACCTTCTCCATTAAGATTGAGAAGGAGACAAGGAGATAGGAGGAATCACAGAAAGGTGAACTGAGAAATAATGAACCATATATTCCTTCATCCCCTCTCTCTGACTGACCTGTGAGGAACTCCTTGCGGACTTTGAAGGTGTCCACCAGGGGTGTGATGATGCCCTCGATGGTTCCGAACATGCTTCCCAGGCCCAGGTTAACCAGCATCAGGAAGAACATGACGGACCAGAAGGGAGACGCCGGGAAGTGGGTCATGGCCTCTGTAAAGGCGATGAAGGCCAGGCCTGTACCCTGCACTGCCTGAGGAGCAGGTGGAGGAGGATGGGGAGCAGGTGGAGGAGGACGGGGAGCAGGGGGAGGAGGACGGGGAGCAGGTGGAGGAGGACGGGGAGCAGGTGGAGGAGGACGGGGAGAAGGGGGAGGAGGACGGGGAGCAGGTGGAGGAGGACGGGGAGTAGGAGGAGGAGGACGGGGAGCAGGTGGAGGAGGACGGGGAGAAGGGGGAGGAGGACGGGGAGCAGGTGGAGGAGGACGGGGAGTAGGAGGAGGAGGACGGGGAGCAGGTAGAGGAGGACGGGGAGTAGGAGGAGGAGGACGGGGAGCAGGGGGAGGAGGACGGGGAGCAGGTGGAGGAGGATGGGGAGCAGGGGGAGGACGGGGAGAAGGGGGAGGAGGACGGGGAGTAGGAGGAGGAGGACGGGGAGCAGGAGGAGGAGGACGGGGAGCAGGGGGAGGAGGACGGGGAGCAGGGGGAGGAGGGGGGAGAAGGGGGAGGAAATACAAATCTCAAAGTGCATAGATAAGATCTAGAGATTGGTCTAACACAGTCTGTGAGAAACCGCATTCAGTAACACTTTACCGCACTGTTATGACACTAAAAAAATTCATTGGATAGTCGTAGCTAATCCTGGTTTGAGACATGATAGTGTAAAGTCAGTTGTCGTGATGACATCATATCTGACACCAGTTTTCATGACTGTTTGTGTTTTCTTCAAGTAGAATGCTACCTAAAAGTGATTATGATCATAAAAGATACAAAATTATGATATGATATCACCGTTATACATTCTATGAACCTCGTCACCCATTGTCTTACGTCAGATGTTTCGACGGCCGTCTGCACTGACCAAAACATTAGCATGATGTAGCTGTCGGAAGACAACGGCCCCTCACCTTGTTGAGCTCTTCCTCAATGCTGCAGGAGTCCAGACGCTGGTAATCCTTCTCCTTCACCCCTCTGATGATCTCAGTGATCTGTTGGTATTCATCAGCGCTCAAAGTAGCACTTAAGTTGATGTGGTGGGGGATCAGATCATGGCTGATCTCGTTCCCCAGCAAACCCACTATCTTCTTAGTGTTCCTGAGAGATAGAAAATGAAATAAGATCAGATCAAAATGGATGCTTTATCATAGACTATGCTAATATCTTCTAGGCCTTATTGCTAATATCTTAAAGGCCATGAATGGGCAACTTTGATTGGGGTGGGGGTTACAATAAATCTGAAATCATCATGAGAGGCCGCAGTGGCTCGCCTGTCTGTATAACCACATCCATACTCACACATGCAGTCATACTGCACTACACCCAGGCACAGTCAGGGTGTAGCCTTTTGGGGGCCCTAAGTGACATTTTGTTGGGGGGCTCCCCACCTTGCGAGCAAAATAATTTAGCGGCCCCCCTCTTGACAGCAGAGACATTTTTGCAATTTTATAACTAATTTTAAGCAATTCTACAGATTTTGCCATGGGGTGGAGAGAAATGTTTGCTGTTTTTAATATGATATCTGAGTGAGAGTGACTAACAAAATCAATGGGGGCCCCCGGTCGGTAATTCGACCATGATTACTACTAAGTTTAGATAGCTGGCTAGACTAACTTACCAATCTAAAACATGTTATCTTACATGGGCTAATTGAGTGACTGTCAGTGACTGACATAACAAGACAGAAACTGCTAAACTGCTGATGCACATTTCTAAATGGCACCTTGTATATTGTACTATTCTAACTCTCAACAGTAAGTTGAGACCACAACTGAGTTCCTAAATTGATCCGTGGGCCTACAAAAGGGGGCCCGCTGATTACTGCCAGTTGCCCATCCCTGTTATAGACCTTATTGCTAACATCTTACTGGTCTTATTCAATGGCTCAGTGGGTCACAGTGTGACTCAAACTTCATGTCAGCATCAAACAGACGTTTTTTGTATAATAAATACATTTGAATTGATTGATTGACGACAGCGTAATTGCGTATCCATACTTACAGTGCGATACACTTGACGTTCATGATGTTGGCCTTGAAGCCGAGCACGGCGAACACCACCAGGGTGGCCAGCACAGAGGTGAAGAAGTTGATGAAGGAGACCAGCACCGCGTCGAAGTGGCAGTTGTTGTCCCGCTTGTTGTAGCTGGAGAAGGCTATGACACCTCCGAAGCCCAGGCCCAGGGCGAAGAAGACCTGTGTGGCCGCCTCACGCCACACCTTGGCCTCCAGCATGATCTCCAACTGGAATGAAATAAATAAAGAATGGACATTTAGGTGAGGTGCTGACTAAAGGAAGCTCAACTAGAGTTGGTGGATACATTTTACCGACGTTTGGCTCTTTAGGACAACACTACGTTATTTATTTTACGAGAGTCTGTGTTTTTCTAGTAATGTACAAACCATTGTTTGGACCAGTGGAGCAGAGCAGTGGACATGTGAATCATGGTTGAGAGTTAACTCCATTTATCAAAACTATGGAAGATCAAACAAGGACACAACATACTGAGAGCATATCTATCATGCCACTGCCCTCAAATATCCTACAGTATATTTGTGTGGTGATAGGCTTAACACAGTTAGAAGGCACACATTATGCAGCACACAATGAGCCCTGCTTTTGATGTCTCCCTCCCTGCACACAGGAGACGCAGCGTAGGCCTTTGAAGTAGGAAGATGTCAGCCGTGTGAGAATCAGCAGACACATGAGACTCTGTTGTGAAATGAACGGAACACGCCGCCGTGGATGTTACATAAAGCAGGGAGCGCCGAGCGGCTCCTGTTACCATGGTGAGAAGTCTGCCACCACAGCAGAGCCCAAATCAAATTATTCATTTTGCCTGAGTTGCCATTGGTCCACGGCAGCTGAGTAGCCAACCTATAATAGACTAGTGTATTTAAAAATATATATTTCTGGCACATTTTCATTCAACATGGCCTTCCTCTTTAGTAAACAATGTTGAGGACCACTGCTGTTGAATAGCTGACCTCCGGTAAAAAATATTTGTACATTTATGGCACATTTTCAGTCAATATCTTTTCCTTCCTGTTTCAGTAAAGGGAACAATGTAACATTGATCCACAACTGGATCAAACGAGCGTACTGGATCAAACGAGCGTACTGAATCAAACGAGTGCATTGGATCAAACAAGTGCATTGGATCAAACAAGTGCATTGGCTAACTCTCTGAAGACGTCTGGGGCCCTGACTGTGCCTGGGTGTAGTGCAGTATGTTGGCTGTATGCAGCAGCATTGGGTTGACTGTGCCTTGGGTGTAGTGCAGTATGTTGGCTGTATGCAGCAGCATTGGGTTGACTGTGCCTTGGGTGTGAAGTTGGCACCATTACATTGACTGTATGTTGGGTGTAACTATAAAACAGCATTACTGTACCTTAGGGGTAAACATGTGTCGGATCCCGTCCACAGAGCCTTTCAGGAGCAGAGCCCGGACCAGGAAACAGATCAGCACCACGTAAGGGAACAACGAGCTGAAGTACATCACCTGTAAAACAACCACAACAGAAGAACAACCTTGTTGCAACTCGTACATTATAAAGTTAATGGCTGACTTGAGACTTTACTTATTGACAAGCCTGTCTCAGACCCAAAGTCTGGAGTTAATAACTATATAAACCTAAAGATAATGAGATAATTGCTGTGATCTGATGACTTCTGGGCTTTATCTAAGTGGATCTCTGAGGCTTCCTCTTCTGGGCTTTATCTAAATGGATCTCTGAGGCTTCCTCTTCTGGGCTTTATCTAAAGGGATCTCTGAGGCTTCCTCTTCTGGGCTTTACCTAAAGGGACCTATGAGGCTTCCTCTTCTGGGCATGGCTGGCCCTTAAATGTACACAGAGAGCTAACATTAATAACATGCATGTCAAACTCTCCTGGCTCCAAGTAGAGGAGAGCTTGACTGCATCACTACTTGTCTTTGTGAGAGGGATTGACATGTTGGAAGTACTGAGCTGTCTGTTCAAGTGACTAGTGCACAGCTCAGACACCCATGCATACCCCACAAGACATGCCACCAGGGGTCTCTTCACAGTCCCCAAGTCCAGAACAGACTATGGGAGGCGCACAGTACTACACAGAGCCATGACTACATGGAACTCAATTCCACATCAAGTAACTCATGCAAGCAGTAAAATTAGATTTAAAACACAGATAAAACTACACCTTATGGAACAATGCGGACTGTGAATAGACACACACACACGCACGCAAGCACACACACTCTACACACACGTACATTTTAATATTGTTGTATGGTGCTATTGTACATTTTGTGCTGTGGATATGTAGTGGTGTGGTGATGTTATGTTTTATTTAGTTTTTGTTCGTTTATTTTGTGATGTAAGTGCCTTAATGTGTTTGGAACCCAGGAAGAGTAGCTGCTGCCTTGGCAACAGCTAATGGGGATCCATAATAAATACAAGTCTCTGAGGCTACCTCTTCTGGGCTTTATCTAAAGGGATCTCTGAGGCTGCCTCTGTTGTCTCTTCCTGACCTGTGGGGGTGGCAGTAATCCACAGAGAAATCCACAGCCCTGCGGACCGCAATACAGTGAGTGGAAGAATACAGAGGAAGAAGCAAATGACTGAAGTGAGTGATGCAATAGGAGGCCCTATCCCAGGGGAGGTCTACTCTACTGAACTGCTATGGGTGCTTTCAGGGCCAAGGATACTGACCGGCCTCTGGGCAGGGGCCCACACAAGAGCTTTTGTCCCACTGTCCCACTAAGCTGACAGAGGGAGGGGCCTCCTTGCTTTGTGCTTGGTGATATACTGTATTATCTGGGAGGATACTAGGGGATTGTGGATTGAAGAGCGGGGTGGGCAGGGGGAGTAAGTTGAGTCACTCCATAGGCTCTGAGGCGTGGTTTAAGATTTAAGATGGTTCGGAGTTCAGTCATGAGCAGGGTTGGGTTCAGGGGTGGGCCTCTGCCTGCCTGGTGGCCTCTAAAGGGGAAACCAGGTAAAGAGCTTAACTGGAGGACCAGTTAGAGCTTAATCCTGCACTGGTCATACAGTTGTGAATGCCTTAGCTTAGACTAGATTTTGAAATGACACCACCGGAATGCCTAAGCTTAGACTAGGTGTTAAAATGACACCACCTGAATGCCTAAACTTAGACTAGGTGTTAAAATGACGCCACCTGAATGCCTGAGCTTAGACTAGGTGTTACAATGACGCCACCTGAATGCCTGAGCTTAGAATAGGTGTTAAAATGACGCCACCTGAAAGCCTAAGCTTATACTAGGTGTTAAAATGACATCACCTGAATGCCTAAGCTTAGACCTAGGTGTTAAAATGGAAAAGAGACATTGGTCTCAGCATTGACTCCCTGTCAAAATAAAGGTTAGTCATGGATCAGTCATGGAAATAAAAGTGCTGAAAACATGTTGACTAGCTGGAGAACAAGCTATAGGATGAAAAATATCGGAGTTTTGGCGCAGGTACAGCCGACTAACGCTACCTAGCAAAAATAAATACAAATAAAAATGTTTTTACAAATCGATACTTGGAGTGAAAGTATCGATATAATATCCTCCAAATTAATATTGCGATATGTACCTGATTGTCCCCCCCCCATCACTATCTATCATTACGGCAACTCAAACCTGTCATAATGGTGCTTTTACTTTGAGGCGTTCTTTTGTAGCTGCACAGAATTTTCTGTCAACAATGCAAGCAAAAAGTAGATTTCGAGTGGAAAATGAATAAGCCATTTAATACCCAGCCATTTAGTCCCTGTTCACCACACAGTCAGCTAAATGTTTTTTTTCTCTCCCCCATTTCTATGTTTTGGTGAGTACACTCCTAACAATCATGCGAAAGAGCGCATATAACCATGGCAACCGGTCTGCTCCCCTCTCTCCCTCGGTCTTTCATGCATCCTCATACCCACACACAGAAATGAAAAAGAAAATGTAGATCACAGTGGGGATATTCCTAGGAATAGGCTTTTGTAAACGAGGGGCGAGAGGGACATTCATATTATTTTGTGTGGCAAAGCTTCAAAGGTTCTCCTGCTCTGGCCCCTTCACCAGGAGGGGAAAGGAAAGCTCATAGCCATTTCCACTCTCTCTCCAACTTAAAAGGCCATCGAGACTGTTGTGGGGCCCAAGGAGGGCCTCACACTTGTTCATTGTTAAAGATGCAGTCCGGGATCTTAAAGGAGAAGTTTTCTTTTTTTTACAAACAAATCTCTATCTTTGACGTAAATGGCATGTTAAAGAAGGGTCCAGAATCATTCGGGACCCGACAGAGATCATTGCGGTGCGGTCAGCATTTTTCATGCTGCGGTTGGGAGCGGGCAGTCAGACAGACAACTTTGGGATAAAAATATTTTTGTTGTCCCGCAGATTATTTGGAAACGGTTGTCTTTCTGCTTTGCATGCGTTAGCCTTCCAATTGTATTAAAAACACATCTTTGTAGCATTATTCACACAGTCTAAGTAGCCTACCTCCTCTCACAGTTGGGTGTGTGAGATAAAGTACACTATAGGCCTATGTGCGGTCTCAATGAAATAGAGTAGGCTGCCTATGCATGGGTGGAGAATAAATTGGCAGTTATCTTTCCAGGGAAATTAAATTAAATATGATGACATTACTACAGTGTCTGTAAATAAATATTGATAATGAAAAGAAGTGGAGGGCGCTCAACCAACGTGAGTCGAGGTGGAACCAAAAAATGCAATCATCATTGAAAAGCAAAAGGCGCAACGCACGCATAGGCTACCATGGTGAGCAAGCGTTGTGCCTTTTCATTGTCAATACAAATTGATTACCCATTTATTTGTCTCTGCCTGCAAATCGTCCTCCTAAAAAGTAGGCTATATGCTATATGCAAAACGTAGCTCAAGAGAAAGTGCAAGTGTCCGCTCTCATCATTCGATGCTTCCGTTGCCATACGTGCGAGATCAGGTGCGTGTGTGGGCTCAATTAAATGGAGTAGCCTATATCCTATGCATGGACGAAGAAGCACGGGCAGTTATCTTTCCAAGGAAATGTACTTCCTAAATAGGATTTGGCTATATCTTACTACATTGCTTAGAAATAAATATTGATCACCCATATTTGTCTCCTTATGAAAATCGTCCCACTCCGAAAAGGTAGGCTATAAAACGTAGCTCAAGAGAAAGCGCAAGTCTCTCCAACTCTGCTCTCTTCAAACTACGGCTAGCCTATTGGCTGATATAGCCCAGTAATACAGATAGCATATTGGCTGATATAGCCCAGTAATACAGATAGCATATTGGCTGATATAGCCCAGTAATACAGATAGCATATTGGCTGATATAGCCCAGTAATACAGATAGCCTAACATAATAAACCACATGACAATCTGGTAATTTAACCTATTTTGGCGGATTTTGATATTGCCTATAGGGCACAATATCAATGTCAGGAACATTCAATGTCTTCTTGGTAAGCAACTCCAGAGTATATTTGGCCTTGTGTTTTAGGTTATTGTCCTACTGAAAGGTGAATTTGTCTCCCAGTGTCTGTTGGAAAACAGACTGAACCAGGTTTTCCTCTAGGATTTTGCCTGTGCTTAACTCCCTAGTCCTTGCCGATGACAAGCATACCCATAACATGATGCAGCCACCACCATGCTTGAAAATATGAAGTGGTCTCAGTGATGTGTTGTGTTGGATTTGCCCCAAACATAACGCTTTGTAATCAGAACATAAAATTAATTTCATATTTTATGCAGTTTTACTTTAGTGCCTTATTGCAGACAGGATGCATGTTTTGGAATATTTTTTATTCTGTTTACTCAGTTATTTAGGTAAGTACTGTATTGTGGAGTAACTACAATGTTGATCCATCCTCAGTTTTCTCCTATCACAGCCATTAAACTCTGTAACTGTTTTAAAGTCACCATTGGCCTCATGGTGAAATCCCTGAGCGGTTTCCTTCCTCTCCGGAAACTGAGTTAGGAAGGATGCCTGTATCTTTGTAGTGACTGGGTATATTGATACACCATCCAAAATGTAATTAATAACTTCACCATGCTCAAAGGGATATTCAATGTGTGCAAAGTTTTTTTTTTACCGATCTACCAATAAGTGCCCTTCTTTGAGAAGCATTGGACAACCTCCCTGGTCTTTGTGGTTTAAACTGTGTTTGAAATTCACTTCTCAACTGAGGGACCTTACAGATAATTGTATGTGTGGGGTACAGAGATGAGGTAGTCATTCAAAACTCATGTTAAACACACTAATATTGCACACAGAATGAGTCCATGCAACTTACTGGAAACAGTCAAGGGGTGTGAATACTTTCTGAAGCCACTGTAATTATGATGATTACAATAATCGGTTAGACCTCCACAGACAGGTTGTGGCAGATTGGGATAGTGCGTTTCCCTGCTGTCCTGCCAAATGTGTTATTTATTTTTATTTTTAATACATTAGCAAACATTTCTAAAAACATGTTTTTGCTTTGTCATTATGGGGCATTGTGAGTAGATTGATTAGAAAAAAATTAAAAATAACAACCACATCTGTCTGTTTGAGGCCAGGGAATCCATCTTGTTTTGTCTGTGTGTGTTATGGAGACTGTACAGTAGAGACGGGGGCTTGAATAGAACCAAGAAAACATAGGACAGCTGTTGGGATAAGACCAGGAAGAGGGACAATGGCTGGATCAAAAGGGAACGCCAAGCTCAGATAGCACAGGACAGGGCCATAGTCCTAAAAGACCAGAAATACTCTAAGAGGAGTAGAAACTGCCTTTGCTAAAATGCACAAGGAACGATAAAGACCCAATGGTACAGTGCCCATAATTGAACAGCCTCAGAGTCACACAGAGTTAGTGTCAGTCACTCAGACTCTGGTTTTTCCAACTTGAGGCAGGTTGAGAAAGACCTGACAGTGTCTCCTGACCTGCCAGCACCAGCCTGACACAGAACGAAGGGTTAATGCTAGCTAAACTCGATGGTGCTGTTAGCATCATGGAATATTCCAATGAGGATTACTGTAAAAAAAAAAAAATGCCCCACTTGTGATTTTCAATAAAATATATATTATATAATTCAAGGATTATGTTTAAAATGTCCATAAAAGTGTCGTTAATTTGTGTACATTTGACTGTTTCAAAAATGTTTTGTTCAAAACTAGCTGTTCAGTAGTGCTGAGCGATTAGTGCTTTTTGAAGTCGGTTCGGGTTCGATTATAAAAAATGAATCATGGTTTTCGATTTCGGTTTTGATAAACATTTTTAGACATTAAATGCACTATGCATTATGTAGGTTGAATCCTGTAACAACACTGAATAAAACAATTAATAAAAGTCCCATGATGGTAGCGACTTCCCATTGCTGCTTATCACTTATTAACCATCATTTATTCACATTATTTTACTTTAATAAAATGTTTTATTTGATAACTTTATTTAATTCCAAGTCATCATCTCATCCCTATAGCGCTGCTGCCTATGCTGTCTGACAAAATCACTATTTTAGTAGTAAATAAGGCATACTTTTATGACTGCTGAATACCAACTATCAATCACTTAGATCATGTATTTTCAGGCTCGCTAAGCAACTGCTTTCTATCCCTCTCAATAGTGCGATCTCTCTTCTCTCAGTCTCCGTGTCTGCTCTGCATAGACCGGACAAGTTTAAGTGGGCGTGCAATGTCTCATGGTCATTACCGCATTTTCTGCGCTAAACTATGTAGAATATTGGCCTGTTGGAAAATACAACTCCCAACTACATCGCACAGTTCATAGTTCTGATGTATCTCTACAGAAACTGCACATCGAGCTCACAGAAAAAATACTAACTAAATGGAATTCAAGTAATTGAACCGATGTCGGTCAATTAGTTGTTTTATAAACCCCAAAATAACCTATATTTTGGTTAATCGCTCAGCACTACTGCTCGGTTACCTACTGCTCTGCCATCAACAGCTCCGGGCATTCAGCCTGCTGCCCAGCGCTTGGATTGCTTTGCCAACTATTACATTGCTTGCTATTGGGGAGGACTGCAGCAATGAGATTGCAGGATTTCATCACATGATTTTCACAGCACAAAGTAAATGGACCTTTCCTGGGGTGTTGTAATGAAGGTCCAGGTCTTCTGGGCCTGCTCTATCAGGTACTGAACAGTTGGCGCTAAAGAGCAAATTGCAATGTGTAACTTGTAAATAACTTGTAAATAAAAATAATCATTACAGTCATTGGGCGCCTGGGACCTGAACCAGACATCCACATCCATTAACAGTCGAAGGACAGAGGGATACAGTAGCTACAACCTTCTCGCGATCATGGTAGGGCAAAAAAAAAAACATGTCTCTGTGCCCAATTTTGACAATAGCTACCAGCAAGCTAGCATTCCGGTAGCTAGCTTGCTAGCTCTCATGCCAATCAAGTCTAACTAAAGTTACTGGCGAGCTCATGACGCTTCTGACGTTATGCTAGTTAGCTATCCCAGTTAGATCATTTATTTTCACTTGCTGCATCTGTGCTCGTTGTGTGCTTGTGTCACCAATGCACTTGGGAGCTGGCTGCGCGCTGCTCGTTCTAAAAATATAACTTTTGGTAATCAAAACAGTGGCAGCAGTGGTGATTCTGTTTTTACATGCAAAAGTGAAATAGGTCTATTTATGCTGTTGTTCAAATGCACAGATCACTTTATATATCCCCCCCCCCCCCCCCCCCCCCCCCCCCCCCCCCCCCCCCCCCCCCCCCCCCCCGCCTCCCTGGGTATTCAGCCAATTGGCGGCTGCCACTGCCAGGTATACAGTAACTATCTAGCATGCTCTGTCTCACACAAACTATTTTTCTCTCTTACTTGCAGACTCTTATTAGGTCAATTTCCCATCTCACTCTTACACTCACTCACTCACTCACCTTCCCAGAGGACTGGATGCCCTTGATCATGGCGAGGCAGACCATGGACCAGGCGGCCAGCAGACAGATGGTCATCCTCCAGTTGAGGCCACCGCTCTCAGAGATGGAATCCGAGATGTTCAGAGCCTCACGGTACCAGTAGTAGGTGGTGGCCGAGCTCTTCTCACACTCAGGCACCACGTCTGGAGGTAGGAGGGACAACATGGAGGGTGTTACTGATGAAACAGGTGCAGAACACCTGGAGTTGAGTTTCTGTGGTCACCTCACTCGTTAGAGCTCACTTTATAATGGATTACTGTGAATCTACAGTATGGCTAACGGCTTACTGTATCGCTTTCACTGGGTGGTAAATGCACCACGACTTTATTGCATGCTTTTTATGAACTTGTATGCTAGTTATTCAGAGACACTCAGTAGGGTAGTTATTGCCTCTTGTGTGGTGAAGGTGTGAGCATGGGTGTGAGCATGGGTGTGTGTTTGCCTTACACGTAGTGCTTTTGTTCTTGACCAGGGGACACTCGTGCCATGGCAGAGGCTGCTGGAAGGACTGGGAGAAATAGAATAGACTCCACCCGATGATCACATTGTAGTAGAGGGCCACAAAGAAACACACCTGCAGTACACAAACAAGTTAGTGTTTAAAACACACAATCTAAATCATCACTACCTTATAAACACACATCGATATGATGCTTATTATAAATGCATTTGTCTTAATGGGTTTTCCAGCAATCCTAACAGAGAAAGCCAAGGCGACACACTAGTCCAACAAAATCAGTTTAACATGGTACCACCTGTCAAAGGACTACATTTAAACCATCCTCAACCAGCACGTGTTATCATGGTCGACAGTGTTATCGTGGTCAGCAGTGTTATCGTGGTCGGCAGTGTTATCGTGGTCGGCAGTGTTATCATTGTTGGCAGTGTTATCATGGTTGACACGTGCTGCCAGTTAGTTCACAGAAAGGTGTTGGTGACACGTGACCTATTCAGTACCCAGAATTCCCTCTGCTCTCCACTGCGTGGCGGCCATTAAGAAACAGAGACCGGAACACAATGACTCATGAAATGAGTTTATACTGGCTGAGATGACATGGAGAAGACAGTTACTCTTTAAAAGGCAGCTTGTCTTGTCATTTCTCAATTCATTACCATAGAAAGATGCTAAGGGTAGATGGGTTTAAAGAAAATGGAGCAAAATGTGTGCGTGTTTGCATGTGAAGCAGAAAGAAACAGTCCTGTTTACGTGTCTGCTTTCCCCTTTATTCTAAGGAAGTGTGTACAGTGCCCATGTAAAGGACGTCACGCTGCATGCTTAGCGAGTACCACTTCCTCCTGAGTCGACTCGAACCCAGGACCGCTGCTTTGCTAGCACACGTGACCGCCCTCACGAAGCGTCCTACCAGTCAGCGCCACGCGAAAAGCTAGCTATTCTCTGGCGCAAGTGGGGACGTCAGACTGAGGAGTAAGTGGGGACACGTCAGACTGAGGAATACGTTTTCACACACAGTCTTGGTAGCAGTGCATCTGACTTCACTCACCACACAGCTGGCGAAACCGATGCCCCCCAGGCGAGGGCTGATGTAGTTCCACACCCCGATGCTGCCCCTGCGGATCCGCTGCCCCACCGACAGCTCCAGGAAGAATAGGGGGATGCCAATCACAATCAGCAGAATGAGGTAGGGAACCAGGTACGCCCCTGCGAAGAAGGACAAACACACACTGGGTCAGAACTATGTCACACACAAACATACACACACATGAGCATGATGCGAACACACACGCCCGTATGCACGCAGCCACACACACACACACACACACCCACACACCATGTAGTGACTGCACACCACACCAGTTCCGCCTCTCTCTCTCTCTCTCTCTCTCTCAAGTCATCTCCCTCATCATGGTGTGTTGTGCCACATAAGTATTTTGATCTGGAAAGATACTCAGGTCTCAGATGATCCAAATTGATCTGTGGCTACTGGAATCCACATCAGGATGATGACATTCTTTATATGCTTTACAGACAGCTTCAGGGAGAATGACTAAGAAACAGCCCATAATAGCACAGGTCTGTAAACAGGGTCTGTCTGCGTCTGTTACTCTCAGGGACTGCAACTGGTAGACAAATGGTACAGGAGAAAGATTACAAAAACCTTTCTTCACAGGAAATGGTGGTTGTGTCTTTACTGCTAGAGCCACATTGCCAGTAACTGAAAGAGATTAATACAATCTATAGCCAGTACAAGATTTGCATAAAAACCTAACCTCTAAGCCTTTATATGTTTTGCTTTTCACAAATATTCTGTTATTCTGGCAGCTCTAAAGTCACTGATGGTGAATGAGAAATGAGGATATCACATTTGTCAATAAGCGACAGTTTCAAAACAACGTTTGCTTTTGACTGGCTTGACTTTTGGGAAAACAGAAGAAAAGTACTGCAATCACTTTCTTCCCGAACTTGTAATCAACCACTCCATTTCTTGTTAACAAACTATAGTTTTGGCAGACACAAGTAATTTTTCAAACAATTGTTTACAGACAGATTATTTCACTTATAATTCACTGTATCACAATTCCAGTGGGTCAGAAGTTTACGCACACTACATTGACTGTGCCTTTTAAACAGCTTGGGAAATTCCAGAAAATTATGTCATGGCTTTAGAAGCTTCTGATAGGCTAATTGACATAATTTTAGTCAATTGGAGGTGTACCTGTGGATGTATTTCAAGGCCTACCTTCAAACTCAGTGCCTCTTTGCTTGACATTATGGGAAAATCAAAATAAATCAGCCAAGACCTCAGAAATGTTTTTGTAGACCTCCAAAAGTCTGGTTCATTCTTGGGAGCAATTTCCAAACGCCTGAAGGTACCACGTTCATCTGTACAAACAATAGTACACAAGTATAAACACCATGGGACCACGCAGCCGTCATACCGCTCACGAAGGAGACGCGTTCTCTCTCCTAGAGATGAACGTACTTTGGTGGGGGTGCTTTGCTGCAGGAGGGACTGGTGCACTTCACAAAATAGATGGCATCATGAGGAAGGAAGCAACATCTCAAGACATCAGTCAGGAAGTTAAAGCTTGGTCGCAAATGGGTCTTCCAAATGGACAATGACCCCAAGCATACTTCCAAAGTTGTGGCAAAATGGCTTAAGGACAACAAAGTCAAGGTACTGGAGTGGCCATCACAAAGCCCTGACCTCAATCCTATAGAAAATGTGTGGGCAGAACTGAAAAAGCGTGTGCGAGCAAGGAAGCCTACAAACCTGACTCAGTTACACCAGCTTTGTCAGGAGGAATGGGCCAAAATTCACCCAATTTATTGTGGGAAGCTTGTGGAAGGCTACCCGAAACGTTTGACCCAAGTTAAACAATTGAAAGGCAATGCTACCAAATACTAATTAAGTGTGTGTAAACTTCTGACCCACTGGGAATGTGATGAAATAAATAAAAGCTGAAATAAATCATTCTCTCTACTATTATTCTGACATTTCACATTCTAAAATAAAGTGGTGATCCGAACTGACCTAAAACAGGGAATTTTTACTAGGATTAAATGTCAGGAATTGTGAAAAACTGAGTTGAAATGTATTTGGCTAAGGTGTATGTAAACTTCCGACTTCAACTGTAGATAGATACAGTGGGGAGAACAAGTATTTGATACACTGCCGATTTTGCAGGTTTTCCTACTTACAAAGCATGTAGATGTCTGTAATTTTTATCATAGGTACACTTCAACTGTGAGAGACGGAATCTAAAACAAAAATCCAGAAAATCACATTGTATGATTTTTAAGTAATTACATTTGCATTTTATTGCATGACATAAGTATTTGATCACCTACCAACCAGTAAGAATTCCGGCTCTCACAGACCTGTTAGTTTTTCTTTAAGAAGCACTCCTGTTCTCCACTCATTACCTGTATTAACTGCACCTGTTTGAACTCGTTACCTGTATAAAAGACACCTGTCCACACACTCAATCAAACATACTCCAACCTCTCCACAATGGCCAAGACCAGAGAGCTGTGTAAGGACATCAGGGATAAAATTGTAGACCTGCACAAGGCTGGGATGGGCTACAGGACAATAGGCAAGCAGCTTGGTGAGAAGGCAACAACTGTTGGTGCAATTATTAGAAAATGGAAGAAGTTCAAGATGACGGTCAATCACCCTTGGTCTGGGGCTCCATGCAAGATCTCACCTTGTGGGGCATCAATGATCATGATGAAGGTGAGGGATCAGCCCAGAACTACACGGCAGGACCTGGTCAATGACCTGAAGAGAGCTGGGACCACAGTCTCAAAGAAAACCATTAGTAACACACTACGCCGTAATGGATTAAAATCCTGCAGCGCACGCAAGGTCCCCCTGCTCAAGCCAGCGCATGTCCAGGCCCGTCTGAAGTTTGCCAATGACCATCTGGATGATCCAGAGGAGGATTGGGAGAAGGTCATGTGGTCTTATGAGACAAAAATAGAGCTTTTTGGTCTAAACTCCACTCGCCGTGTTTGGAGGAAGAAGAAGGATGAGTACAACCCCAAGAACACCATCCCAACCGTGAAGCATGGAGGTGGAAACATCATTCTTTGGGGATGCTTTTCTGCAAAGGGGACAGGACGACTGCACCGTATTGAGGGGAGGATGGATGGGGCCATGTATCGCGAGATCTTGACCAACAACCTCCTTCCCTCAGTAAGAGCATTGAAGATGGGTCGTGGCTGGGTCTTCCAGCATGACAACGACCCGAAACACACAGCCAGGGAAACTAAGGAGTGGCTCCGTAAGACCGTAAGAAGCATCTCAAGGTCCTGGAGTGGCCTAGCCAGTCTCCAGACCTGAACCCAATAGAACATCTTTGGAGGGAGCTGAAAGTCCGTATTGCCCAGCGACAGCCCCGAAACCTGAAGGATCTGGAGAAGGTCTGTATGGAGGAGTGGGCCAAAATCCCTGCTGCAGTGTGTGCAAATCTGGTCAAGACCTACGGGAAACGTATGATCTCTGTAATTGCAAACAAAGGTTTCTGTACCAAATATTAAAGCAGATATATTCTGCTTTTCTGATGTATCAAATACTTATGTCATGCAATAAAATGCAAATGTAATTACTTAAAAATCATACAATGTGATTTTCTGGATTTTTGTTTTAGATTCCGTCTCTCACAGTTGAAGTGTACCTATGATAAAAATCACAGACCTCTACATGCTTTGTAAGTAGGAAAACCTGCAAAATCGGCAGTGTATCAAATACTTGTTCTCCCCACTGTAGGTAGACTTGACATTTTAATCTACACTGAACAACAATTTAAACGCAACATGCAACAATTTCAAAGATTTTACTGAGTTACAGTTCTTATAAGGAAATCAGTCAATTGAAATAAATTCATTAGGCCCTAATCTATGGATTTCACATGACTGGGAAAACAGATATGCATCTGTTGGTCACAGATACCTTAAAAAGAGGAAAACCAGTCAGTATCTGGTGTGACCACCATTTGCCTCATGCAGCGTGACACATCTCCTTTTGCATAGAGTTGATCAGGCTGTTGATTGTGGCCTGTGGAATGTTGTCCCACTCCTCTTCAATGGCTGTGTGAAGTTGCTGGATATTGGCGGGAACTGGAACACGCTGTCGTACACGTCGATCCAGAGCATCCCAAATATGCTCAATGTCTGGTGAGTATGCAGGCCATGGAAGAACTGGGACATTTTCAGCTTCCAAGAATTGTGTACAGATCCTTGTGACATGAGGCCGTGCATTATCATGCTGAAACATGAGGTGATGGCGACGGATTAATGGCACGACAATGGGCACGGTATCTCTGTGCATTCAAATTGCCATCGATAAAAAATGCAATTGTGTTCGTTGTCCATAGCTTATGCCTGCCCATACCATAAACCCGCTGCCACCATGGGGCGCTCTGTTCACAACGTTGACATCAGCAAACCGCTTGTCCACACGACGCCATATATACGCTGTCTGCCATCTGCCCGGTACAGTTGAAACCGGGATTCATCCGTGAAGAGCACACTTCTCCAGTTGGCCAGTGGCCATCGAAGGTGAGCATTTGCTCACTGAAGTCAGTTATGACGCCAAACTGCAGTCAGGTCAAGACCCTGGTGAGGACGACGAGCACGCAGATGAGCTTCCCTGAGACGGTTTCTGACAGTTTGTGCAGAAATTCTTCGGTTGTGCAAACCCACAGTTTCATCAGCTGTCCAGGTGGCTGTTCTCAGACGATTCCGCAGGGGAAGAAGCCAGATGTGGAGGTCCTGGGCTGGCGTGGTTATACATGGTCTGCGGTTGTGAGGTTGAACGTATTGCCAAATTCTCTAAAACGGCGTTGGAGGCAGCTTATGGTAGAGAAATGAACATAAATTATCTGGCAACAACTCTGGTGGACATTCATGCAGTCAGCATGCCAATTGCACGTTCCCTCAAAACTTGAGACATCTGTGGCATTGTGTTGTGTGACAAAACTGCAAATTTTACAGTTGCCTTTTATTGTCCCCAGCACAAGGTGCACCTGTGTAATGATCATGCTGTTTAATCAGCTTCTTGATATAACACACCTGTCAGGTGGATGGATTATCTTGGCAAAGGAGAAATGCTCACTAACAGGGATATAAACAAATTTGTGCACAACATTTGAGATAAATAAGCTTTTTGTGCTTATGGAAATTTCTAGGATATTTTATTTCAGCTCATGAAACATGGACCAACACTTTACATGTCGCGTTTATATTTTTGTTCAGTATAAATACAGCAGAAGCCAGCAGGGTGGCCACTTAAACAGACCTGGAAAACATGAGATGGACTATACACACACACACACACGCATACAGACAGAAACCATTCACATATACATTGAGTGTACAAAACATTAATATTGAGTTGCACCCCCCTTTTACGATCTGAACAGCCTTGATTCGTCGGGGGCATGGACTCTACAGGGTCTCGAAAGCATTCCACAGGGATGCTGGCCCATGTTCACTCCAATGCTTCCCAAAGTTATGTCAGGTTGGCTGGATGTCATTTGGGTGGTGGACCATTCATGATACACACGGGAAACTGTTGAGCGTGAAAAACCCAGCAGCGTTGCAGTTCAAAGGCACTTAAATATTTTCTCTTGCCCATTCACCCTCTTTATGGCACACATACACAATCCATGTCTTAATTGTCTCAATTCTTAAAAATCCTTCTATATCCTATCTCCACCCTTTCATCTACACTGATTGAAGTGGATTTAACAGGTGACATCAATAAGGGATCATAGCTTTCACCTGGATTCACCTGGTCAGTCTAGGTCATGGAAAGAGCAGGTGTTCCTAATATGTTGTACACTCAGTGTATGTACACATTACACACACACACACACACACACACACGCTACTCTGCTCTTTATTATCTATCCTGATGCCTAGTCACTTGACCCTGCCTTCATGTAAATACAGTAGCTACCTGAAATACCTCGTACCTCTGCACATTGATCTAGTACTACTGCTCCCTGTACATAGCTCCATTCTTGTGTATTTTAGTCCTCTTCTTGTGTTATTATTTTAAACTCTGCATCGTTGGGAAGGGCTCATAAGCAAGCGGTAAAGTCTACACCAGTTGTGTTCGGTGTATGTGACAAATAAAATATACATTTGATTTGATTTGCTCGTTCTGATATGTTTAGATTTGTTTTTTTTTCTGGATTATGTGTGTATTTATTTATTTATTGCTAGGTATTACTGCCCTGTTGGAGTTAGAAACACAAGCATTTCTCTGCACCTGTGATAACATCTGCAAATCTGTGTACATGACCAATAAACTTTGATTTGATTTGTCATTGGTTGTTGCTGTGTGGTTAAAATAACAGTAATTGATGGGGTGTTGCTGGTATTGTGTGCTGTTATTGTTGCTTGTTGTAGCGTGGTTATCATTGTGTTATTTGCTGGTTGTTACTAGGTTATTGAAAGAGGAGAGACGGAGATAGACTCAGACAGTCATGTGACCACTGTGATGTTGATCTTGAGAGCTTGGATCACCAAGGTCACAGAGCAAAGTCTGGTTTTGACAGACGAGCACCACAACACAACAGGAGGTTCACACACTTAACATCCATACACATACACATACACACACACACACACACACACCACACGATGGGGCAGGCTAACCTCCCCAAATCCTAACCATAAGGGCAGGCGACTTCTATACCCTAACCAATAAGCACAACAGCTACTCACCCCCTCCGTTCTTCTGACACAGGTAGGGGAATCTCCAGACATTGCCCAGGCCTACAGAGAAGCCCACCTGGGCTAGGATGTATTGCAGCTTGCTGTTCCAGGCTGGTCTCGCTGCATCATCCTCTGCGTCCGAGCCTCCGTCCTCCACGTCCACATCTCCGTTAAGGTTAAGCTCCTCCCCTTCCCCATCACCTCCGCCGCCACCAGCGATCAGCGAGCTCTTCTTGAAGGAATCATCACATGTGTCCTCGTTGGATAGCAGGTCTCTGACAGACTCTGTGACATCGTCGTCAAGCTCTCTCTTGACGGCCTTGCTGTTTTTGGGCATTTGATAAAGCAGACAAGGGCGTGGGGCAGAATGTCTTTGGGCTGGTAGCGGGAGAGGGCAGTTCAGTTCTGGTAGTTCTGAGGGCTTAAAGGTGGACTGCCGGATAAAGAGTCTGTCTTGGAGGTGTGTGATGGAGGGTTGAGAAAGGGTTGTTTATTTCTTCATTATCACCAAATGCTTAGGGAAGGAAAGAAAAATAAACGATTTAGGGTACTGTATTCATATTCAAAATTCAATATTCATTATTTCAGGGCAAACAGAGTGGGGGTGTCATAACTATTAGATGTTGACACAGGACCCGTTTTATGAAAATTAGGCTACAACATTGAACTTTTCTTCGTTATCAGCGAATGCTGAAAGGAAAGTAAACAAAACCCTAGGGTACAATATCCATAATTCCAGTAACGGCAGAATGAGAGTTGGTGATACCACTACTCTCTGATGCTCATAGAGATAATTGTGGTTTTTGTATTTACTGAGAGAAAAAGAACAGAAGAGAAAAAGAGAGAGAGAGGAAGGAAGGAAGGAAGATGTGAGTGTCTGTCTGAGTGTGTAAACAAAAAAAGTTTCCATTCTCTATTTCAAGGAAACCACATAGGCCAAATGTTATACTGTACGCTCTGTGATCACACTTGAACTGAATAGAATCACTCCTAATCTCTTTCATCAGTCAGAAATGGTACAGTCTGGATGGTGTCCAACCTCGTGTGCACGCTTGTTAGAAAACTTGCCATGGGCAGTTGTTGAGGATAAACGATATAATGATAACATACATTAAGTAGTATTTTTTGTATTCCTGTTTTTTATTTTTTTAAATAATTTATTTAAAAATATATTTTGGTCACAAGGAAATCATATGACAAATGTGACCAAAATCTATGGATGCCATTGTCTATTGATTGGTTACTTTTACGCATGACCAAAACATTGAAAGGACTTTTGCTATCTATAGAGACGATTAGGTATCCGCGCGCCTAAATAATTGACGCAGAGCACGAGGCAATTTGCATACGAACCCAAACACTAGCCTCGCAGCTCAACGTGAGAGCAGAGAAAACCTACAAACAAAAACATGTATTAAAAAAAGACCCAGAATATAGCCTTAAATGTATTAGTATAATAGGTGTAATGTGATTACAATTCGGCCCATAGTTTTTAAAATCCACATTGTGCGTAAAATTAGACCAAAATGATACAATGTTACCATGGTTCAGACTGTAGCAGCCTATTGCCTTTCACCGACCAGTGGTTTAAGTGATTAATAGATTTCCTTTGGCCACTTCCAGATTAGCCTCGTTTTTAAAGCATGGGCGTAATTTCATCAGCAAATGAACGTAAATGGTAGGCCTAATACTCTGAAGATGTTACATTCCTTTTAGGGTGCAGCTGGAATAGTCTGTTGCTATAGCACACAGAAAGATAAAACCTACCATTTACAACAACAAAAAAAGCATGATTAAATGCATAAATGCAGAAATGCAGAAAAATCAATGGATAATATCTGGCGCCATGTGGGCTATTGTGTATTCAAGAGAGAATTTGTTCTAGGAATGAACATCAATTAATTCCTCCCTCCCCGACCAGCCCATCTCTCCTCTCCTTGACATCCAAGTGGGGTATTTCATCATACACTCCCTGGCCACATCATGCGCACTGCCACCCTATTCAGCCCAACACATATATTCCTTTTAAATGAAATCTACCTTTAGTCGTCTTCTGTAAGATGGGGATTTTGGTCCTTTTCGGAATGATGGGTATCAAGGAATGAAATTGTGACAGAAGCACATGCACGGGGCAGACATCATCACTTGTAGGCTATTGCGTATATGGTGCTGTATCGCTGCTGTCGCGTTGTATGAAACAGACAGAAGCGCTTCGCCTCTTCTAGGAGTTAGAAATACATTCAGCGCGGTAATAGGGGTGCTTGGTTTCTTTCTTTATAAATATTTGATCCAAATTCCCATTCATTTTTGCTCAATTTATCCCTCTGTATATTACAGATTATTTATGATGGTATAATTATATTCAATACAATGGTGAATGCGCAGGATAAGCTAAATAATTGTTTTACAATTTTCCTGATCCTGATCCCCCTATTTGCACTTGGTATGTTCTACTACTACTAACCCCTTTATTAGCTCCTTCACCAGAAGGGGGGTATATGTGGGTAAAATGGGCCTGTACCGTAGCCTATCTATTAGGACCGACTTGTGATTGTCCTACTATACCTACAACTTGTAATTAGGTACACTACCAGTTAAAAGTTTGGACACACCTACTCATTCAAGGGTTTTTCTTTATTTTTACTATTTTTTATATTGTATAATAATAATAGTGAAGACATCAAAACAATGAAATAACATATATGGAATAGTAACCAAAAAAGTGTTCAACAAATCAAAATATATTTTATATTTGAGATTCTTCAAATAGCCACCCTTTGCCTTGATGACAGATTTGCACACTATTGGCATTCTCTCAACCAGCTTCATGAGGTAGTCACCTGGAATGCATTTCAATTAACAGGTGTGCCTTCCTAAAAGTTAATTTGTGGAACTTATTTCCTTCTTAATGTGTTTGAGCCAATCAGTTGTGTTGTGACAAGGTAGGGGGGTATACAGAAGATAGCCCTATTTGGTAAAAGACCAAGTCCATATTATGACAAGAACAGCTCAAATAAGCAAAGAGAAATGACCGTCCATCATTACTTTAAGACATGAAGATCAGTCAATACGGAACATTTCAAGAACTTTGAACGTTTCTTCAAGTAGGTGTGTCCAAGCTTTTGACTGGTACTGTATGTGGAATAGGCAAAGGCCTACATGCTGTTTTAATTCAATAATTATAGCCTACACAGGGCGAAGGGCCCATCCGTGACAAGGACAGACGAGTTGTGCGTTCCGAGATGCCGTTCCTTCACACCGCTGTTGTACTGCGCTATTTGCCTGTTTGTGGCCAACCTGTTAGCTTGCACAATTCTTGCCGTTCTCCTTCGACCTCTCTTATCAACGAGCTGTTTTCGCCCACAGGACTGCCGCTGACTGGATGTCTTTTGTTTGTCGCACCATTCTCGGTAAACCCTAGACACTGTCATGTCTGAAAAGCCCAGGAGGCCGGCCGTTTCTGAGATACTGGTCACTCGTTTTGCCCATTCTAACGTTCAATCGAACAGTAACTGAATGCCTCGATGCCCGTCTGCTTGCTTTATATAGCAAGCCACGGCCACGTGACTCATTGGGTCTGTAGGAACTAACCATTTTCGTGAACGGGGTGGTTTACCTAATAACCTGTGTAGGTCTATATGGCCAGTCTAAATAAGTCCCACACAAATGTAATTATTTTTGGAAGGCTATTTGACTTTTGCTATTTTCAATTTTTTACTTATCTATTTTTTACTTAACACTTTCTTTTTTTCTTTTTTGTTTAAACTGCATTGTTGGTTAAGGGCTTGTAAGGTAAGCATTTCACTGTAAGGTCTACACCTGTTGTATTCGGCGCATGTGGCAAATAAAACTTGATTTGATTTGATTTGAACTAGTAGTAAAAAGACGACAGTGCCCCAAGGGTCATTCGAGCACAACTAAGGTAATGATGACATACTCATCTGTTAACTGCCTTCATTCCCTGGTGCATAGCTCCTCCTCTACTTACAACACCAGGAATGCCCGTCACATTCAGTTAAAGATTCCTAAAACTCTCCCATCCTTGGGTCGCTCCTCTTTTCAGATTGCTGCAGCCAGTGACTGCATGAGCTGCAAAAAAGGTTGAAACTTGAGAAATGTGTCTTTGTGCCTTTTTAAGAACTCACTCAAAGAAATGTTCTCTGACACCTGTACTTGTTACCCTATCTAATAATGTAATTCATGGTCATCCTCACTGACATTAACTTGTTACTCTGCCGAATCACGTCATTCACGGTCATCCTCACTGACATTAACTTGTTACTCTGCCGAATCACGTCATTCACGGTCATCCTCACTGACATTAACTTGTTACTCTGCCGAATCACGTCATTCACGGTCATCCTCACTGACATTAACTTGTTACTCTGCCGAATCACGTCATTCATGGACACTTCCATGGACACTAACTTGTTATTCTAACAAATAACTTGTAAATTATGGACATTCCCATGGACACTTTACATTGTTCTTATAGATACCTAAGGCCTACCTGATATCCTATCAACTGTATTGCTGACTGTCTACTATCTATGCTGAATGTTTTTAATAAATGTTGTGTTGTTGCCATGTGTTTCTGCCCAACTGTGTTGTGATATCTGTTCTCCTTGTGCTCTAACTGTTCTGCATTGACTTTTGTGTTTGTCATATGTCCCTGTCATTCTATGTTGTGATGTCTGTCTTGTCCTGTGATTTCAATGTTTTTTTTATTTTATTTTATTTATTGCACCCCATTTCCCAGTTGTCACTGGCCAGGCCGTCATTGTAAAGAAGAATTTGTTCTTAGTTGACTCGCATGGATAAATAAAAGTTAAAACGTTTTATAACTGTAGCTCAGTTGGTAGAGCATGGCGCTTGCAATGCCAGGGTTGTGGGTTCGTTTCCCACGGGGGGCCAGTATGAAAATGTATGCACTCACTTAACTGTAAGTCGCTCTGGATAAGAGCGTCTGCTAAATGACTAAAATGTAAAAAATTTAATAATAATAACATGATAAAAGGGTAAGGTTATGATGACATCATAACTGGTCACATGGGGTAATCTGAGGGTAGGGGATGAGGGGGTGACTGGCTGTATACAAGGATGGATGTTTCACCATTAGAGCAAAGGGAAATTGACAGCATTTTAGTTTTGTTTATTTTGTGTGATGTTTTTTTGGTGAATTATAGTTTTATATCTTTCGAACATGCTTCTTTCATTCATCCAATTAATTGTTTCCTAAATTCTTCCAGTTCTTTCAACAATTTCAATAGTGCTTGATCTTCTGTTTACTTTCCGGTGTTAAAACGATGTGAGGTAGCAATCTGCAGATAAGCAGTGTCAATACATGATGTTCATTATCAAGGACATTCTTTGGCGTCCTTTCAAACCGAGACCTTCTAGAGATGATACATCAAAAAGGGGGCTTACAATGCA